GTCACAAAGGCTATTATTTCAATAATATTTTATTAAGGAACTATGCCAGTGACCTAAATTATGATAAACCAGTAGATCATTTGATTGAAGATGGTTCCTGTAGGTGTGGTGCTAATCTTGAAGATGCTGCTAATTTTTTCTTTCAATGTCCTCTTTACTCAAATATTAGACATCACATTTACTCTGTTTATAATTTACTAGGATTTGTTAACCTATGTTTTACTATTTGGCAACATTGGGATGTCGGATGAACTAAATCGTGAAGTACTTTTCCACACCAGCTCATACTTGAAAAAATCAAAAAGATTTTCAAATTTATAAAATTTAAGTAGTTTTATACTCATAGGCAAGTTCTAATGTGTATATTATTATATTTATTTATTTATTTTTTTATTGTGTGTTATGGTATGTGTGGGCAATACAGTTGTGTGTGTGAGTACTTTTCCTCGTCTCTTCCTTAATACATGTAATTATTATACCTCAAAACTATTACCTCTGTAACAGGAGGGAGAGGATGGATCAACAGTTACCCGGTCCCGTCTCGCCCTGTATCACCGTCAACCCAGGTTCGATGGGTACAGCTTGTATTTTTTGTGGAAGGAGGACAAACACTGCTAATGTAAATATAACAATTTATTTAACAGCAAACATTAGTTAACAGGAATTATCAACAACAGCATAGGCTGTTACCGACACAGAGACCCCCATCTTACACCGAATACATAAACTTATCTATCTCTATACAAAATTACATTCCACCCAGCTATAGCTTCCCACCTGATAAAATAACGAATTACGCTACCATCCCCCAACCTACCTGTTTTCACCCTGTGGAAGTTAATCCAACGCTCTGCACCCAAATTATTAGACATACTGCATCTTATACCCTAAAATGACAATACGAGACAGTTTGAACCGATCACAACACATCACCAGAGACAGAACACCCCTGACACGCTGTATAATGCTGACTAAAATTGAAGCTTTGACAACTTTATATCATATATAATTACACAAGATATAATGTCCCCCGCTACACCTACTTTAATCAATCCATATTATAAAACATATAATTTATTAGCATTTATTAGCATTTATTAGCATAAATAATGGACGCAGGCTTAAAGCCTCTATGTCCATATCACATATTTACATATTGCATAATAAGTAATTTCAGTGTTAATGGCTTATATCACTTAATTAATGTACAATTATGTATTGAAACGGATATTTTTCCAATGTTCATCTAACATTATTTCAAATTTTATTACAGAGTCCGCATTTATTACTGTTTGTGGTAAACTATTCCACAAATCCACAACTCGGTAACTGAAAAAGTGCTTTCTAATATCAAGACGACATCGTTTTTTGAATATTTTCTTGTTATGACCTCTAGTTCTGCTTATATTTTCCATTTCAAAAAAGTTTCTTGTTACCCTACTATCGTATATATTGTTTACTATCTTAAAAACGTTTATCATATCTCCTCTGGTCCTTCGGTGTTGAAGAGTTCGTAGATTTAGTTTTTCCAGCCGTTCTGGGTATGAGAGATTTTTAAATCCAGGAAGCAGTTTTGTGGCCCTTCTCTGTACGTTTTCAATAAGTTCTATATCTTTTAATTTTGACGGGCTCCATACACTGGCGGCATACTCCAGGTGGGGTCGCACTAGAGATTTAAACAGCATTTTAAACATTGACTCATCAAGGTAAGAAAAAGATCTTCTAATTAGTCATACTATACTGTTTGCTTTGTTAACCATTGACTGTATGTGTGCTCGGAAGCTTAAATCCTCATCTATGGTGACACCAATGTCCTTTTCTTTGCTAACGTGCTCCAGCTGAATTTTTTCTTCTTCAGATCCTTCCATATAATAAATTCGTTTTTGAGTTGCCTTAATTGAAAGAATTTTACATTTGCTAGGGTGGAATTTCAGTAGCCATTTGTTGGACCAGTTTTGAAGATTATCTAAATCCTTTTGGAGTATTTCGATATCATGTTCGTTGTTTACTTGTCTATATAACTTGGTATCATCAGCAAAGAGTGGCGATCGAGATTCGGGTATTTCAGGTAGATCGTTGATATATACAACAAATAATATGGGACCCAATACGCTTCCTTGCGGGATACCACTCAGCACTGGGTATGTTTCGGAGGATTCGCCATTGACAATTACTCGTTGGCATCTATTACTTAAGAAGTCTTGTATCCAGTTAACAACTTGGGGACTTATACCGTATCCTGACAATTTCTTCAGTAAGCGTTGATGTGGCACTTTGTCGAACGCCTTCATGAAGTCCATGTAAATGACATCCAACTCCCCGCCCTTATCTATTATCTCTGTCCATTCTTCCAGTACTGTTAGCAACTGCAGTTGAGTTGACCTCCCAGACACAAAACCAAACTGTTTGGGGCTCAGAAGATTATTTTTGTCCATGTGCTCAACAATACTATCTCTCACTAGTTTTTCCAGTAACTTAACCACCACACTTGTCAGACTTACAGGTCTGTAATTTCCTGGGTCAGACTTTGATCCTTTTTTATAAATGGCCGTTATGTTTGCCTCTTTCCAAGCCTGTGGTAGTTTTCCCTCTGTTAATGACTTATTGAAGATATCTGCTAAAGGTGAACTTATATTATTCCTTATCTCTTTCAGAATTTTAGGATGCATTTTATCTGGTCCCTGTGACTTATTAGTATTTAGATTACCTAGTAATTTTTCCACAACATTCTGATTGCAGACAATTTCCTTGAAAGGGTAAGTCAAATTCCAGCTCTCAAATTCAGGCATGTTTCCCGGTGGTTCCTTGGTAAAAACACTACTAAAAAATCTGGCAAGGACTTCGGCTTTCTCCCCGTCTGTAACTGCCATCTGATTATCAGTTTCGTTTAGTCCCTTCAATTCAGAAACTCCTGTTTTTATTTTCCTTTTTGAATTGACATACTTCCAGAAACGTTTTGGGTGTTTCTTTATATCTTCTGCTATGTTTTTTTTCCATATTTCTTCTGGTTTTTCTTAGCTCCCACTTCACTTGGTTTCTGGCTTTAGCATATTCTCTGTACTTGCTCTCGCATTTGGTTTCCATGTATCTTTGCCATGTCCTATGCTTTTTATTGATTAATTTCAAAATGTCCTTATTCAATGGAGGATTCAATTTTCCGGGTACTGGGTAAGTTATGGACTTATATTTGGGCACTTTCCTCAATAATCCCTGCAAAAGTGTTATACATTTCTTCGATAGTGCCTCTAGTGAGTAATCCATTCCAATCTCCAGGTACATCATTTCTCATCTTTTCATAATCGCCTTTACTGTAATTTAAACGCTGGGTTTTATCCACAGAAGGGGGCTTACTACAGTGAAATTTGAACATCAAAACCAGGTGGTCACTATTTCCAATCGGGCTTTTATAGTGGATTTCCTTAACCATTTCCTCTTCATTTGTTATGATTAAGTCTAAGATGCTTGGCTCGTTACCTCTTCTGGCTCTTGTAAAATCTGTTGTATGTTGGTAAAGATAATTATCCCGTAGACATTCTATAAAGTTTTCGCTGATCTTATCATTATTATCAATAGACCATGAATTCCAGTCTATTTTCGGCAAATTAAAATCACCTATAACTAATAAGTGACTATACTCTTTCTTTGAAGCTACTGTATCTATTAGTTTCAGTAATTTCTTTGTGTTTTCTTCATCTGAGTTTGGGCTCCTATAAATACATCCTACCAAAAGACAATCATTTCCGGTGAGTTTTATCTTTACCCAGATACTTTCCTTAAATGTATTTCCCATGTCAACTTCCACTCCATGATAATCTGATTTTATGTATAGCCCAACTCCTCTGTGACGATTTCCTGAGTTTTCATTTATAAAAAGTTCGTATCCTTCAATTCTTAGTTCAGCTTTATTTGGCAGATACCTAAAATTTTTTGGGTATATTTCTGTTATTCCTATGATGTCTGTGTTGTGTAAACTATTTATCCTTGATTTCATCTCATCTAATTTATTTGAAAGACAATCTACATTTGTGTAAAAACAATTTAAATAATGTTGACAGTGTTGTGGTTTGATGAGATTATCCTTATTTTCCCTTCTTATTTTCGAAATCTTCTTATTTTCCTGTCCCAAGGGGGACCTCTTACTCTGTAAGTGTATTCCCCCGATTCTTGGTTACTTTTTCTTTTAGCTTCATCTCTCAGTTCTTGTTCTTTCTTCCTTTCCTGCTTGGTAAGGTCATTACTTATGGAAACCTCCTTAAACCTATCATTCTGCAGATGCTTAATGTTTTTGAAGAAGTTCATTTTGTCTTCTACTGAGTTAAATGCAGCAAGAAGTGGTCTTGGCCTTGACTTTGAGTTGTCATTTTCCTTATCATATTTCCCAATTCTCACAATTCTTGTTACTCTATCAATGATTGCTTGGGGTAGCTTACATGAACATAATACCGGTTATCTTGTGGGAAAAAACTTATATAGGCTTAGCCTGTTGTTTGATCCCAATTGTTATTGCATTTATTTGTAATGTCATATGTGTGTGTTAAATGTATGCATTAACAATAATTTTTTTTGAAATTTCAATAAGTGGATTTGACAGTGCTTTGGTGAAATAATGATGACTGACTCTTTGACCAGGTATAGAACAACATTTCGACTTTTGGTACTTTTTCACATTTATAGGAAGGTTACAGTTCTTATCTAGTTTCTTTTAGTGTAATGATAGTGACGTTTCTTGTTTTATCTTTAAATGCGATTTTATTTTAGTGTTGAATATTCCGATACCTTCCTGTTTGGGATTTGAGAAATCTGGATCTTATTATATTGGAGATGAAGTTATTTGAAAATGAATTATAGTGAAGAGCAAAAACATTATGAATATCTTTCTTAATTTAATTACGGCACTTGTTAACGGTACTTTCCGGATGACCACTTCTCAATTCCGGAACTGAAATAAGTTGTTTTCGTTTCAGTTTATTACACAACACCTCTACCTTCCGGGATATGTCAAAATGTGAAATGCATTACATTAACATCAATACGACAAAGGCGATATATTGATTGGTGTTTAATTATGGAGTGGTAAAGATGTCTGATGTTGTGGAGAAGACGCTGGCATCCATTCCAAAATTCTTAGGTGGAGGATTTCTTGGAGTAGGACAACCATCTTCGCCAAAACACGCCTCTGTCCGTGGGTTCAGCAGCTTTCTTCGTCAGTTCAATAAAGCGAGATCGAAGAACGTAAGAAATAGAATATTTGGTCGCAGATCGATTTTGTAGCAAGGTTGAGAAAATAGTATCGTCCTCATAACCATTTAGTTTGATAACATATAATGTTATCAACAAAAGTTGATACACAATAAGACAATGTCTCGGGTCATTTTCAAACAGCCGACATGTCTATTTTCGGTTTGCGATACTTTTATGTAGATTGAACAATATCTTCAATTTCTAAAATAATCTGATGAAATTAATGCAATATAGTTATAATTTTTTAATTATACGTAAAAATGTTAATCTTTATCAGATAATGCCTCGTACAAAATGTACAAGGTACAATGATTATAAGCTCTGTATAGAGCCTTTTATCACTGCTGAGAGCATAGACATGGTAAATCCAAATGTGATTATAGACACCATGGTAAAGATCAATTGTATATCTGAATTCCTTTATTATGCACACACATATTTCATGTACATTCAGATTTGTCTCGTGACAAATCTCTAAACCCGTATACAACCAAGTACATTACCCGTTTCCCATTCTTTTTAAGATTTATAATTAAAAGTTTATTTACAGGAGGAAGGACACATTGTCCGACATGAGATAGCTGAAATACAGCAGAGACTGGCCCAACCAGACACCACCAAGGTAATGATATCTCTTGTTTATATTGATCAAGTACCACAGAGGTACAGTAGTCTGTATATCCTATAATTTCAACTCAAGACTTTTGACATGTGATGAACATTTACCAGATTTTGAGCCAAACCAATTAAAGCTCTCAGAAACAATTTGAATGTATGAAAATGTGGAAATCTCTAACACAATTTAGATTTTAGTTTGTTCACCGTCCTACATATATATTTATCACTTAAACCTTAACACATACTTGTAAAGGTAATATTAAAACAAAGCTATTTGTTTTGACAAAATCTCTGTTTCCTTTTATCCATCAAATGCTTTGACTTTACAGAATTCAAAATTTCCCACTTGAGCTAAGGATGTTGATCAAATGTTACTGTCGAATGGACATAATCATCAGAATCTAGCTAGAATTTGAAAATCGTCTGCTTATAATATTCCATTTTTTTTCACCATTGTGTTATCAATGACATTTAAGATAGATCCTCCTTTGATGTTTTCATTCACTCTGCAGCAACAAACATGTGACTGTTTGTGTCGGGCCATATTCTGTGATCTAGTCGGCTATGATGTATCCTCCGTCTACATCCATGCTGTCAAATTGGCCCAGCAGGGGACTGGGTTCGAGAAGAGACTTGGTAAGGGTTCAAGGTTTCAGGTTCATCTTAATACAATAAGTCTAAAACATTTTTGTGTGATCGCATTTTTCCATTCACCATGCGTCAATGAATAAACAACAACTTAAACTTCTCAAATACCTCAGATCTAATTTTTTTTAAAACTTTGCACTAACCTTCTATAGCCAAAGGGGGACCAAATTTGTGAATTATATGGTTCCCTCCCCCACGGGCTGGATAGACAGGACCAAAAGCAGTGAAATTGATCAACATTTAAAACAAAACTCTTGTGACTACTGGAATATTGTGAGATCAAATACTCTCCATAGCTGTAAGGGTAAAAGGGCTGTAACGAAGTAGTAAATTTTATATTTTCATATTGCCTTCAGGGCAAGAGTAGATAAATTTTCCTCTGGAAATAATTCAACCTTGCTAATATTATTCAGTGGCAGTTTGTGGTACATGTTTTCACTAATGTATACAAGGTACTCAAAGAATGTGGTCTAAGGTGTCAACTGAGCTAAAATTTATAGAACTCAGGAGACCATTAAGGCCCTGGAGCCTCTTGTTATAGAAATCAGGAGACCATTAAGGCCCTGGAGCCTCTTGTTATAGAAATCAGGAGACCATTAAGGCCCTTGAGTCTCTTGTTATACAACTCAGGAGACCATTATTGCCATTGAGTTTCTTGTTATAGAACTCAGGAGACCATTAAGGCCCTGGAGCCTCTTGTTATACAACTCAGGAGACCATTATTGCCATTGAGTTTCTTGTTATAGAAATCAGGAGACCATTAAGGCCATTGAGTCTCTTGTTATAGAACTCAGGAGACCATTAAGGCCCTTGAGTCTCTTGTTATACAACTCAGGAGACCATTATTGCCATTGAGTTTCTTGTTATAGAACTCAGGAGACCATTAAGGCCCTTGAGTCTCTTGTTATACAACTCAGGAGACCATTATTGCCATTGAGTTTCTTGTTATACAACTCAGGAGACCATTATTGCCATTGAGTTTCTTGTTATAGAACTCAGGAGACCATTAAGGCCATTGAGTCTCTTGTTATAGAACTCAGGAGACCATTAAGGCCCTTGAGTCTCTTGTTATAGAACTCAGGAGACCATTAAGGCCCTGGAGCCTCTTGTTATAGAACTCAGGAGACCATTAAGGCCCTGGAGCCTCTTGTTATAGAACTCAGGAGACCATTAAGGCCCTTGAGCCTCTTGTTATAGAACTCAGGAGACCATTAAGGCCCTTGAGTCTCTTGTTATAGAACTCAGGAGACCATTAAGGCCCTGGAGCCTCTTGTTAGAGAACTCAGGAGACCATTAAGGCCCTGGAGCCTCTTGTTATAGAACTCAGGAGACCATTAAGGCCCTGGAGCCTCTTGTTATAGAACTCAGGAGACCATTAATGCCATTGAGTCTCTTGTTATAGAATTCAGGAGACCATTAAGGCCCTGGAGCCTCTTGTTATAGAACTCAGGAGACCATTAAGGCCCTGGAGCCTCTTGTTATAGAACTCAGGAGACCATTAAGGCCCTGGAGTCTCTTGTTATAGAACTCAGGAGACCATTAAGGCCCTGGAGCCTCTTGTTATACAACTCAGGAGACCATTAAGGCCCTGGAGCCTCTTGTTATAGAACTCAGGAGACCATTAAGGCCCTGGAGCCTCTTGTTATAGAACTCAGGAGACCATTAAGGTCCTTGAGTCTCTTGTTATAGAACTCAGGAGACTGTTAAGGCCCTGGAGCCTCTTGTTATAGAACTCAGGAGACTGTTAAGGCTGTTGAGTCTCTTGTTATAGAACTTAAGAGACAATTAATGCCATTTGGCAACTACTTTCCTATGAACTGATAGACATAAATTGGATTTGCTTTTCAATTGAAACATATAACATACTTTATCATATGTTACTTCATTATCTACACTGTATATGTATTGCCCAGTTCAATGTTGTCCACATCATGGGCATGGGGTCAAAGGTTGTGGTGGCAGCCATTGTTTTTACACTAAATCTCAGAGGTTTCTCGATGTTTCCATACAGAGAATACTCTTGCTTTGACGGTCCTGTGTAACTTTGTTTTAGGGTATCTAGTCTGTTCTTTATTACTGAATGAGAACCATGAGCTGATTTTACTCCTGATCAACACCATTCAAAAGGTATGTAAACAACACCATCCAAAAGATGTGTAAACAACACCATACAAAAGGTATGTAAACAACACCATACAAAAGGTATGTAAACAACACCATACAAAAGATGTGTAATTAACACCATACAAAAGGTGTGTAAACAACACCATACAAAAGGTATGTAAACAACACCATCCAAAAGATGTGTAAACAACACCATACAAAAGGTGTGTAAACAACACCATACAAAAGGTATGTAAACAACACCATCCAAAAGATATGTAAACAACACCATACAAAAGGTATGTAAACAACACCATACAAAAGGTATGTAAACAACACCATACAAAAGATGTGTAATTAACACCATACAAAAGGTGTGTAAACAACACCATACAAAAGGTATGTAAACAACACCATACAAAAGATGTGTAAACAACACCATACAAAAGATGTGTAAACAACACCATACAAAAGGTATGTAAACAACACCATACAAAAGGTATGTAAACAACACCATACAAAAGGTATGTAAACAACACCATACAAAAGGTATGTAAACAACACCATACAAAAGGTATGTAAACAACACCATACAAAAGGTATGTAAACAACACCATACAAAAGGTATGTAAACAACACCATACAAAAGATGTGTAAACAACACCATACAAAAGGTATGTAAACAACACCGTACAACATCTATGTGATCAACATTATAACATCAATCATCAAATTAAAATCAAAGTATACAGAACAAACCTTTCTTTGGTATAGCAGGTACATTTAGTTTTAATGTTTGATATTAGTTTTCATATATCCGAAGCCCAACCAGTGTGACCACCTTTCATACAAATCTATTTTATGTATTATATTTTATCTGTGTAATTGGAAGAAATTTTATTTGAAAAAAAAAATAATAAAAATGTGGAAATAAATTGAAAAATGATAATAATAATTATAAACATTGATGGCTTTGAAATTGATCATTACAATTTTGTCTTTGTTTGATGGAGATGCTTAGATGTTTCCTTGATAGATTGACATTGAATATTTTTATTTGTAACATTGATAAGTAAGGAAATGTGATTTACTACAGGATTTGAACAGCAGTAACATCTTAGACAACTGTGTAGCATTGACTGTAATCTGCCAGTTGGTCAACTCGGAGATGATCCCAAGTGTACTGCCACTAGTTCAGGAAAAGCTCAGACATCCTAGGTAAAGTACTAGGAAAATGAAAGTAGATAATGAAATAATCTGTGATCAAGGAAATAAGTGTTTGATAGATTGATATGGCAGATGAGATACTTCCTATATAGATTTTTTCCTCTTGGCATGAAGTAATAAGTGACCTAATGGACTTATATCTGTTACAGATACATTTACTGTTTGAAGTCTGTGTAGGGAAATTGTAGGTAGAGGAAGATATTTCTCATCAAGAGAATTAGAGTTACAATGAATGATGAAATGTTCTCTATTTCCTGTAGACAATTTCTTGTAAGAGAATAAACTTGAAAGATTCCTATATGCTTAAAGGGTAAACAATTCTATTCTATTACAGAGAGTTGGTAAGGATGAAGGCTGCACTCTGTGTCCATCGATTTGTGCTGAAAACTCCTTCCATGGTTGACCATTTCCAGGATCAGTTCCAGAGAATTTTGTTTGATAAAGATCCAAGTGTCATGTCTGTTGGAGTGAAGATTTACTCTGTCCTTATACAGGTGAGTTTTTTTAACATTTAGAAAATGTACTAAATAAAGCTGTCAATAAATTCTTCAAAGATAATTACATTCTGTTTCAAAATTATCATGAAAAACACATCCTTTTTACTTCAGACATTTGATAATACTGTGCAAATCCTCTCATAATTAATTATATGTAAGGTTTTAAATGGAAAATGTAGATCAAATATGGAGAAAATATTTACAAATACTACATTAAAAGCCCTAAAAAGACCATGAAAATTTGCCCAAAACGCAGTTATTGTATGGTCAGTCTTTCTCAATGGGTAAAAGATTTCACCAGGTATTCATATTGATCAAAGTTTAGATGATTTTTCAAAAAGTATTGACAAGACATGTGATCTTACAGTTTGTAGGTGTAATACTTTATGTGTCACATTTAACCACCAGTTTATATTTCATCCTTGTGTCCTTTTAATTTAGATGCCAGTTACTTTCAGGAATTTTAATTTAAACTGTGAAACAAGGCCCTATCTGAAAAGAACCTTATTAAGAAAATGCCCAGCTCAGACGTTGATAGATAGAGACAGCATATTTTTACTAGATACCCTTAACTAAATGCTATATCTAATATGAATTGATAAAAATGTGATGAAGCATTAAAATGATAGGTTTCTTTTATTTGTAGACTGACGAACATCACTTCCCTAAATTGACTGAGAATTTGATTGGGATTCTTGGTCAGGTGATCAGTAAAAGACTGCCGTCGGACTTTGAGTTCCACAATGTGCCAATGCCATGGCTACAGATGGATATCCTACAGACATTGGCCAGACTAGGGGCAGGGAACAAACAGTATGTACAGTAACATCCTACAGACATTGGGGAGGCTAGGGACAGGGAACAAACAGTATGTACAGTAACATCCTACAGACATTGGCCAGACTAGGGGCAGGGAACAAACAGTATGTACAGTAACATCCCACAGACATTGGCCAGACTAGGGGCAGGGAACAAACAATATGTACAGTAACATCCTACAGACATTGACCAGACTAGGGGCAGGGAACAAACAGTATGTACAGTAACATCCTACAGACATTGGGGAGGCTAGGGACAGGGAACAAACAGTATGTACAGTAACATCCTACAGACATTGGGGAGGCTAGGGACAGGGAACAAACAGTATGTACAGTAACATCCTACAGACATTGGGGAGGCTAGGGACAGGGAACAAACAGTATGTACAGTAACAACCTACAGACATTGGGGAGGCTAGGGACAGGGAACAAACAGTATGTACAGTAACATCCTACAGACATTGGCCAGACTAGGGGCAGGGAACAAACAGTATGTACAGTAACATCCTACAGACATTGGGGAGGCTAGGGACAGGGAACATACAGTATATACAGTAACATCCTACAGACATTGGCCAGACTAGGGGCAGGGAACAAACAGTATGTACAGTAACATCCTACAGACATTGGGGAGGCTAGGGACAGGGAACATACAGTATGTACAGTAACAACCTTGTTACCATTTATAAATCCACATATCAGTCACTACAGTGTATATTATCATTATTATCATATTTTACAACAGTTTGTGTTTTTATTACAGGAAGAGTGAGATGATGTACCCAGTACTGAAGGAAGTTTTACAGAGACTGGATATGAAGGAGAGAATTGCTTATGGTACAATAAGTTTTACCAAGTTAATATAGTGTGTCCTGTAAATATCGGGTGTGTCCTGTAAATATCGGGTGTGTCCTGTAAATATCGGGTGTGTCCTGTAAATATCGGGTGTGTCCTATAAATATCGGGTTTGTCCTGTATTATTGGGTGTATCGAGTAAATATCGAGTGTGTCCTGTAAATATCGGATGTGTCCTGTAAATATCGGGTTTGTCCTGTAAATATCAAGTGTCTCCTGTAAATATCGGGTGTCTCCTGTAAATATCGGGTGTTTCCTGTAAATATCGGGTGTTTCCTCTAAATATCGGGTGTATCGAGTAAATATTGAGTGTGTCCTGTAAATATCGGGTGTGTCCTGTAAATATCAGGTGTGTCCAGTAAATATCGAGTGTGTCCTGTAAATATCGGGTGTGTCCTGTAAATATCAGGTGTGTCCAGTAAATATCGGGTGTGTCCTGTAAATATCGGGTGTATCCAGTAAATATCAGGTTTGTCCAGTAAATATCGTGTGTGTCCTGTAAATATCGGGTGTATCCTGTGAAAATAATGCATACCCTGTCAGCTTATATATTTAGTCTACTTTCTTTATATTAAGTGTAAACCTGTATATTTGGTGTAAACCTGTATATTTAGTGTAAAGCTGTATATTTGGTGTAACCCTGTATATTTAGTGTAAACCTGTTGTATGTTGAAATGATTAGGTTGTCATCAGTAACAGTGAGGAATTGTTTTTATTTTTAGCTATCCTGTATGAGTGTATTGTCACCATCAGTGCCATCTACCCAAATGAGGAACTACAAAGGGAGGCAACTTCTTGTGTCAGTCGTTTCATAAGGTCAACAAACACAAGTCTGAAATACATAGGTAAATACAATAGAAGAAAATCTAAATCCTTGATTTGTTCATTTTCTCAGTAACACAGCTTTTTTTCACATTGAGTTAAAAACGAAGTCCATCAATGTGGTCATGATTGTCATTGGATCATCGGACTTTTGATCGGGACAGTGTTTCTCTGGAATCTGACAAGCTGACATTCATGTGTTGTTATCGTTGTTCATTTACTTGTGCCTGATACTGTTTGTATTATAGGATTTCTGCCTGCTATTCTGTAAGTTAGCCACACAGTTCTGAAAGCTGACCCACTTCTTTTGCAATGCATGTTGTTTATGAGACAATCGATTAAAATGAAAACAAACATATGATTAAGGGTTTTATTTGTTGGTACAGGTATAAAGGCCCTGACAGCCCTGGTCAAGTGTTGTCCAGAGTCAGCCTTGGAGCATCAGATGACTGTAGTAGAGCTTTTAGATGATAAAGATCTTGCAATTCAACGCAAAGTAAGGAGAGGTCTTGGAAATGTTTGAAATGAAGCTAAGAGTTTCTGTTAATAGACAACCTTAGACTTAGTGCTGTTGACAAACAGGGTTTTAGTGTCGTTTTATTAATGACCAGAAAATTGATTTATAGAGCCTAGTATTGTATTAGTAATGTGTTACTGGTTGATTTACAGACCCTGGAGCTGCTGTACTGTATGGCTAACCCCAGTAATGTCCAGGTGGTGTGTGACAGACTCCTTCATCATGTTAGCATCAACACCACCAACAACTTCCTCCAACTTGACCTTGCTACCAAGGTCATCCAGCTGGCAGACAAGTATCCTTTGTTGTACACTGTAGAGTAATAAATATCTGATGTGGGTATGTGTTGTTAAATTACAGGAAGTTTGATTCAGACATTTGTGGTCAAATTACAGGAAGTTTGATACAGATGTTTCTGGCTAAATTACAGGAAGTTTGATTCAGACATTTGTGGTCAAATTACAGGAAGTTTGATACAGACAGTTGTGGTTAAATTACAGGAAGTTTGATACAGATGTTTGTGGTCAAATTACAGGAAGTTTGATACAGATAATTCTGGTTAACTTACAGGAAGTTTGATACAGACATTTGTGGACAAATTACAGGAAGTTTGATACAGACAGTTGTGGTTAAATTACAGGAAGTTTGATACAGACATTTGTGGTTTAATTACAGGAAGTTTGATACAGATATTTCTGGTTAAATTACAGGAAGTTTGATACAGACATTTCTGGTTAAATTACAGGAAGTTTGACACAGATATTTCTGGTTAAATTACAGGAAGTTTGATACAGACATTTGTGGTTAAATTACAGGCTGTTTGATACAGATATTTCTGGTTAACTTACAGGAAGTTTGATACAGACATTTGTGGACAAATTACAGGAAGTTTGATACACAGTTGTGGTTAAATTACAGGAAGTTTGATACAGACATTTGTGGTTAAATTACAGGCTGTTTGATACAGATATTTCTGGTTAAACTACAGGCTGTTTGATACAGATATTTCTGGTTAAATTACAGGAAGTTTTTGATACAGATATTTTTGGACAAATTACAGGAAGTTTGATACAGACATTTGTGGACAAATTACAGGATGTTTGATACAGATATTTCTGGTTAATTTACAGGAAGTTTGATACAGATATTTCTGGTTAAATTACAGGCTGTTTGATACAGATATTTCTGGTTAACTTACAGGAAGTTTGATACAGACATTTGTGGACAAATTACAGGAAGTTTGATACACAGTTGTGGTTAAATTACAGGAAGTTTGATACAGACATTTGTGGTTAAATTACAGGCTGTTTGATACAGATATTTCTGGTTAAACTACAGGCTGTTTGATACAGATATTTCTGGTTAAATTACAGGAAGTTTTTGATACAGATATTTTTGGACAAATTACAGGAAGTTTGATACAGACATTTGTGGACAAATTACAGGATGTTTGATACAGATATTTCTGGTTAATTTACAGGAAGTTTGATACAGATATTTCTGGTTAAATTACAGGAAGTTTGATACAGACAGTTGTGGTTAAATTATAGGAAGTTTGATACAACAGACATTTGTGGTTAAATTACAGGCTGTTTGATACAGATATTTCTGGTTAAATTACAGGAAGTTTGATACAGATATTTCTGGTTAAATTACAGGAAGTTTGATACAGATATTTCTGGTTGAATTACAGGCTGTTTGATACAGACATTTGTGGACAAATTACAGGAAGTTTGATACAGACATTTGTGGTTAAATTACAGGAAGTTTGATACAGATATTTCTGGTTAAATTACAGGAAGTTTGATACAGATATTTCTGGTTAAATTACAGGAAGTTTGATACAGATATTTTTGGACAAATTACAGGAAGTTTGATACAGACAGTTGTGGTTAAATTACAGGAAGTTTGATACAACAGACATTTGATATGAAGGGAAACTTGAACAACTCTCAATGTCACTGTCTCTATAACGTATGTATTTGTTCTAAAACTTTTGATTGCAGTTTTATTTCCATGAAAACTATTGATGGGGCCATATCTTACAAACATTCTGATGACTCCTCAAATTAAAATAAAATGCTTTAAGTATGAAGTATGAACATCAGAAAGAAACCAGCCATTCTGGAATGGAAAGTCTCCTGTGCTTCATCCACCATGTTTATCTGGGTCAATCCAAATATTATGTTTTTAGAACCAGAACAGGTCTGTGTTATGTCCAATTTGGGGATTTACATACCAACAATTTCATACTTAGTTCATTATATTTCGTTTCCTTGTTTTTAGCTCACCTGGTCAAAAAGGCCATGTAGGAATGATTGGATTTTGCCCAAACATGGTTTGAAGCATTGGTGGGTGAAGGAAAACCATTTTGTAAAATTGATGGGTTCGGCCTCATGGGGAAGAAGGAGCAGGGCCAATAGGGGAAATAGAGCAAATACCCCTGGTACTATAAAATCCTACTCTTTTTGTAGGAATGAATGCATACAAAATGTATTTCCCAAATTTAGTCTGAGGTATTCCTTGGTGAAGCAGAATCAGTGTGTTAAAAAGTGGATTCTGGCCCCCTGGGATGGGAGGGGTGTGTCCAGTTAGTTAAACAGAGCAAATTCCTTAAAATCCAACTTCTTCATCAGGATTGATTAGATATGGCTCAAATTTGGTCAGAAATATTTTTATGTGAAGGTAACAAAGTTTATGTAAGGCTTGGTTATTTGTTCCCAGTGGTCTAAGGGGAAGGTCCAAAAGGGGAAATTTGGTAAGTTCTTTAAAATCTTGCCCAAATTTGGTCTTAGTATTCTTGAGTGAAGGGGACTAAGTTTTGTATAAACAGGGCATCCTGAGCCCCCTGGGACGGGAAGGATGGAGGGATGGGCCCAATTGAGGAACTTTTTAAAAGTCCCTCTTCCATACCAGGATATTGTCCAAGTTTGGCCTGAAACAATTTTTATAAAAAGCGAATCTGACCTCTGTTTGACCACAAAGGCATGACCAAATAAGGAAATTATATCAGAAATTGTTTGTTATATTTTAAATTTTTTATCAAATGGCTAAATAGCTTAATTAGTCAGGTGAGCAGTGCAGGTTCCTTGGGCCTTTTGTTTTGAAATTACATATAATGACTATACTGGATATGTAAACCTCTATACAAAACTTATCAAAGGGACCTACATGTATGATCAATGATCAGTTATCTCCCCTGAGCAGTGATCACATTGCCTGTATACTTTTCCCCATAGTGAACACATATAACAATGTAATTTTTTCGCTATCCTTGACAGTGATGTAGATTCTCTAGTTCCAGCCAATGGTATGTTGACACAGTGTACAGACTTCTGTCGTCATGTAGAGCAACACTTCCTAATTCACTCATTGACAAGGTCATCAGTGTTATTGAGAAAGGTGAGTTATTTTAGGGGTTATTAACTTTTATGGGTTTTTATAAGGTCACCAGAGACGAAGTCTCAAGTAACCTATTGCAATTGCTTTTAGTCCGGCTTCTGTCATGTGTCGTAAACAGTTGACATTTTCGATTTCTTCTCAATGACCAAAAGGCCCAGGGTGCTGATATTGGGCCAGTAGCATGCTCTGATGAATGGCAACCAAGTTTGTATAAATGAATGACCATGACCTACTTTCAAGGTCACTGGTGCCAAATGTGTTGAAATTGGTAAAAAACTTCTTCTCTATAACCTAAAGACTCGGGGTGCTGATATTGGCCATGTTGTAAGCTGGCATGAAAGGCTACCAGGTCTGTTCATATTTTTGATCTTGACCCACTTTTAAGGTCACATGTATCAAATATATCAAAAATCTTTAAATGACTATTTCCCAATAACCAAAAAACCTAGGGTCATGATATTAGGCCAGTAGCATGCTGGGATGAATTGCATCATGTTTGTTCAATTGAATGCCCTTGACCTTTATTCAAGGTCACAGGGGTCAGATATGCTAACCTATAACAACAGAGTGTTATCAGTTCTGTTTAATTGAAAATAAAGCCTTCAAAATTTTTAAACAATGAAAAGTTTTGTTAGTATGCATACTTCAGTTCTGTTCTGTCTGTCCCAGTGCTGGGACTGCTGGACAGGTTCTAAAAATGTCCACAGCCCTGAAGACCTCAGATTACTGTTAAGGCCCATGTTTTACAATAAATTCAAGGATGAAATATCAACATGGCAAAATTGATTCAATAATAGTATTAATAAAGCTATCCATTCTCTGTGAAAATGTTATCTTTTTACACTTAAGTTTTTAGTAAAACTGCCAAAATTTTAATCACGAAAGAAAAAAAAAAAAATAAAAAAAAAAAAATTAAAGTTAGAGTATTAGAAGAGGATCAGCAGTCATGGAGTAGTGGTCCTATGATATTTTTGTTTAGTTATTTTGCTGTGGAATGTTTATATCATATAATTCTATAAAAAGTAAAAGTATTCAGAACTGGATTAGATAGAATAAATGTACACGACATTGTCGATGGAGGTCACTATGTATAATGTATACTGGTAATGCACACGACATTGTCGATGGAGGTCACTATGTATAATGTATACTGGTAAGGTACACGACGTTATCGATGGAGGTCACTATGTATAATGTATACTGGTAATGTACACGACATTGTCGATGGAGGTCACTATGTATAATGTATACTTGTAATGCACACGACATTGTCGATGGAGGTCACTATGTATAATGTATACAAGGTACACGACATCGATGGAGGTCACTATGTATAATGTATACTGGTAATGTACACGACATTGTCGATGGAGGTCACTATGTATAATGTATACTGGTAATGCACACGACATTGTTGATGGAGGTCACTATGTATAATGTATACTGGTAAGGTACACGACGTTATCGATGGAGGTCACTATGTATAATGTATACTGGTAAGTCAATATATATACATATTGGTTTTAAACTAAGATAACTTCTTATTTTGTGTTCAGAATGTGAGAGAGACAACAATGGCCAAAAATCACAAGAAACTATAGAGTTCCAGCAGTATCTCCTGAAGAAATCCCTCAGTACCATGTTCCAAGACAGTGTTTCGCCTCAGCTGATCCTGGTCTCTGTGTGGGTAAGGACCTCCTCTGATGGTTATATTTAGGTTACAGTGGAGGAATCAGATCAAGTCACTAACAATCACTGATGGTATTGATTATTTTAAATGTCTGGTTAATTCACTTCTTTTGATATTACTCCTTACATCTTGATTCTGAAAATATTGGAAGGAAAAGAAATCATTTCTATACTAATGACAGAACAAAAGTAAGTCATATTGTTGAAATTGATGAAATATTAAAATATGAATTTGAATTGTATTTCATGTTACTTAAATCTATAAACATAACTATTATCTGTAACATATCCTATGAAATTACAGAGGACATAAATTTATCATCGGCTGACATATATATATTATAGAATTTTTTTACTTGTTAGATATTACTCCATCTTTTGAAGACCTTGATAAAGATTTTTGAAATACATGGAAAGCTTTCTTTTAACATGATTATTATCTGTTACAATTTCAGATTTTGGGAGAATGTGGAAATCATTTGAAAAATATGCCAAGTGAAAAAGTTATCTCCCTTGTTTTAAAACACTTTCAAAAGAAGACACTAGATGTCAGCACCAAACTGTGGATGGCATCATCACTGACAAAACTTGTGTGTGCCAAAGTATTGGACAAAGTTATTGTTACAAAAAGGCTGGCTGAGGCTCTGGAGGAGGAGAAAGATCCTGTAGTTAAACAGGTAATGCTCATTATATATCCTTCACAAATCCTTACTGAGGGTCTTGAGGAGGAGAAAGACCCTGTGGTCAAACAGGTAATGCACATTATGTTACCCTCGTAAATCCTTACGGAGGGTCTGGAATAGGAAAAAGATCCTGTGGTCAAATAGGTAATTATCATTATGTTTCCCTCATAAAGACTTACTGAGGTTCTAGAGGAGGAGAAAGGGGAGAAGGTATATAATGTCTGTAATTACAATTTATTTACAGAAGTTAACAGAGATGTTGAATCTAGCGCACAGCCAGATAGAACTGCTGCTTCCTACGGTGTCTTCTAGTCACGCCAAAACCCAACAACAGGTATTTATATACATATGAACAGGACTTTGCAAAAACGCTTTGGCCTGACACAATTTGGTCTGACATGATTTGGCCTGATATGATTTAAGAATAAGTGAAAAGTATGTTTTTGAAAATAAACATGATTACAGGACATGTTCACAAAGTTAGAAGCCTATGGTATTTTTAAGTGTAATAAAAACCTATTTTGGTCTGCAACATCCTTAGGTGGGGAATCTCAGCATATCTGAATCCTTCTTATGAATTTGAGAAATAATCAGAATTTCATTTTGTTTAGAAAAATCACAATTTTTTATCCAGATGGATTTCACGTTGAGTTTCCTCGACGACTACGTGAGCCAGTCCCTATCCGAAGGAGCGCTGCCATATAAACCACGGACTTTACGATACCAACCACCACAGCCTGCCTCAGGTTTGTTCTCATATAAAACCCTGATAGACCCTGAAACCTACTGCTGGGCTGGAGTGTTTCCCTCTTTAGGTCGATCAGTTGAGTACGAGTCTAGTAAGTCATAAAACCCTGATAGACCCTGATAGACCCTGAAACATACTGCGGAACTGGAGTGTTTCCCTCTTTAGGTCGATCAGTTGAGTACGAGTCTATTAAGTCATAAAACCCTGATAGACCCTGAAACATACTGCTGGACTGGAGTGTTTCCCTCTTTAGGTCGATCAGTTGAGTACGAGTCTAGTAAGTCATAAAACCCTGATAGACCCTGATAGACCCTGAAACCTACTGCTGGACTGGAGTGTTTCCCTCTTTAGGTCGATCAGTTGAGTACGAGTCTAGTAAGTCATAAAACCCTGATAGACCCTGAAACATACTGCTGGACTGGAGTGTTTCCCTCTTTAGGTTGATCAGTTGATTACGAGTCAAGTAAGTCATAGGTCTGTGGTTCAATCTCTACAGGACTGGAGGTGATGAAATACAATGATGCCCATGTAGATGAGGTTGATATTTATTCCAGTTCCTCCATTAGGTATGGAGTCCAGGACCTCTGGCTCCTACTGACGAGCTGATCAGATAGAGAAGTCTTTCTACCTGAGTGGTATATACTGTCCAGTATTTACCTACATTACACTAATACCTAATGTTAGTGCCAAATGTTCTGACATGGCCTTTGTTTCTATACTTTATGGAGATTTTTTTTTTTCCGGTTATTTTCAACTTTGTACCATTATACAGGAATTTACTTTGTTGCCCTCTGAGGATAAAATAAAGTTGTATAAGGGTAACATATTTTCACCTTAAATTCACCCTCCCTGTTTCGGGTGAAAAGGGTGAAAAAAATGGTGAAAATTACACAAGAGTCAAATTATTAGTTAAGTAATTAAGATTTTTTTTTGTTTACACTACTTAATTAGTTAATTGGATTAAGAAATGATTAAGAAACATCATAAATACTTGTCTTATCAGGAAAATAAGCATTAGGTCCTGGAAAAACACACATTACATTCGATATTTAGGAGATGTATATGCTTAGTACAACTGAGTTTGCTTTCCCAGATCTATTCCATGGATTGAATGATGTAACCAAGGACAACACAGAGAGCACTGCAAAGGAAACACTGTCACAGGGGTCAACTGAGAAACAAACTGGAGGATCAGAAGGAGGCAGTGACCTTACAGGGGGTCAAAGGTCGGTATTGATATCAAACTCATTATCTTTCACATGTTTGTGATTATAGTAAGAGTGTTTATTCTTTCTTAGTTTTTGTTTTGAAGAAAAAGAAGAAAAGAGTTTTCAATTACAACTAATGGTAGTTATTGCAATAAGGAACTCTTTAGAAATGAAGGAAATTATTTTAACAGGTCATTTGGGGCAAGTCTTTAAACAAGCAAGCATGGCTACAAATATCAAATTTCTGCCTTCTCTGTTTATGTCTGATTTTGTCAGGGACATTTAAATAGGTGGAAATTTACACTTATGGTCATTGCTAACAAAGTGTTAAGAATAAGAATCAAGTGATGAATATTCTGGCCATGTTATGTTAGATCAGTTTAGATTTTGTCCTTTCCACTTAACTGTCCTGCTTCTGTCTGACTCAGTGAAAGATAATCATTGAATCTGCTACATACTGTTATATTAAAGCCATATATTACCATCTGCTTTAAACAGGGACAGTGGGCTCAACATGGAAGGTGTGAAACGTGTTTGGGGCAGAAAGGGTGTAATACCCAACCCTGACCCTAATGCGTCAGTGGCTAGGGAACCTCAAAGAGGAGACAACCAGGATCCTTCAGAGGGTCTCAATGGTGTTGATAGTGAGGTTGAAGAGGACAAGGCCAAAAAATTGGAGCTAGCGACGGCATTATTCAGTGGAATAACTGGGCCTGTAAGTCTTGGTTGTAGATAGATATCTAAAAAGTTATCCCTTAGCATGGGATTATGATTTAACAATAAAATGTTGTAGTTCAAACTCTATTTAAAAAATCACAAATGTTTTTAACACTAAATACTTCATAACAAGACTTTTTTTAAAAATAGAAACTTACGACCTTTGTTTAATTCTAGAAGTTGAGAGTAAAGGTCCCTTTACTAGCTTTAGCTAGTGGGAATTTCCTTTAAGTCAAGCAGCAGAGTGTCTGGCTAGAGACTAGAGGGTGGCTAGTTTGAACCCTAGCAATGGCAGGGTTATTTTTCCTTACTCCTTCCTATTACACAAATTATTGTGATAAAGATTTTTTCAAATCCAGTGTGATTTAAATTCCTTTATCAAAACATGTTTCTCTGAAACAAAACGGCAGACTTTTTAATCATTTATTTCAGACTAAACAGAATTCTGGAGTAGATGACAAGACAGAAACCTCCTCATTACTGGATAATTGTTCCCAAGGAAGCAAGGACTCTGGAGGTTCCAGTTACGAGGCATCAGGAAGCTCCAGTCATGAGGCCATGTCTGCCAAACCCCTCCCCACAGGTGACACAGGGGGCTGGAGAAATCTACACAAACAATCAACGTTCAAAATTGAAAATTCTCTCTCGCCATCTAATGAAACTGAACCTAAATCAACACTCTTCAACGCTGAAGTAAATGAACAGAACTTTTCTTCAACAGAGTTTGGTGGTGTTGAAGAACCAAATATGTTAGAACTTTCTACAAGTGTTTCTGATCTCGACACAGACTTGACTGCATCTCTGTATGCGGAAGGGAAGGACGATTTATTAGGTGACATTAGTGCAGTTGTTAATTCTCCAAATCTATGGAGTCAAGGGATTCATAGAGACAGCAGTTTCTGTAACCTAGATAATCGCCCTTGTTTACCGGGCTCAACCAGTGCACATAGCCTATATAACATTCTCTCTCCAGAAAATGAGAATCATCGATTTGTTGCCATGGAAACTGAAACTGAGAAACAGGTCCCAGAAGGAGACATTACAGAAACGTTGTATGATGAATATACCGATCAACCTTAATGTATAAATCTACAAATAAAATCCGACATTATGTGTGTGTGAAGTTTTATTCTTTCATGTATTTTTACAGAAAGTATAGGAAGGTTTGGTGGCATAGTGGTAATGTACTCGCATTTCACCAAGCAGTCCTTGGTTCAGTTCCCGGAAAGGTCAAGGTTCACCTACTTGATCATGTGGGTTTTCACCAGATTCTTAGGAATCCTCTCACAGCGTGCACTTACATCTGCACCAACAAGAGTGAGTATCTGGTCGTATAAGGTGAAATCACTTGTTCAACAATTGTTGTAGAAGAAATAATGTTTATAATAATCAAATAGTATAGGACAAATTAAAAAAACCAACACTGTATTCATAGGGTTATTTCCCTTGTACAATTATACGTTTATTTGCCCCATGTTCATTTCATTCTCTGAGGATTTTATAAAAGCATTAAATAAGTGTAACAAATTTTTGCCTGCATCTTATTTACCCTCCCCATTCATTGATGAAAAAGGCAAAAATGACACAAGGGTGTGGGATGTATTGGGGGAGAGGGACAGCAGAGAGGGCAGCAGGGAGTGACTGTAGTGGTGACTACAGACTGTACAGAGGTAACTACAGACTGTACAGTGGTAAATACAGACTGTACAATGGTGACTACAGACTGCACAATGGTAACTACAGACTGTAACTACAGACTGTACAATGGTAACTACAGACTGTACAATGGTAACTATATACTGTACATTGGTGACTACAGACTGTACAATGGTGACTACAGACTGTACAGTGGTAACTACAGACTGTACAGTGGTGACTACAGACTGTACAGTAGTAACTACAGACTGTACAATGGTAACTATATACTGTACAGTGGTGACTACAGACTGTACAGTGGTAACTACAGACTACAGTGGTAACTAGACTGTACAATGGTGACTACAGACTTTACAGTGGTGCCTACAGACTGTACAGTGGAAACTACAGACTACAATGGTGACTACAGACTGTACAATGGTAACTACAGACTGTACAGTGGTAACTACAGACTACAGTGGTAACTACAGACTGTACAATGGTGACTACAGACTTTACAGTGGTGCCTACAGACTGTACAGTGGTAACTACAGACTACAGTGGAAACTACAGACTACAATGGTGACTACAGACTGTACAATGGTAACTACAGACTACAATGGTGACTACAGACTGTACAATGGTAACTACAGACTGTACAGTGGTAACTACAGACTACAATGGTGACTACAGACAGTACAGTAGTAACTACAGACTGTACAATGGTAACTATATACTGTACATTGGTGACTACAGACTGTACAATGGTGACTACAGACTGTACAGTGGTGACTACAGACTGTACAGTAGTAACTACAGACTGTACAATGGTGACTACAGACTGTACAATGGTGACTACAGACTGTACAATGGTGACTACAGACTGTACAATGGTGACTACAGACTGTACAGTGGTGACTACAGACTGTACAGTAGTAACTACAGACTGTACAATGGTGACTACAGACTGTTCAGTGGTAACTACAGAATGTACAATGGTGACTACAGACTGTACAGTGGTAACTACATACTACAGTGGTAACTACAGACTGTACAATGGTGACTACAGACTTTACAGTGGTGCCTACAGACTGTACAGTGGTAACTACAGACTGTACAGTGGTAACTACAGACCGTACAGTGGTGACTACAGACTGTACAGTGGTGACTACAGACTGTACAGTAGTAACTACAGACTGTACAGTGGTAACTATAGACTGTACAATGGTAACTACAGACTGTACAATGGTAACTATATACTGTACATTGGTGACTACAGACTGTACAGTGGTAACTACAGACTGTACAGTGGTGACTACAGACTGTACAGTGGTGACTACAGACTGTACAGTAGTAACTACAGACTGTACAGTGGTAACTATAGACTGTACAATGGTAACTACAGACTGTACAATGGTAACTATATACTGTACATTGGTGACTACAGACTGTACAATGGTAACTATATACTGTACATTGGTAACTACAGACTGTACAGTAGTAACTACAGACTGTACAGTGGTAACTATAGACTGTACAATGGTGACTACAGACTGTACAGTGGTGACTACAGACTGTACAGTGGTGACTACAGACTGTACAGTGGTGACTACAGACTGTACAGTAGTAACTACAGACTGTACAATGGTAACTATATACTGTACATTGGTGAATACAGACTGTACAATGGTGACTACAGACTGTACAGTGGTGACTACAGACTGTACAGTAGTAACTACAGACTGTACAGTGGTAACTATAGACTGTACAATGGTAACTACAGACTGTACAATGGTAACTATATACTGTACATTGGTTACAGTGGTAACTACAGACTGTACAGTGGTGACTACAGACTACAATGGTAACTACAGACTGTACAATGGTGACTACAGACTGTACAATGGTAACTACAGACTGTACAGTGGTAACTACAGACTACAATGGTAACTACAGACTGTACAGTGGTAACTACAGACTACAGTGGTAACTATAGACTGTACAGTGGTAACTACAGACTACAGTGGTAACTATAGACTGTACAGTGGTGACTACAGACTGTACAGTGGTAACTACAGACTACAATGGTGACTACAGACTACAGTGGTAACTATAGACTGTACAGTGGTGACTACTGTACAGTGGTGACTACAGACTACAATGGTGACTACAGACTTTACAGTGGTAACTATAGACTGTACAGTGGTGACTACAGACTGTACAGTGGTGACTACAGACTGTACAGTGGTGACTACAGACTACAGTGGTAACTACAGACTGTACAGTGGTGACTACAGACTGTACAGTGGTAACTACAGACTGTACAGTGGTGACTACAGACTGTACAGTGGTAACTACAGACTGTACAGTGGTAACTACAGACTACAGTGGTAACTACAGACTGTACAGTGGTGACTACAGACTGTACAGTGGTAACTACAGACTACAATGGTGACTACAGACTGTACAGTGGTGACTACAGACTGTACAGTGGTGACTACAGACTGTACAGTGGTAACTACAGACTGTACAGTGGTGACTACAGACTACAATGGTGACTACAGACTGTACAGTGGTAACTACAGACTGTACAGTGGTAACTACAGACTGTACAGTGGTAACTACAGACTACACTGGTAACTACAGACTGTACAGTGGTGACTACAGACTGTACAGTGGTAACTACAGACTGTACAGTGGTGACTACAGACTGTACAGTGGTAACTACAGACTGTACAATGGTAACTATATACTGTACAGTGGTAACTACAGACTGTACAGTGGTGACTACAGACTGTACAGTGGTAACTACAGACTGTACAGTGGTGACTACAGACAGTACAATGGTAACTATATACTGTACAGTGGTAACTACAGACTGTACAGTGGTAACTACAGACTACAATGGTAACTACAGACTGTGACTACAGACAGTACAATGGTAACTACATACTGTACAGTGGTAACTACAGACTGTACAGTGGTAACTACAGACTACAATGGTAACTACAGACTGTACAATGGTAACTACAGACTGTACAGTGGTGACTACAGACTACAGTGGTAACTACAGACTGTACAGTGGTGACTACAGACAGTACAATGGTAACTATATACTGTACAGTGGTAACTACAGACTGTACAATGGTAACTACAGACTGTACAGTGGTGACTACAGACTACAGTGGTAACTACAGACTGTACAGTGGTGACTACAGACAGTACAATTGTAACTATATACTGTACAGTGGTAACTACAGACTACAATGGTAACTACAGACTGTACAATGGTAACTACAGACTGTACAGTGGTGACTACAGACTACAGTGGTAACTACAGACTGTACAGTGGTGACTACAGACTGTACAGTGGTAACTACAGACTACAATGGTAACTACAGACTGTACAATGGTAACTACAGACTGTACAGTGGTGACTACAGACTACAATGGTGACTACAGACTGTACAGTGGTTACTACAGACTGTACAGTGGTAACTACAGACTGTACAGTGGTAACTACAGATTGTACAATGGTGACTACAGACTGTACAATGGTAACTACAGACTGTACAGTGGAGATAGTTAAACAGCATGCTGACTATTGTCACAATGCCACCAATATCTAGTCATAATAATAATAATAATAACCTTTATTTATCGTCGTGTACAGGTTAACAATAAACAAAAGCTCTGTAGAGCTTTTATTACGACACCGCTGAGGGAACAAATGTTTCAACGGTGGAGGAAAACCCACGGGGTAAAACCACCGTGCCATCGGAGGGATAACAACTAACCCTATCAGACATCACTCTCTTTTTCCACCACCGCTGGGGATCGAACCGAAATTCTTGGAAGAGTGAGTGGTCTGAAGCTCACGCTTCATTGCACACAGTATTAATGACTGTGCGCATTAGCGGTCACGGCTAACGAGGCACCCTGTAGCTGTGTAAAATTAAGGATGACATAATAGATTGCATGCTGTATACCTAAAGAAGTTTTTTCATTGTAACAAGATTGCAGAAGGATAATGGCATCCATCATTGTACAATCTTTATTTGAGCTTGTAAGTTGGATTTTTCTCTTTCCTTCTTTTTACTACCCCTGGTATATGAAATTTCAGAACGCATAAAAAATACATTGAGTAGCAATGATAATCTATAAATTTCAATCCACCTGTCAGCCATTTTCATTTCCTGATGAGTCCCAACATGAAACAGGAACGAGGGACAAAAAGAACCTGTCTTTAAAATTAAAAAAGATCCCTCTACAAGTACTTCTCTAGAAATAGCGATAGCAGATTTTTTTTTTTTTTTTGATAGATTTTTTTTTTTTTGTTTTTTTTGCAATCAGTCTCAAATATACATAAAATTTGAAAAAGATCCATTCAGTTTCTCCAATGAAAAATCCAAGATGGCTGCCTTTCATTTATTTCGTTTTTCTGATTAGTCCCAAAATCTGAAGAGCACAACTAGGGACCAGAGAAAGCCAGTGTATATTAAACTTGTGTTTCATATAGCCCTCATCAAGTAATAGTTATAACAAGAATTATTTTAGGATAGACCATGAATGCAAGATGATTTCAACATCATTTTGTTTAATAAATTTCCATTAAGTCTGTGACACAATTTTTATTCAGAAAAGAAAACAATTTAAATTTTTTTCTCAGCAATTTGCTTGATTTATTCAATTAAACAATTCACAATGTTACAAGCAGTGATATATACCAACAGTCCCACAGACCGTAACTCTCCCAAGTATCACATAAATGGCAAGTATACAGCCCAACCCAGCCAGGTGTAACAAACAAGTATACAGTCCAACCCAGCCAGGTGTAACAAACATCATAATGTGATGTCAGCATAGGAAAATGATGCAGTCAACCTGGCCAGGCATAACAAACATCCTTAAGTGATGTTATGATAGCGAAACCAAGCACTCTTACCTAAAAGCATTGATAACTTAAGTTTCTAGTTTACATGGCGTAGTAATCCTTGGTTTAAAACCATCAACTCAGCCTGTAATTTTAATATTTGTGTTCTGATTGCATCCAAAGTCATACTTCATCCAGATTAAGGTACCAATCTTACCAATCAATCAAACCAGTAGAATTAATTTTTTTTATGTGTTTTTTATCTGAAAGTTGATGTTTTTGTTGAACTTGACCTCATGACATTGACCTACTTCTGCACTGACAGGAAAATTAGAATGAAAAATTAAATCTACATTTGTTGACATGATACAGATGAGTACATACATGATACACATATACAAATTCTACATAACTTCCGATACCATTACCTTCACAATTCAGGAAGTAATGACTAATACTCAAATGAAACAAAAGCAATGAAAAATATTTCAAGATTACTGAAGAAATTTCCCAACAAATTCAGAAATACCTTGCTACATTTTCTAAAAGACTAAGTTAGTGATAACTCTCATCACAGAACTTCTTAATTCATGTAAAAATATTTTCTTCTATGACTGTGTATCGAAAATTTCCCAACAAATTCAGAAATACCTTGCTACATTTTCTAAAAGACTAATTTAGTGATAACTCTCATCACAGAACTTCTTAATTCATGTGAAAATATTTTCTTCTATGACTGTGTATCGAAAATTCTTTACATGAAAATTTTTTTTAAGCAAACAGATTTGACGTCTTTTAGATAAGATCATTTTGAAAATATCTGCATTTCAAAAGTAAGTGTAACATTAGATTTTTTCAGAATCTAGGATCATTTTCAAGGAAAAGTCACAACAAACAAAAATGATGCTGAAAAAAACATTGTTAACTTAATTAAATCAATGACCTCACAAAAGTAAACTGTGAAAAATAAAAAAATGAAATTGCACATAAAGTAAAATTAAAGCCAACACATACATATGTAAAATAAAATGTCTATTACACGTTGTAATTACTTCTAAATAACAAAAAAATTAAAACAAAACAGAAACAACTAAAAGATATTAAAAAGAAACTAGAATGTAAATAACTAAGAAAAAAAAGTATAAACAGACTCAGAATTCCAGAAAAACAGGTCCCACAAATGTTACAGTTGTGTGCGGTACTACGGTAAGTTGGATATCTCTACAAATCTCCAAAATACAAAATGAAACACAGAAAATATGTTTTAAATGCATTACTAGTCTGGACTAATAACCCAAGTAAATATACAGAAGAATGTTTGTTTCAAAATTAAATGTTAAACTTTGTGAAACAGTCTGTACACACAGCATATCACAAGTCATGCCAACAATAGAATGACTGAACAAAACTATAAAACTTGAAACAGTCTTTATCTAATGACATTCGCCTGTAGTAAAAACTTAATGGAAAGATTAAACTTTTCTGAAACAGACTATAACTAAAATTAATGAATATATTTTCATAAATTAATTTTCAATACATATTAAACATGCCATACAAAAGTTTTTCTTCAATAATTACAATCATAGTGTTCCTATATTCCTCACTCTTCACTCAACAGTTACAATAACATAATGAGATCAGGTGTTAAGACGACTAGACAACTTTCATACACCTCACAAACTAAAAATTTTAATAAAATGGGAATTCTTCTAAATAAGAAATCTCATAACTTTTAATAGGGTAGATCTAGATATTCTTTAGTGTACAATTATGCTAGAAAATTTCGAGGGAATTCACTCTTTTTAAATTTTTTTATCAATCAATGTTTCTTGCTTTATCCAATCAAATCCATCTACTTTTCATAATTATTTTTGTCAATAAAAATATTTTTTATTTTGTATCTTTAATTTTCAATAATCTGTGATTCTTTCTTCAAATCCTAATGTAGTTTTATTTAAGTATTTTTTCTGTTGTTGTGACTCAAATCAACAAGTTTGATGAAAAATACACACCCTCTAAGTTAATTAACTTTAATCAGATATAATATTCTACATAACTTAGGAATTACTTTTTGAAATAACTTGTGGAATGGAACTAAAGCACAACGGAATTCATTATATAGATATAGAGAGAATTTTTGTCGGTGCTATGTCCAACTATTGACTTTACCTTACAGCAAATCCTAGTCTAGATCTCATTACTGTTGCTCTGAACTTCAGGTTTGGAAATAATTAAATCTTTTCAATTCATAAAAAAATGTACGTAGAGTTTTACACTGTATTTACTAATTGATGAAATTAAATACACACTGTACAATTTAACACATATTTTGCGAGTTGCGCCATCATTATGTAGTATTGAAAACACCATTCACACACTTTTCACATCATTCTTATTTCTCATTGAATTTCAAAAAGTATGATATATTAGGGACATTATAACTTTACATGGTATTTATAGACGTAAGTGTTATAGGTATAATAATATTCATTTGAAAACTTTACTATAAAACGTTTAAATAAGGATATCATCAGCACAGAAATTTAAGCTGTAGAATTAAATGTCAGATTATAAACATCCCATGCTGAAATTCCAGTAAATATAATGCAAGCATAAATATATTATAATTTTCTCAAACTAAATAATAAAAAATAAATAATAAAAAATTTGCATATAGGCTTGAAGGTAAACAAATAATCAATATATATAAAGGCTTGGATGCCATTTATTCCAAAAGGTAAACATTGTATCTAGAAGTAATATTGTAACTGTATATATGTATTAATATTACGACCGGGACATAATTCAAAGATAAATGTATCTACAATTCTGGTTACAACAAATGGCACAACAGATTTGAGCGTGGGTTTGTACATTTAATATGTAAGTGTTTGGACTTACTATATTATATCTAAAATAAAGGATTGATACATTGAAATTTCCATCACAAAATTAACTTGTATACTTTCAACGAGAAACTGGTGTTATTGCATGAGTTATTCCCCTTTGATATTTTATACTATTTGACAAAAATCAAAAGAATTCAAATAAAACAATCACCAGTTTACCAGGCGACAAAATCGTAATAAAACAAACGATATATTTCGTTCCCAATCTCTTTCTTGGATCACAAACTATAAGACACTAACAAGTATTACTGAAGTGTGTACACCTGGTATATATAGTTGTTTTACACAGTATCAGTTTTCTGTCAGGCTTTCTCTGTCAAAATTGAAGTGCACGAGTATTTACAGAGCAGAATATTTCCTGCTTTATTTTACATCAATTAACTTAAGCATATGGCAATAAAATATCACTTTTCTAATCTATAATTATATTCATATATATATGCAAACAAAAAAAATCACCCAGCCATTTAAGACACTTTTAAGGCGCAGCTTGACATCGTCCACAGTCATTTTTTAAACTCACTAAGTGAGATGATAACCATTTGATCTTCATCCTGCTGAATAAAGTTCCATTTTAGTGCATCAGCAGCATACAAGACAAAGTCAGTAACATCACTAGGTGGCAGCACTCAATTGCTCACTAGGTGGCAGCACTTATTTGCCAAAAAGATGGCAATACATTTTTGTCAAAAAGATGGCAATATATTTTTGCTCACTAGGTGGCAGAACTTATTTGCTAACAAGGTGGCAATGTAAATTTGCTCACTAGGTGGCAGCACTTTTTTGCTAACAATGTGGTGATGCGTATTTGCTCACTAGGTGGCAGCAGAGTTGCAGATATGAAAATTTCTGTAATTACTTTCCTCTCATCATGGTGTCCTTGATTTTACTGGCAATCCACTGGAACAAAATGTAAGATTGTTATTGTATAAACAGCCATCATATCAGAAGACGCGTATTATTAAAAGCTGTGTAAGTAAATATGGTAAACAGTAGCAGCAAAATACTGCTGTGATAGATCTTAATTCTTTTAAGCTTGATAAGTTAAGCTTGATAAGTTGAGCATCAGACAAAGTAAGCCAAAAGTCCATGGTATGATCCCTAGTGGACACATTAAAATAAATATAATGACCTCTGTTATCTATAAGTCCATCACAACAAAAGACTTAATGTTACTATCCCAAATGTACAAGAGGAAATTTGAACTATGCCATTTGACCTTCCTGTCAATCTTGATCCCATTTACCTACTTCAGTCATTGATAACAAGTCTGAACCCTTTACCTCGGCCAGTCGCTGATCTCCAATAGACACCTCCTTCTTGGCTGTACTACTACTGAAGAGAAATTTCTTCTTTTCTTTTTCCTGAAAAAAAAATAAGAAATGTCTGTGAATGATTCTCCATGAGTGGAAATTACTTCACAACGAGCAAAATGAGGACTTAATTTTGAGAGTGTTTTCATAATTGTTCTTCAGTATTCAGTCTACATTAAGAACAAAATTGAGAAACTTGAGTAAGTCTACATCTTTGACAAGATTAATACTACAGTGTAAAAAATTCTTATGTGCATGTGTTTCCCCAATTCTTCAAATACTTCTTACTTGACATATAGGCTGATTCTATCAGGTTTATTTCAGTAATATCCTGACCTTTTCTGAAGGTCAATTTGATTGTGACCTTGACCTTATAAATATACCTAGAGGTAGATTTTGATGAGATCTTGATCTTACATTGCTGTAAGTTTCAATGTAACCTTGACCTTACCCTGTGGTAGATTTTTTATGAGACCTTGACCTATCATTGTTGTTTAAATGTAACCTTGACCTTACTTTTGGTAGATTTTGATGAGACCTTGACCTTACATTGCTGTAAGATTCAATGTAACCTTGACCTTACCTTGCAGTAGATTTTGATGAGGCCTTGACCTGACATTGCTGTAAGTTTCCATGTAACCTTGACCTTACCTTGAGGTAGATTTCGATGCCCTTTTGTGACCTTTTTGGTGGTTCCTTCATTTCCACCCAGGTGTAGGTCCAGTCAGCGTCCCAGTGACCGAAAATTTCTCCACGGTTCGCAAAGATCACCCGCCTTAAATATATTAAAGTAAAACATGTAAATAAACATCTAAAATCTTTGAAATAAAGATAAACAACAACAATATGATATCTGATCTCATAGTCGACTGAACAACAAACAGGACTACATAAATAACAAACACAACCAAATGTATATTAACATAATACCAAGAACTAAAACAGTAATAAACATTAACGAATCACTTTCTAATGTCTAAATATATTCTTCATCATTTCTCATCTAGGGCTAGAAATGGAGTTACACAATATACATGTAGGCTATTTTGTAATTTTTATAGAAATGGGAAGCAGAGAAACATACTTGTCAGTGACGAGGAGGACATGTTTACTGTCACGGCTAAGGACAAGATGGGCGACATAATGGTCTGTGGCGGCAAATTTACCCTTCTCAGTTTCCTGGGGATGTAAGATATAATATCAGCATTTAAAGACCTACCTCTACACTTCATATCAAAATCTGATAAAATAATGATGTAAAATTTAGATAAAACCATTGCAAAAGCAGTATTACAGAGTGGGAATTTACAGAATAATTCATAACTTATCACAGAGAGGGAATTTAGAGAATAATTCATAACTTATCACAGAGAGGGAGTTTAGAGAATAATTCATAACTTATCACAGTGAGGAAATTTAGAGAATAATTCATAACTTATCACAGATAGGGAGTTTAGAGAATAATTCATAACTTATCACAGAGAGGAAATTTAGAGAATAATTCATAACTTATCACAGAAAGGATTTAAGAATAATTCATAACTTATCACAGTAGGAAATTGAGAGAATAATTCATAACTTATCACAGTGAGGAAATTGAGAGAATAATTCATAACTTATCACAGAAAGGGAGTTTAGAGAATAATTCATAACTTATCACAGAGAGGGAGTTTAGAGAATAATTCATAACTTATCACAGAAGGAAATTGAGAGAATAATTCATAACTTATCACAGAGAGGAAATTTAGAGAATAATTCATAACTTATCACAGAGAGGAAATTTAGAGAATAATTCATAACTTATCACAGAGAGGAAATTTAGAGAATAATTCATAACTTATCACAGAGAGGAAATTTAGAGAATAATTCATTTAGAGAATAATTCATAACTTATCACAGAGAGGGATTAACAGAATAATTTACAGCTTATACAATCACAAATTATCAATAAAAGACTCAATGAATGACTTATATAATCTAGATATAACATTTGTAAGTACAGTATTACAGAGAGAGATTTAGAGAATGAGATTCAGAAAATAACCGATAATGTGATACAGATATGTATTGTTATTAAGAAATTTAGAGTATGAACTATTTAGAGACTTACACTAAGAATGGCATAGCCTTCTGCTTCCTGTTTGTTATAAGGACGAATAACTCTGTCACTATGGAAACGTCTCGGGGGCCTTATCCTACGAATTTCATCTGAAAAGTCTGTAATCCTGAAAAGAGATTCATCTTATACATATGTATTATAAATAAATTCTTCAAAATTCACCCTATTTCAATCAGCAGCATAACACCTGGATGACTGAAACCTTGATTTTTCATGCCACAGAACATTCAGCCCATTAAAAACTGAAATGTTATATCGCTGTCCTATAATATGCCCATCCCCTAGTTACACGAGGAGATTGTGTTGGTTTCTTGGTCGCTGTCCTATAATAAGCCCACCCCCTAGTTACACATGGAGATTGTGTTGGTTTCCTGGTTGCTGTCCAATAATAAGCCCATCCCCTAGTTACACAAGAAGATTGTGTTGGTTTCCTGGTCACTGTCCTATAATAAGCCCACCCCCTAGTTACACATGGAGATTGTGTTGGTTTCCTGGTCGCTGTCCTATAATAAGCCCATCCCCTACTTACACAAGGAGATTGTGTTGGTTTCCTGGTCACTGTCCAATAATAAGCCCACCCTCTAGTTACACAAGGAGATTGTGTTGCTTTCCTGGTCGCTGTTCTATAATAAGCCCATCCCCTAGTTACACAAGGAGATTGTGTTGGTTTCCTGGTTGCTGTCCTATAATAAGCCCATCCCCTAGTTACACAAGGAGATTGTGTTGGTTTCCTGGTCGCTGTCCTATAATAAGCCCACCCTCTAGTTACACAAGGAGATTGTGTTGGTTTCCTGGTTGCTGTCCTATAATAACCCCGCCCCCTAGTTACAAAAGGAGACTGTGTTGCTTTCCTGGTCGCTGTCCTATAATAAGCCTACTCCCTAGTTACACAAAGAGATTGTGTTGGTTTCCTGGTCGCTGTCCTATAATAAGCCCACCCCCTAATTACACAAGGGGATTGTGTTGCTTTCTTGGTCGCTGTCCTATAATAAGCCTACTCCCTAGTTACACAAGGAGATTGTGTTGGTTTCCTGGTCGCTGTCCTATAATAAGCCCACCCCCTAGTTACACAAGGAGATTGTGTTGGTTTCCTGGTCGCTGTCCTATAATAAGCCCACCCCCTAGTTACACATGGGGATTGTGTTGCTTTCCTGGTCTAAGTGCAGGATAAATACATTATTTTCAAATCAACAACACCTTGACAATCACAAAATAAATCATTTAAGGAAGATTTATTTCTATTTAATACACTACCTTTTGATTCCCTCCAGTGAACTGCTGGCAAAGTCAATCACTCCACTGGTTGGCCTGGTAACCACACCAACCAAACCCTTTCCAACACCTACAAGGGAGGTAACTCTCATTAATCAATCAATGACACAGACAGTGAATGTTTAACAGATCTCAGTATCTACTTAAGGATTCAACACAATCAGAGTAGATTTGATGTTCACACTAACTGTTTACTTGAGCAGTTTTGATTTTCTGAACTCTGATCTCTAGAATTATTGAATTCAATTCTTCCACCTTGCTGACAGTTTCTAAAACTTGATAGAGATATAATGTATCATGCTACTGAGTGGTATGTATACAGTCTGTGTAATGTCTATGGTTATCTGTATGTATACAGTCTGTGTAATGTCTATGGTTATCTGTATGTATACAGTTTGTGTAATGTCTATGGTTATCTGTATGTATACAGTCTGTGTAATGTCTATGGTTATCTGTATGTATACAGTTTGTGTAATGTCTATGGTTATCTGTGTGTATAAGTTTGTGTAATGTCTATGGTTATCTGTATGTATACAGTTTGTGTAATGTCAGGTTATCTGTATGTATACTGTGTATGGTTATCTGTATGTATACAGTTTGTGTAATGTCTATGGTTATCTGTATGTATACAGTTTGTGTAATGTCTATGGTTATCTGTATGTATACAGTTTGTGTAATGTCTATGGTTATCTGTATGTATACAGTTTGTGTAATGTCTATGGTTATCTGTATGTATACAGTTTGTGTAATGTCTATGGTTATCTGTATGTATACAGTCTGTGTAATGTCTATGGTTATCTGTATGTATACAGTTTGTGTAATGTCTATGGTTATCTGTATGTATACAGTTTGTGTAATGTCTATGGTTATCTGTATGTATACAGTTTGTGTAATGTCTATGGTTATCTGTGTGTATAAGTTTGTGTAATGTCTATGGTTATCTGTATGGGTGACAGTCTGTGTAATGTCTATGGTTATCTGTATGGGTGACAGTTTGTGTAATGTCTATGGTTATCTGTATGGGTGACAGTTTGTGTAATGTCTATGGTTATCTGTATGTATACAGTCTGTGTAATGTCTACATGTATACAGTTTGTGTAATGTCTATGGTTATCTGTATGTATACAGTAATGTCATGTTATCTGTATGTATACAGTCTGTGTAATGTCTATGGTTATCTGTAATGTCTATGGTTATCTGTATGTATACAGTTTGTGTAATGTCTATGGTTATCTGTATGTATACAGTCTGTGTAATGTCTATGGTTATCTGTATGGGTGACAGTTTGTGTAATGTCTATGGTTATCTGTATGTATACAGTCTGTGTAATGTCTATGGTTATCTGTATGTATACAGTTTGTGTAATGTCTATGGTTATCTGTATGTATACAGTCTGTGTAATGTCTATGGTTATCTGTATGTATACAGTTTGTGTAATGTCTATGGTTATCTGTATGGGTGACAGTCTGTGTAATGTCTATGGTTATCTGTATGGGTGACAGTTTGTGTAATGTCTATGGTTATCTGTATGTATACAGTTTGTGTAATGTCTATGGTTATCTGTATGTATACAGCTTGTGTAATGTCTATGGTTATCTGTATGTATAGAGTTTGTGTAATGTCTATGGTTATCTGTAATGTCTATGGTTATCTGTATGTATACAGTTTGTGTAATGTCTATGGTTATCTGTATGTATACAGTCTGTGTAATGTCTATGGTTATCTGTATGTATACAGTTTGTGTAATGTCTATGGTTATCTGTATGTATACAGTTTGTGTAATGTCTATGGTTATCTGTATGTATACAGTCTGTGTAATGTCTATGGTTATCTGTATGTATACAGTCTGTGTAATGTCTATGGTTATCTGTATGTATACAGCTTGTGTAATGTCTATGGTTATCTGTATGTATACAGTTTGTGTAATGTCTATGGTTATCTGTATGTATGTATACAGTTTGTGTAATGTCTATGGTTATCTGTATGTATACAGCTTGTGTAATGTCTATGGTTATCTGTATGTATGACAGTCTGTGTAATGTCTATGGTTATCTGTATGTATGTATACAGTTTGTGTAATGTCTATGGTTATCTGTATGTATACAGTTTGTGTAATGTCTATGGTTATCTGTATGTATACAGTTTGTGTAATGTCTATGGTTATCTGTATGTATACAGTTTGTGTAATGTCTATGGTTATCTGTATGTCTGTGTAATGTCTATGGTTATCTGTATGAGTGACAGTTTGTGTAATGTCTATGGTTATCTGTATGAGTGACAGTTTGTGTAATGTCTATGGTTATCTGTATGTATACAGTCTGTGTAATGTCTATGGTTATCTGTGTATACAGTGTCTATGGTTATCTGTATGTATACAGTTTGTGTAATGTCTATGGTTATCTGTATGTACATGTGTAATGTCTTATCTGTATGTATACAGTTTGTGTAATGTCTATGGTTATCTGTATGTATGGTTATCAGTATTGTGTAATGTCTATGGTTATCTGTATGTATACAGTTTGTGTAATGTCTATGGTTATCTGTAACAGTTGTGTAATGTCTATGGTTATCTATGGTTATCTGTATGTATACAGTTTGTGTAATGTCTATGGTTATCTGTATGTATACAGTAATGTCTATGGTTATCTGTATGTATACAGTCTGTGTAATGTCTATGGTTATCTGTATGTATACAGTCTGTGTAATGTCTATGGTTATCTGTATGTATACAGTCTGTGTAATGTCTATGGTTATCTGTATGTATACAGTCTGTGTAATGTCTATGGTTATCTGTATGTATACAGTTTGTGTAATGTCTATGGTTATCTGTATGTATACAGTTTGTGTAATGTCTATGGTTATCTGTATGTATACAGTTTGTGTAATGTCTATGGTTATCTGTATGTATACAGTTTGTGTAATGTCTATGGTTATCTGTATGGGTGACAGTCTGTGTAATGTCTATGGTTATCTGTATGTATACAGTCTGTGTAATGTCTATGGTTATCTGTATGTATACAGTTTGTGTAATGTCTATGGTTATCTGTATGTATACAGTTTGTGTAATGTCTATGGTTATCTGTATGTATACAGCTTGTGTAATGTCTATGGTTATCTGTATGTATACAGTCTGTGTAATGTCTATGGTTATCTGTATGTATACAGTTTGTGTAATGTCTATGGTTATCTGTATGTATACAGTCTGTGTGTAATGTCTATGGTTATCTGTATGGGTGACAGTCTGTGTAATGTCTATGGTTATCTGTATGGGTGACAGTCTGTGTAATGTCTATGGTTATCTGTATGTATACAGTCTGTGTAATGTCTATGGTTATCTGTATGAGTGACAGTTTGTGTAATGTCTATGGTTATCTGTATGTATACAGTTTGTGTAATGTCTATGGTTATCTGTATGTATACAGTTTGTGTAATGTCTATGGTTATCTGTATGGGTGACAGTTTGTGTAATGTCTATGGTTATCTGTATGTATAGAGTTTGTGTAATGTCTATGGTTATCTGTATGTATACAGTCTGTGTAATGTCTATGGTTATCTGTATGTATACAGTCTGTGTAATGTCTATGGTTATCTGTATGTATACAGTCTTGTGTAATGTCTATGGTTATCTGTATGTATACAGTTTGTGTAATGTCTATGGTTATCTGTATGTATACAGTTTGTGTAATGTCTATGGTTATCTGTATGTATACAGTTTGTGTAATGTCTATGGTTATCTGTATGTATACAGTTTGTGTAATGTCTATGGTTATCTGAATGAAGGCTATAAGAAAGTAATACTTTGTATTCTGTGCGTATTTCCTTCACATTTTATAGATATTCTCTACCAAAACCCAAAATAATCAATTCTATCTGATCCACACACATACAATATCCTGGTAAGACGTTACGTCTATCTAGGGAACATTTTTTTTGTCTATATTCGTAAAATCTGTCATCTTTCATATTAAGTTAGACACATAACTTTGTATTTTCTTCTATACATCTCGGAAGAGTAATCACAACTAAACAAGAGGCCCAAGGGGCCTTAACGGTCACCTGAGGAATATATGTCAATAATCTGGGGATTTTAAAATGTTGCAAAAATGTAACAACACTTGTGCAGGACCGTGTGTAAAACATCTGTACCAAGTTTGAACATGATCCACCCAGTGGTTCTTGAGAGGAAGTCCAAAATGTCTTAGCCAAACAGAGGCCAGGGTGGCCCTCTTGGATTTTGAATCGCCCCAAAAAGTTTAAACACTTACCAGGGCCATGTGTAGAACATTCATATCAAGTTTAGACATGATCAACCCAGTGGTTAATCTGACTGTTGGATCATGTGAAGAATTTTTAAAGATTTACCTAATTTTACCCCCTTTTTCCCCCTCCTGGGGCCACGCCCATTGTCTTTGCAAACTTGAAGCAGCTTCCCATGGGGATGCTTTGTGCCTAGTTTGGTCAAAATCCATCCACTGGTTCTTGAGAAGAAGTCATTTAAAGAAGGTTTTTACATATGGCCCCTTTTTACACCTCTTATGGGCCCCAAAGGGGACATTATCACTTTTTTCTGCATAGTTTCATATGTTCTTCACTAAGGGATGATTTCTACCAAATTAGGTTGAAATCGGTCAAAGTTGAATTTTCGACCCTTTTGAGTGCCCCCTAGTGGGGCCATTTTGACCCGTTTTTTTCATTCGTAAACTTTGTAGACCTTGCCATAAGGACCCTAAATATCAAATATGAACTTAATCTGACTGTTGGTTCATGAGAAGAAGATTTTTAAAGATTTACCTAATTTTACCACCTTTTTCCCCCTCCTAGGGCCCCTATTGGGGCCACGCCCTTTTTCTTCGTAAACTTGAAGCGGCTTCTCATGGGGATGCTTTGTGCCTAGTTTGGTCAAAATCCATTCAGTTGTTCTTAAGAAGAAGTCGATTATGTGAAAAGTTAATGACGCACGACGCACAATGACAGACAAATCATGATGGCAATAGGTCACCATGAGCCTTTCGGCTCAGGTGACCTAAAAATTCCCTCCATATCTATTTAGCAAACCTTGATTAATAAAGTTTAATAGTTACCTTTAAAGAAGCCTCCGACTCCTTCATTCTTGGCCCCTTCTATTGGCTTCCTCACAATGCCAGTTACACCATCAAACACGCCCTGGTAATACAGAAGAAAAATACGAGTCAAAAAGGAGTAACACAGGAATTATTACACTCTGGTAATACAGAAGGGAAAAAAGCCCTGAAACTGCAACTCCTGAGGTGATAATATATTTATATCAGGTTTTAAAAAACATCCTCCAGGTAATATGCATCCTTCAGGCCATTGCTGAAGTAGAGATATATAAAGTTGTACCACAGCATGACTCCGATGTCTTAGGAACAGAAGAAAAATACACATCTAAACATTATATTTGATGTCTGATAGAATTCTGTTCTTATTTTAAATGAAGGAGTTCAGATCAATTAATGTGTTGTACACAAATTCAACATCAGTGGTAATTGATTTCTTGTTTGTTGGGCCAAAATTATATTTTGTCTACACTGATTTGTATACTAACCATGACGAGCCCCTTGCCTCCTCGAGCTAACCCTTCCCTAACATTGGCTGGACGTTTGTTCATGGCTTCTCGTCTCTTCTTCTGATAGTCATCATCCAAGGTCAAGGCTGCAAAACCTTTTCCCAGTGTCCCTGTTATCCTTGACACTGCACCAGCAGCACCACCTGGTGGAAAGAAAGTTATCAACACTCAACAATGTTATTCTAAACACTGCACCAGCAGCCCCACCTGGTGGAAAGAATGTTATCAACACTCAACAATGTTATTCTAGACCAGCAGCTCCACCTGGTGGAAAGAAAGTTATCAACACTCAACAATGTTATTCTAGACACTACACCAGCAGCTCCACCTGGTGGAAAGAAAGTTATCAAAAATCAACCATGGCCAAGAATGTTTTAATCTAGCATTAATTAAAAGTTTTAACTTTTTTGTACCTAAATAAGTATAACTTGTACATACTTTGGAAACTGTATGTGACATAGTACATGTTGAATCAATCCCCAAGCATCCTTTTTTTCTTGATACTTGTTTAAATATATACTCAAATGTGTATATTTGTGTCTGTCTTATAAATACATACCAACAGCATGTCCAAATAAACTTCTCACTCCAAGGGCCAGGCCTTCAGCAAACTCTTCAGGTCCCTGTATAGCTCCCTAAACACCAGAAACATCTCAGTAGAAATACACATTTCAATAGTAAAACATAATCTCTTTATTGAGTAGATATCTGTTTATAAGATGTGTGAGTTACCGCTTAAAAATCATAACGAAAAGTGACTAATCTAACTTGTTAATTTACCTAGTTTGTTGCCTAATCTGACCCCTTAACTAGTCTAACATATTTACATGTTAACTAATCTGACTTTGTAACTAATTTCACTGACTAATTAACTTGTTAACTTATCAAACACATTAACTAATCTAACTTGTTAATCAACCTAGTTTGTTCAATAATCTGACTCCTTAACTAGTCTAACATGTTTACATGTCTAATCTTACTTTGTAACTAACTTCATTGACTAATTTAACTTGTTAACTTATCAAACACATTAACTAATCTAACCTGTTAACTAATCTAACTGGTAGTTACCATATATGTACATTCACAAGGTGATGTTTTGATTTTGATACTGGGTATAAAATAAAGGATTGGATAGTTATGGCCCTTGGAACAGTATTCATATTGAGTTTGAAGCTATGTTCTTTTTATTTCTGCAAAGCAGCATCAATTTGTTTGCTAAATATTGAAAAGAAGAGCGCTCCATAGAATTTTTTATTTTTGAAAAAAAATTCGGTATGAAATGATCTAGTTCCAAACAAATTGATCTTACATCTCAAGGAAACAAGCCAAAAATATTTCATTATGTCCTAAATGGTGAAACTTGATATTTGTTGTATTTCAATACTTTACCTGATAAGGTTCGTAGAAGAGATCTTCAATACCCTCCGCCATTCCACGTAGAAGTCCGAATGGATTTCCTAAGACATCCAGTCCCAGTACTAATACATACATCTGTTTAATAGCCTGGAAAAGAAATTAATGTTAATGACTAATAAAATCTGTTACTGAGCGAGATCAGTGTACCTCAGCTGGCTAAGGTCCTGTAACATAATACTGAGGCTGAGGTCCTGTAACATAATACTGAGGCTAAGGTCCTGTAACATAATACTGAGGCTAAGGTCCTGTAACGTAATACTGAGGCTAAGGTCCTGTAACATAATACTGAGGCTAAGGTCCTGTAACATAATACTGAGGCTAAGGTCCTGTAACGTAATACTGAGGCTAAGGTCCTGTAACGTAATACTGAGGCTAAGGTCCTGTAACGTAATACTGAGGCTAAGGTCCTGTAACATAATACTAAGGTCCTGTAATGTAATACTGAAGCTAAGATCCTGTTATGTAATACTGAGGCTAAGGTCCTGTAACATAATACTGAGGCTAAGGTCCTGTAACATAATACTAAGGTACTGTAACATAATACTGAGGCTAAGGTCCTGTAACATAATACTGAGGCTAAGATCCTGTAACATAATACTGAGGCTAAGGTCCTGTAACATAATACTAAGGTCCTGTAACGTAATACTGAGGCTAAGATCCTGTAACGTAATACTGAGGCTAAGGTCCTGTAACATAATACTGAGGCTAAGGTCCTGTAACATAATACTAAGGTCCTGTAACATAATACTGAGGCTAAGGTCCTGTAACATAATACTGAGGCTAAGGTCCTGTAACATAATACTGAGGCTAAGGTCCTGTAACATAATACTAAGGTCCTGTAACATGATACTGAGGCTAAGGTCCTGTAACATAATACAGAGGCTAAGGTCCTGTAACATAATACTGAGGCTAAGGTCCTGTAACATAATACTGAGGCTAAGGTCCTGTAACATAATACTAAGGTCCTGTAACATAATACTGAGGCTAAGGTCCTGTAACATAATACTGAGGCTAAAGTCCTGTAACATGATACTGAGGCTAAGGTCCTGTAACATAATACTGCTAAGGTCCTGTAACATAATACTGAGGCTAAGGTCCTGTAACATAATACTGAGGCTAAGGTCCTGTAACATAATACTGAGGCTAAGGCTGTAAGGTCCTGTAACATAATACTGAGGCTAAGGTCCTGTAACATAATACTAAGGTCCTGTAACATGATACTGAGGCTAAGGTCCTGTAACATAATACAGAGGCTAAGGTCCTGTAACATAATACTGAGGCTAAGGTCCTGTAACATAATACTGAGGCTAAGGTCCTGTAACATAATACTGAGGCTAAGGTCCTGTAACATAATACTGAGGCTAAGGTCCTGTAACATAATACTGAGGCTAAGGTCCTGTAACATAATACTGAGGCTAAGATCCTGTAACATAATACTGAGGCTAAGGTCCTGTAACATAATACTGAGGCTAAGGTCCTGTAACATAATACTGAGGCTAAGGTCCTGTAACATAATACTAAGGTCCTGTAACATAAAACTGAGGCTAAGGTCATGTAACATAATACTGAGGCTAAGGTCCTGTAACATAATACAGAGGCTAAGGTCCTGTAACATAATACTGAGGCTAAGGTCCTGTAACATAATACTGAGGCTAAGGTCCTGTAACATAATACTGAGGCTAAGGTCCTGTAACATAATACTAAGGTCCTGTAACATGATACTGAGGCTAAGGTCCTGTAACATAATACAGAGGCTAAGGTCCTGTAACATAATACATAATACTGAGGCTAAGGTCCTGTAACATAATACTGAGGCTAAAGTCCTGTAACATGATACTGAGGCTAAGGTCCTGTAACATAATATTGAGGCTAAGGTCCTGTAACATAATACTGAGGCTAAGGTCCTGTAACATAATACTAAGGTCCTGTAACGTAATACTGAGGCTAAGATCCTGTAACATAATACTGAGGCTAAGATCCTGTAACATAATACTAAGGTCCTGTAACATAATACTGAGGCTAAGGTCCTGTAACGTAATACTGAGGCTAAGATCCTGTAACATAAAACTGAGGCTAAGGTCCTGTAACATAATACTGAGGCTAAGGTCCTGTAACATAATACTGAGGCTAAGGTCCTGTAACAATACTGAGGCTAAGATCCTGTAACGTAATACTGAGGCTAAGGTCCTGTAACCTGTAACATAATACTGAACATAATACTGAGGCTAAGGTCCTGTAACATAATACTGAGGCTAAGGTCCTGTAACATAATACTGAGGCTAAGGTCCTGTAACATAATACTGAGGCTAAGGTCCTGTAACATAATACTGAGGCTAAGGTCCTGTAACATAATACTAAGGTCCTGTAATGTAATACTGAGGCTAAGATCCTGTAACATAATACTGAGGCTAAGATCCTGTAACATAATACTGAGGCTAAGGTCCTGTAACATAATACTGAGGCTAAGGTCCTGTAACATAATACTAAGGTCCTGTAACATAATACTGAGGCTAAGATCCTGTAACATAATACTGAGGCTAAGGTCCTGTAACATAATACTGAGGCTAAGGTCCTGTAACATAATACTAAGGTCCTGTAACATAATACTGAGGCTAAGATCCTGTAACGTAATACTGAGGCTAAGGTCCTGTAACATAATACTGAGGCTAAGGTCCTGTAACATGATACTGAGGCTAAGGTCCTGTAATGTAATACTGAGGCTAAGATCCTGTAACATAATACTGAGGCTAAGATCCTGTAACATAATACTGAGGCTAAGGTCCTGTAACATAATACTGAGGCTAAGGTCCTGTAACATAATACTGAGGCTAAGGTCCTGTAACATAATACTGAGGCTAAGGTCCTGTAACGTAATACTGAGGCTAAGATCCTGTAACATAATCCAAACTGAGGCTAACGCTACACCTTGAACCTACTACTCTGAAAATTATTCAATATGTCATTAGAATTTGACGTATCCCATGGGAGCCTCAAACTACCCACACATCCTCTTCACTTTTAAACAATGTTTGGATACTGTCATGTTAATAATGCAGGTCGTACTTACAAAAAATACAACACATTTAACAGTGAAGATATTCTATTTCATTTTAAATATGAATAATATCGTTGAAATTTTAATAACAACAGAACCCAAGGTAGAATAGAAGTTCTTATAACACAACCAGTAGAAGATTAGAGTGTGACGTTTTGATGACTTCACGATCATCTTCATCTTAAAACACAACAAGTAGAAGATTAGAGTGCGACGTTTTGATGACTACACGATCATCTTCATCTTATAACACAATGAGTAGAAGATTAGAGTGTGACGTTTTGATGAGTTCACGATCATCTTCATCTTATAACACAACCAGTAGAAGATTAGAGTGTGACGTTTCTATGACTACAGTCATCTTCATCAGACAAATGACCAGTGTGGGGTGTACTAGCACTGACATATTTTTAGTGTAAGGGATAGTTAGGAATCGACCATTTTTTTCTACAGTACTATAACCCTATGTACACTGAGATCGAAAAATAGAACACAGGATAAAAGTGCATCCGAAAAAGTTTCAGTATCATCTCGTACACTGTGTATGTCAGTGCTAGTGCACTCCACTCCGATCATTTGTCATCCATTTTAATCAGTACATCAATTAAGAGAAAGTTCAGGTAACTGTGAGAACGTCAGGGCCAAACTCCTGAGAATACACGGAATATAACTCTATATGGTTGTGATTCACATTGATGTAAATATAGAACAAACCTATGATGTCATACAAAGGATGAGAGGTTTAAGCTACGATCAAATTATAGAGGAGAAACAAGTCTGTATAGTGTCTTGATCCAGTGTGCACTATCATAATGCTGCCATCAGTTCAACCTATATCCCTCTTAGTATTACGACTAACCCAGTGATAGCTCATTTGGTAGTGTGTTAAAGTACCTACACAACTTCAGGTAAAGACCCGAGCTCCCCTCCCGCGGTTGTTTTAATTCTCAAAAGAATGACAAGACAAATAATCTGTGGTGTGACGTTTTGTTTATTCTGTGGACAATATACCCATGGGTCTGGTTGGCATGTAGCAGACTTCTAGTTTGTTGTTTACGGAGGCAGTCACCAGCTATCACAAGAAAACCATACCTCAGGGTGAGTAAGTTGTTAAGGGGAGACTACCCAGCTCACAAACTGACTCTGGAAGTTAAGGGGAGACTACCCAGCAACCAAACTGACTCTGGAAGTTGTTGAGGGGAGACTACCCAGCAAACAACCTGACTCTGGAAGTTGTTAAGGGGAGACTACCCAGCAAACAAACTGACTCTGGAAGTTAAGGGGAGACTACCCAGCAACCAAACTGACTCTGGAAGTTGTTAAGTGGAGACTACCCAGCTCACAAACTGACTCTGGAAGTTAAGGGGAGACTACCCAGCAACCAAACTGACTCTGGAAGTTGTTAAGTGGAGACTACCCAGCAAACAAACTGACTGTGGAAGTTGTTAAGGGGAGACTACCCAGCAAACAAACTGACTGTGGAAGTTGTTAAGGGGAGACTACCCAGCAACCAAATTGACTCTGGAAGTTGTTAAGGGGAGACTACCCAGCAAACAAACTGACTGTGGAAGTTGTTAAGGGGAGACTACCCAGCAAACAAACTGACTGTGGAAGTTGTTAAGGGGAGACTACCCAGCAACCAAATTGACTCTGGAAGTTGTTAAGGGGAGACTACCCAGCAAACAAACTGACTGTGGAAGTTGTTAAGGGGAGACTACCCAGCAACCAAATTGACTCTGGAAGTTGTTAAGGGGAGACTACCCAGCAAACAAACAGACTGTGGAAGTTGTTAAGGGGAGACCTACCTAGCAACCAAATTGACTCTTGAAGTTGTTAAAGGGAGACTACCCAGCAAACAACCTGACTCAGGAAGTTGTTAAGTGGAGACTACCCAGCAAACAAACTGACTGTGGAAGTTGTTAAGGGGAGACTACCCAGCAAACAAACTGACTGTGGAAGTTGTTAAGGGGAGATAACCCAGCAACCAAATTGACTCTGGAAGTTGTTAAGGGGAGACTACCCAGCAAACAAACAGACTGTGGAAGTTGTTAAGGGGAGACCTACCTAGCAACCAAACAAGAAGTGTTATTAAAATAATAACTCTGTTAATATTTACCTGGCCTGCATAGTGCATGCTCATCTGTCCCACCAGCTGTGACTGGTTATAAAAACAGTGTTCTTTCTGGAAGAATCCAAGTCTGTAATGAAGAAAGAAATAATTCTAACTTGCTTCTATTGCTCTCAAAACCATCTGTCTTATTACATATAACCATCAGGGTCTGTATAGAATATTCCATATAATTTTCAATAAATTTTTGGTGATTAAAACAAAAAAGTGAGAAATGTTAACAAAACTTAATTTCTCCATATTTATGTAAAAATCCTTCATTGTATGATAAACACTGCCTTCCTTGTAAGCTGTTTTATTAAGCTTGTGTATTATTATACAAGTGACTACTGGGGACCTTAACTCCCTTTAGGAGAAACCCTACCTTACATCTCCTAAATTGTGATTTGTGACTGGTACTTAATTTACCTCCCTTTAGGATAAACTCTTTGTTTCTTAAATGATTCTGAAAAAAGCTTGAAATATACAGGGCCTGAATTATACTGGATAATTCATACTGTCTTCCTTGACAATGTTAGGGCGATAACTGGTGACATACTTGAAGACTACGTCCTGTACATCAGTCAGGACCACGCCAACACTCTGTAGGAAAATGTTGATGACGTTCGCGTGGATTTGTGTTGGTTTCCCGTCACCACCTCCTCCTTGTAGTGAAAAACTCAGATGGATCTGTCAACCAATCGAAACACAATTTATTATTTTTTAGGTAAATATCATAATAACATTCAACAACATAATATTAACATTAAATTCACAAACATAGGAATGTTATGAGCAGAAAAAGATTGTACAAAAGACACACAAGTGAAAAACACCTTTTAATATAAATATAGAGTTAGACACAGTAAAGCCATTTAATTAATTAAACTACATCATAATTCTGTTTTGTCCCACTAGGACTTGTCAGTGATGCTAAGAGCTAAATGTTTGAAGCGTAGGTGGGAACTGGGGAAAATCCAAAGTGACCAAAAGAAAAGTAAAAATCTAGAGGGCAAGACACACTAACCCTTTAATGCAATAAATAATTTTCATATATCTGACAATTTACTCCTTCCAAAGAATGTTACCTTAATCGGCGAGAAGTGGAGGTAATCATAGAAGTTCTTCTGTTCGTCAGCTAATGAAAGTCCAACTTCATCCATCAACTTCACCTTGACCTTGTCACAGTCAATAAGGAACTGAGCAGTCTACAAACATCAGATCACAATATTTGACTGAAAAATGTTTTGGCATGAAATTTTATGTTTATTGTGCACCAATCCCAACAAAATGATATCTCACAAATATTAAGTAGATGGTTTTGACAGGACAATAAAAGAGATTATTCTGGGCCTAGTGAAACTACAGAGTATGTGAATAGGCTTATCAGAATGCTTGTAACAAAGTGTAGGACCAATGAGAACAATCGTTAGAAATATCTGGTATCATCCAGTAAGAATGCTTGTATGAAAGTGCATTACCAATGAGAGTATTTGTAACAGATACCTGAAGACACCCTATCAGAATGCTTTTTAATAAACAGACACCAACCAAAATATTTTTAACAAAGCACATGACCAATAGCAGCATTTCTAACAGTTATCTGATAACATCCAATCAGAACACTTGTAACAAAGTGCAGAATCAAAGGCAGTATTTATAACATACATCTGGTAACAATCAAGATAATTTTTTTTAATATAATGCAGGACCATGGAGAGCATTTCTACAGATATCAGGGGTAACACCCAATCAGCATACTTGTAACAAAGTGCAAGACCAATGAGATTATTTGTACCTCCTGTTCTCGTGAGATGTCTTGGCTGGAGGAGAAGAGATCAATGATATTGTTGAGAAATCCCTGGTCAACTTTCAGCTGCATCTCTTGGACCAGGACCTTAAAGTACCTGAGGGACAGAAAACAAATGTCAATATTGGAATTACCTGGTCCTGAGGGACAGAAAACAAATGTCAGTACAGGAATTACCTGGACCTGAGGGACAGAAAACAAATGTCAGTACAGAAATTACCTGGACCTGAGGGACAGAAAACAAATGTCAGTACAGAAATTACCTGGACCTGAGGGACAGAAAACAAATGTCAGTACAGAAATTACCTGGACCTGAGGGACAGAAAACAAATGTCAATATTGGAATTACCTGGACCTGAGGGACAGAAAACAAATGTCAGTATAGAAATTACCTGGACCTGAGGGACAGAAAACAAATGTCAGTACAGAAATTACCTGGACCTGAGGGACAGAAAACAAATATCAATACTGGAATTACCTGGACCTGAGGGACAGAAAACAAATGTCAGTATGGAAATTACCTAGACCTGAGGGACAGAAAACAAATGTCAGTATTGGAATTACCTAGACCTGAGGGACAGAAACAAATGTCAGTATTGGAATTACCTAGACCTGAGGGACAGAAAACAAATGTCAGTATGTCAGTACAGAAATTACCTGGACCTGAGGGACAGAAAACAAATGTCATACAGCCTGGACCTTGTCAGTACATCACAGGAGGGGGAAAAACAAATGTGTTCATTTCCTGAATGTTGCTGTGATAAAATTAAGATCAAGAGAGAGAAAATTGACATACTTAAATTGGAGCATATTGTCGTGCTCATGTTTCCTCAACATAATACTGACTTCTGTGAACGGCTTCGGCACTGAAATATAGATAATATTTAACATCACCATCTAACAAAACAAGAACAGTTTTTATAAAGTACAACAAAACAATTAGTCATGTAACTTTTACAATTGACCCCAAAAATATTTTTTATAGGAATTTTGGACTACTATGGTAGTTCTTGTTGTTTTGTCTTGGTATATTACAGATGTAGGTAGGATGGGGTGTTCGGTTGAGGGTGATGGGTGGAGGGTGATGGGGTTGGGTGGGCGTATAGGGTGGAGGGTGATAGGGTGGGGTGGGTGTGTAGGGTGGAGGGTGACGGGGTAAGGTGGGCGAGTAGGGTGGAGGGTGATTGGGTGGGGTCGGCAGATAGGGTGTAGGGGGATGGAGTCAGATGGGCAGATAGGATGGAGAGTGGGAATCGGTATGGTCAATTGTTTTACATTCCCTGCATTTCCATGTACGTTGCAATGGTAAAGGAAATTTCCCCTGACCTTATAAGGAAGACATTTTATGTAAACAGGTATCTTTTATATGATTGAACTGTTAGCTGATACATGTTTTCTTCACCCTGATGTGAATTGGATACTTGACAACATCAATGTAGAGAACTCCTTACCACTATCTGCAGCTACTGACTTTGGCAGAGGGACGGGTGAGAGGACGGTTGGGAACACTGCACCGGTCATCTGGTTGTCCAGCTGTTGAGATAAAAAATGTCACAAATTACTGTGATAACAACTAGGTCAGCTATCATCTATATTCCATAAGGAAAGTGCTTTGTTTCTTATTCCAAAGGAGGCAATATGAAGTTTTATTTATAAAAGATTTCACTTAAGGGTTTATGCTAAGTACTTACCTATGATTTGTGAGATTCATTTAAGTTTATTAATATTTTTTCAGTTCTATGCAAGCCATCATGATTCAAACTCCTTTTTTTTTTTACTTTAAGGCTGAGAATTTTTTTCAACTATATTCAACTATTGAACATTTTTCTTTCCTTTTTTCCCATTGTCATGTTAAGAATTTTCCATTATATGGACAGACTATCTGAGAGAAATCAGGTGACAGTAGTCTATAGTACAACAGAAATCCGTATATATCTCTCACTCTTCATCCTTATGTGTACAGTAAAGATAGTTGGGTACAAACACTCTAGTGACTGTGTTACATATTAACTTATATACTTGACAAAAAGAGGCCCATGGGCCTTAACAGTCATCTCACCAAAAAGGCCTATATATAATAGAGGTCCATGGACCTTAATGGTCATCTGACTATAAAGACCTATATATGATAGAGGCCCATGGGCCTTAACAGTCATCTCACCAAAAAGGCCTATATATGATAGAGGTCCATGGACCTTAATGGTCATCTGACTATAAAGACCTATATATGATAGAGGCCCATGGGCCTTAATGGTCATCTGACTATAAAGACCTATATATGATAGATGCCCATGGGCCTTAACAGTCATCTCACCAAAAAGGCCTATATATGATCGAGGTCCATGGACCTTAATGGTCATCTGACTAGAAAGACCTATATATGATCGAGTCCCATGGGCCTTAATGGTCTTCTGACTATAAAGACCTATATATGATAGAAGTCAATGGGCCTTAATGGTCATCTGACTATAAAGACCTATATATGATAGAGGCCCATGGGCCTTAATGGTCATCTGACTATAAAGACCTATATATGATAGATGCCCATGGGCCTTAATGGTCTTCTGACTATAAAGACCTATATATGATAGAGGCCCATGGGCCTTAATGGTCATCTGACTATAAAGACCTATATATGATAGAAGTCCATGGGCCTTAATGGTCATCTGACTATAAAGACCTATATATGATAGATGCCCATGGGTCTTAATGGTCTTCTGACTATAAAGACCTATATATGATAGAGGCCCATGGGCCTTAATGGTCATCTGACTATAAAGACCTATATATGATAGATGCCCATGGGTCTTAATGGTCTTCTGACTATAAAGACCTATATATGATAGAGGCCCATGGGCCTTAATGGTCATCTGACTATAAAGACCTATATATGATAGAAGTCAATGGGCCTTAACAGTCATCTCACCAAAAAGGCCTATATATGATCGAGGTCCATGGACCTTAATGGTCATCTGACTAGAAAGACCTATATATGATCGAGTCCCATGGGCCTTAATGGTCTTCTGACTATAAAGACCTATATATGATAGAAGTCAATGGGCCTTAATGGTCATCTGACTATAAAGACCTATATATGATAGAGGCCCATGGGCCTTAATGGTCATCTGACTATAAAGACCTATATATGATAGATGCCCATGGGCCTTAATGGTCTTCTGACTATAAAGACCTATATATGATAGAGGCCCATGGGCCTTAATGGTCATCTGACTATAAAGACCTATATATGATAGAAGTCCATGGGCCTTAATGGTCATCTGACTATAAAGACCTATATATGATAGATGCCCATGGGTCTTAATGGTCTTCTGACTATAAAGACCTATATATGATAGAGGCCCATGGGCCTTAATGGTCATCTGACTATAAAGACCTATATATGATAGATGCCCATGGGTCTTAATGGTCTTCTGACTATAAAGACCTATATATGATAGAGTCCCATGGGCCTTAACAGTCATCTCACCAAAAAGGCCTATATATGATAGAGGTCCATGGACCTTAATGGTCATCTGACTAGAAAGACCTATATATGATCGAGTCCCATGGGCCTTAATGGTCTTCTGACTATAAATACCTATATATGATAGAAGTCAATGGGCCTTAATGGTCATCTGACTATAAAGACCTATATATGATAGATGCCCATGGGCCTTAATGGTCTTCTGACTATAAAGACCTATATATGATAGAGGTCCATGGACCTTAATGGTCATCTGACTATAAAGACCTATATATGATAGAGTCCCATGGGCCTTAACAGTCATCTCACCAAAAAGGCCTATATATGATAGAGGTCCATGGACCTTAATGGTCATCTGACTAGAAAGACCTATATATGATCGAGTCCCATGGGCCTTAATGGTCTTCTGACTATAAATACCTATATATGATAGAAGTCAATGGGCCTTAATGGTCATCTGACTATAAAGACCTATATATGGTAGATGCCCATGGGCCTTAATGGTCTTCTGACTATAAAGACCTATATATGATAGAGGTCCATGGACCTTAATGGTCATCTGACTATAAAGACCTATATATGATAGAGTCCCATGGGCCTTAACAGTCATCTCACCAAAAAGGCCTATATATGATAGAGGTCCATGGACCTTAATGGTCATCTGACTAGAAAGACCTATATATGATCGAGTCCCATGGGCCTTAATGGTCTTCTGACTATAAAGACCTATATATGATAGAGACCCAATAAGCCTCAGTTGCTTGTTATAGAAAAATATTTTTTTCTGTTCTTAAAGTCAATATCTGCATCTTAAAATTCTATTCTTCAAGCATGATACTACACAATAAAATACCATGACCCAGAATTCTTTGAGTCAGACAACTAGCCCATTCACTTCCTGTAATAAGCCCACCCCTCTCTTCACATCCGAGGTTACTTCCCCTGGCTTATGGCTAGGTAACAGTGGTTTACCTGAAGTCTGTTGATTTTGGCGTGGAGCTGGATCTGATGAGGAGAGGTTTTGTATTGGAGCCAGATTCCCTCTTGGAAACTTCGTCTTATTCCACGACTGTTCGGACGGATCATCCTCATCTCATTGAAATCCACCTGTAAACAGTTTTGACCTAGCATTAACAAGGAATTTATAAACAACGGTTTGTGTTCCAGGTCATGGTCATCAAAGCAGATAGATATGTTTAGTCTCCCGTATAGAACACAAAGGTACCAGACCTTGTTGATTGAAGGTACGACTTGGAACAGAATTACAGTGTGAGAATCTCCTAATCAATACAAATTAATGTGGCTGATAACTTGTGCTAATAGACCCTAGGTCCAATAACCATCACTAATGTGTCTGTATGTAAAACTGTGAACTAGACCCTGGAACGTGTCCTAAAGTCAAAATTCAATTACCCACAGACAATTGCTAAATAATTATTTCCAGGTTAAGGTGGGTGCATTACATATCTCCATTTTGTTTTTGCAAGGTTGAGGTGGGCGGGTGGGCAATATAACTCCATTTTGTTTTCTAGGTTGAGGTGGTGCGGGTGGGTAACATACCTCCATTTTGTTTTCCAGGTTGAGGTGGGAGGGTAGGCTACATACCTCTATTTTGTTTTCAAGGTTGAGGTGGGTGGGTGGACTACATACCTCCATTTTGTTTTCTAGATTGAGGTGGGAGGGTGGACTACATACCTCCATTTTGTTTTCCAGGTTGAGGTGGGCGGGTGGGTTATGCCCGAGATCTATCTCTGTGAGGTATTTCTGATAAGCCTCCTCCAGTACAATGCCATTCTTCATGCTGAGAGCTTTGTATCGTTTCTTCTTTTCCTCCCATATAATCCCAGAGCTGTGATAAATTGACAGTCATCTTAAAACACTCATACCAAATTAAGAGAAATTACAGACAACAAATTTGATGAAACTAGGCCAAATTATTAACAAGAGATCCCTGAGGGATCTTGGTGCCCACCATTGTTTGATCTTTATATGCTCTTTGAATGTTGAATCTTTTTTCTTCTTTTCTCTTCTCTGCTTTTGCTCTTAATGATAAGACAGTCAAACATTCCTTTGCAGTAACAGCGATGATAATCTTTACCTGCCAAATCCAAACTGGCCGCATAGAAGCCATTTTGTTTCGTTCTGATCAAACCAGCACAATGAATTACCAAATGTATAGATATCCATTCAGTGCTTCTTAAGAAATAGCAATAACAATCTTTACTAGTCAAAATCCAAGATGGCCGTCTTCGGCCATTTTGTTTTTTCTGATCAGTCCCAAATTCAAACAGGCACAACTAGGGACCTAAAGGAACTTATACAGGAAATTTCAGAAAGATCTATGCTGTAATTCCCAAGAAATAGTGATAACAACTATCAAAGCCAAATCCAAAATGGTCGCCTTTCAGTCAGTTTGTTATTTTGATCAGTCCCAAAATTGAATGGGCACAACTAGGGACCAAGGGAAACCTATATATAAACTTCTAAAGAAATAGCAATAACAAACTTCATTGAAAATGTCCATGATAGCTGCCTTTGGGATATTTTAATTTTTTGATCAGGCCGAAAATCCTATGGGCACAGTTAGGGATCATATGCAATTTGCGAAAGATCCATCCATTACTTTTCAAGAAATAGTGATAACAAAAATTGTTTACAGACAGATGGATGACGGACAGACAATGGACCACAGCCGCAGAGTGATTATCAGATGGTGGGCTAACAAAAAGAAGATTTACACAGAGGCTCCTCAAAAATACCCAGAGAATAAAACCTGGTGTACCTTGTGATCCCAAGGAAGGCAACTTCTGTCTGACTGAGGTCGTTGATAAGGGAGAGACCCAGGCCTTGGATACAGACATTGATTTCCTGTTCAATCTGCTCCAGCTCTCCAGCCTAGGGTCAAAGTTCAAGATCAAAGGTTAAAGACAAGATGATTTCAACTATAAAGTTTTCTTAATGTTGTTAAGTATCATTACAATTATGACTTTTAACAAAGTGCACTTTCTTTTCTGCTTTTAAGGTTACAAGAACAGTATTACAATTTTAAATTTTCAGCTGATACTTTAAATTTTCATCAGTAAGAGTTTTAAACTAAGCAAATGAAAATTTCTAAGAAAGGTCGAATACTTCACAGGTAAAGTTGATGTTCTATCTTCATTAAAACAAAGTGTTATCAGACCACAAACTTTATAATCTATGTTAAACTCACAGTTAACTCACTGTAGACTCACAGCTATAACTCATGGAGACTCACAGATATAACTCACTTTGCACTCACAGATATATCATTGTTGACTTTGTTAACTTGTTATAGCCTCACATTTATAGCTCAATGAACATAATCTTATTTGCTGTAGATGTCACAATGTGTTTGTAAGTATTTAGTCAGAAAGGTCAAACATCACAAGTACATAGGTATTTATATAAAGAATGAAAACTCCCGAGCTTGTGATGTGTCTTCAGTACAATAGGTATTAACACAGAGAATGAAAACTCCCGAGCTTGTGATGTGTCTTCTGTACAATGAAAACTCCCGAGCTTGTGATGTGTCTTCAGTATAATAGGATTTCCTTATTTCTCAAATTTGCAAACCAAGTCACAAAGTGACAAGTCGTCCAAGAGATAAACCAGAACTAGATGATAAAGATATATTCAGAAAATAAATGTTAGATTTTTCACATGTTACCATGTTACAGGTTATTATCATTGTTGTCCTACAATGATTTATCCACGATGTGTCATTGTTAACAACCGTAACCATCTTAACCTGCAGAATCATACTTCAGGGCAAAGGAAAGTTATAAAAGTCAACTTAATGATGGCCGCATAGTGGTGGAAACATGTTGACGACATCTTTATTATTATTATTATGACATTCGTAATGGCCCGTCAACACATAAAAGGTCATTAGGGCCATCAACTGGTAAAATTAATGACATCTAGATCAATTGTGATCTTGACGACATCTAGATCAATTGTGATCTTGACGACATCTAGATCAATTGTGATCTTGACGACATCTAGATCAATTGTGATCTTGACGACATCTAGATCAATTGTGATCTTGACAACATCTAGATCAATTGTGATCTTGACGACATCTAGATCAATTGTGATCTTGACAACATCTAGATCAATTGTGATCTTGACGACATCTAGATCAATTGTGATCTTGACGACATCTAGATCAATTGTGATCTTGACGACATCTAGATCAATTGTGATCTTGACGACATCTAGATCAATTGTGATCTTGACAACATCTAGATCAATTGTGATCTTGACGACATCTAGATCAATTGTGATCTTGACGACATCTAGATCACAATTAAGAAGAAAACTGTTCTCTAATGTTAAGAAGCCTTCCTTTCCATGTTAATGATGTTAATGAATCAAAAGTCAATTAACAGACAAACTCTATAATGATACAGTAAGTAACACATCATCAATTCACACCTAATCCTTGATTCTGTGAGAATTTGACACACCATGAAGAATTTAATCAGCGAGTTGTTGTGAGAATAGATTAGTTCAAATTCATTCTGTCATCAGACAATCAAACATGCTTACTTCATTTCTGTTTGTTAACCAAAACTAAAACATAAACAACAACAAAATATTCACAGATATCTCCACTAGATATTCTCTATGATATAAAAACTGCTACCCTGCTGTCTGTTTGGTAAATCTACAGAAGTTTTCAAATCTTTAACCTTTTGACCTTGACTGATGACTACACTTGAATATGATAACCGGTGGAACATGATGTTATGATATCACCGAGTTAATACAGATCCTATTCGTTGTGAGGTTCTTCAGATATTGGATGGGACATGATGTGAAGGCCAGACACACACTGTATGTCCCTCCATCATACAACATTTCACACCTACTTTTTTTGATATGTACCTGTTGAGCTAGCGTGGCTAGCTGTAGATCCTCGGTAAACAGTAGGACTCTCTGCATACCATCCAGGAAGGACACCCAATAGACATTGTTGTCAGCAGACAGGGCAAACCAGCCATAACCATCCTGAATTAACCACAAGGATCTTAGTGTATGTAGGTCATGTTTACAGTTGATAACCAATCAAAAGTTAAATGTTTTAGAGCAGTCACTTTTAATTGGCACTGTTGTTAATGACATTGCATTTTTGTGGATATCATTTTTTTAAGTGCCTTTTTTTTGCAAATTTTTACCTAAACCAATGTGACATTTTAAAGTTTACATCAAGGCAAATATTTTTTCAATTGTTTACATAAACCAGTGGTGTGTATTTTTTTGTTTACCGGTTCCTCAATGTGTGTGTTTTTATTATCCTTCATATAATTTCCTTTAAAAGTGTGTTCTTACTTATGTTTATTGGTTTTTACAATATTACCTCACTGAGTTTTCATGAATGTTTATATCAACAAGTGATTTGTCAATATTTACCTCAACAAGTGTGTTTTTCACATCTTTTTTATCCCCACAGTTCCAGACAATTTCTCGCTTGTCAGTAGAATTCTCCCAGGTGTACATCATGAAATGACCTGGACCCAGGAGATTGGTATTCTTAGAACCACTGTAACACAAAAAAAAGGTCACAGGTCAAAGGCCACTAGATCCATTGTAACACAAAGTACAAAGGTCAAGCGTCACTAGAACCGCTGTAACACAACATACAAAGGTCAAAGGTCATAAGATCAATTGTAACAATACATACAAAGGTCAAGTGTCACTAGATCCACTGTAACACAACATACATAGGTCAAAGGTCACTTGGCACAAGGTCTGGAATAATTTTCATTCTAGGTAGAGACTTGAGTATATAGATTTTCACCTGGACAGACCAAAAGCTTATAACTATAGTGACAGAGTCCACAAAGACATGACAGCTATCAAGGGTCATTACTGTGTGGAATTCCCTTTAATTATTAGCCCTTCTTAAGACTCTGACAGTCTATAAACTAACCTACCTTTGATGGAATGTGACAGACGCTGCCTCTGTGTGATTGACTATTTGTACAGTTGCCATGCCGTCCTTATATGAGCTGAAGGTGGTTAACATGGCAGACTCGGTCACTTGACAGTCTACATTAACACCGCCGTACTGTATCAAGACAAACACAATGTCAGTGAAATAATTTGTAGTAAACATCATATATATAACACAAATCCCTCAAACTTCATACCACTATGGGGTTAATAAAAATTCAATCTGTAGCAAAAGTCTTAAGATAAGACATTATTTTATCATGGAACAGGACAGCAGGGGACAAGGTTAACACCAGATGTCCATACTGAAAGATATATATATATATATAAATAAAAATGATTTTTGACAAAAGAAGAAAGACGTTACATTTTGCAAATATAATTATGCCCCCTTTATATTATGACGTCATCAACAGATAACATGTTGTGACGCCACACCATTATGTACAGTTACTATGCACCTGAAGATCTAATACAGTGAAAGCGCTAGTGCAAAATGTAACGTCTTTCTTCTTTTGTCAAAAATCATTTTTATTTATAATTTACTCGCATCTCGTCAAATCAAGTTTTATCTATATATATATATATATATATATATATATATATATATATATATATATATCAGGATGGCAATGCCATCTATATATATATATATATATAATATATATATATAGATGGCATTAAAGACTTCATCCTCTTAGTTAAAATAACAGACCTGATCTTCTGTCTCCATCAGACAAGTATAATAAACTATTTCTCTTTACAGTATCAGATTAACATTATGTTTCATTGATGGAAAATGTGATCAATTTATCATTCTGTTTGCTTCATAAACAGTAAAAATTCTTTTTTTGATGCAGAATTACAAATCCATTAACAAGATAGTACAAAACACACACAAATGATCTGCATGTTTCAATAACAATTTGTAATTTACAGCAGAGCCAAATTAAACAACATCATACAGCTGTTTCCTCCTTCTAGGACTCGTCAGTGATGATAAGGGCCTAAATTTTAAAGTCTAGGAGGCAACAGAAAAACGCAATGCCAAAGTACACAAACCCGAAAGTTTTGTAATTTTGATGTATCTGATAAGTTCAGAAGAATAAAAAAAAACTATCAACTTTATTTTACAAATCATTTCAACTTATACTAATCACTGTTGTTGGCCCGGATGCAAGCACACAAGGGGTTTAATTGTGGGAGGAAACCGGAGTACCAAGGGAAAATGCACATGTTCGTGGAGGTGACCCTAACTGGACGGCTAGGTGAAAGGAAATCGCGTTACCACTGTGCAATCCGACCACCCAAATGAAGAAGAATGTCAAATACATGTGTACACTTGAAACTGCACAACTATTCAAATGAATTTGAACATGGCATGCAGCAAGGTTACAGCAAACTTGTGAGACTAAGTGTCCATCAGCAGTGTATAACCCCTGTGTAATACAGATATGATATATCACCGATGAATTCTGTCCTACCTTGTCATCAAGCCTGGCAAGTGTGTTGTGAGCTTTATTGAAGAGGAATTCTGAAGTTGCAGATTCTGAACCCATCACTTTTGCTTTCATCTTCATTTCTTTTCCCGTGTGTTGTGGCCAAAATGGCTGACACTGTAAATTCCAAGCACATGCATCATTGTATTTAACTGATTATCTCCATCATCACCGATGAGGTTCACACCAGGCCATTCATATTGTGAATTTTACCATTAAAAAAGTTAAGAGTGAATACACTTTCACTCCAATAGGAATCACCAATTGAATGATTGAAAGATGGATATTAAAACTTCATCATCTTATAAAACAAAAATAATTAATTTTAAGTACTTTCTTACATATTAATGGTCATTATTATGAAAATTAATGAAAGTCACTTTTTATACGATTGATGACCATGATTAATGATTTTTCACGTTTTAATTGAGTTTTAATTCTGAGTTAATTATACTTTAATGAAATTATCTGACATTAGTGTTATAGAGTTTCTCATCCCTGTATTATTAGAAACTTCCAGAGTAATTAGTTAGACATGTGGATGAAAATTCCCCGACTCACCTCTTTGGCCTTCACTTCATACCACGTCTCTGTGGATGTGACCTCAGCAATCAGTAAGGAATGATCGGCAGTGTTGAGCAACATGTAGTATGGCGTGAATGTACAGATCTTTGTCAGTCCACTCTGTGACAGCACAATGTTCACACCCACCTACAAAAACATTCACATAAAACATATGATAGAGGGGAGGTAACTCTAGCCTTCAATATCAGAAAAGGTCTTTATAGGGAGGTAACTCAACTCTACAATAATCCATTACATGGCAATAATCACAAATGATCACTAAGGACTAACACAAATTTATGATATTGACATATGATGTAAGGGGGAGGCAACTCATATCTGAAATACTGGTATACAAGTTAGATAACTCTACACCTACAATAATCAATACAGACTCACACCAACCTAGAATGACCTATCTACACACCAGGCACAATAACAACAGGGAGACACACCAGACACCATCAGAACAGGGTGACACACCAGACACAATAACAACAGGGTGACACACCAGGCACAATAACAACAGGGTGACACACCAGACACAATAACAACAGGGTGACACACCAGACACAATCAGAACAGGGAGACACACCTAGACACAATCAGAACAGGGAGACACACCTAGACACAATCAGAACAGGGAGACACACCTAGTGACACCATTGAACAGGGAGACACACCAGACACAATCAGATACAGGGAGACACACCTTCACAATTCAGAACAGTGTGTTGTGGCCAACACCATACAGAACAGGGTACACATTCAGACACAATCAGAACAGTATTTACACCAGATTATCTGACACACATCACAATGAGGTTCACACCAGGCCATTCATATTGTGAGATTTTAGACACCATCAGAACAGGGAGACACACCTAGACACAATCAGAACAGGGAGACACACCTAGACACAATCAGAACAGGGAGACACACCTAGACACAATCAGAACAGGGAGACACACCTAGACACAATCAGAACAGGGAGACACATCAGACACAATCAGAACAGGGAGACACACCAGGCACAATCAGAACAGGGTGACACACCAGAACAATCAGAACAGGGATCAGACACAATCAGAAAGGAGACACACCAGACACAATCAGAACAGGGAGACAATCAGAACAGGGAGACACATCAGACACAATCAGAACAGGGAGACACACCAGGCACAATCAGAACAGGGTGACACACCTAGACACAATCAGAACAGGGAGACACATCAGACACAATCAGAACAGGGAGACACACCAGACACCATCAAAACAGGGAGACACATCAGACACAATCAGAACAGGGAGACACATGTAGACACCATCAGGGGAGACACACCTTTGTCAGACACACATCAGAACAGGGAGACACATCACAATCAGAACAGGGAGACACACCTGACACAATCAGAACAGGGAGACACACCAGACACCATCAGAACACAATCAGACACAATCAGGGAGGGAGACACACACAGACACAATCAGAACAGGGAGACACATCAGACACAATCAAAACAGGGAGACACATCAGACACAATCAGAACAGGGAGACACATCAGACACAATCAGAACAGGGAGACACATCAGACACAATCAGAACAGGGAGACACACCTAGACACAATCAGAACAGGGAGACACACCAGACACCATACAGAACAGGGAGACACACCTAGACACAATCAGAACAGGGAGACACACCAGGCACAATCAGAACAGGGAGACACACCAGACACCATCAGAACAGGGAGACACATCAGACACAATCAGAACAGGGAGACACATCAGACACAATCAGAACAGGGAGACACATCAGACACAATCAGAACAGGGAGACACACCAGACACCATCAGAACAGGGAGACACATCAGACACAATCAGAACAGGGAGACACATCAGACACAATCAGAACAGGGAGACACATCAGACACAATCAGAACAGGGAGACACACCTGACACAATCAGAACAGGGAGACACACCAGACACCATCAGAACAGGGAGACACATCAGACACAATCAGAACAGGGAGACACATCAGACACAATCAGAACAGGGAGACACACCTAGACACAATCAGAACAGGGAGACACATCAGACACAATCAGAACAGGGAGACACACCTGACACAATCAGAACAGGGAGACACACCAGACACCATCAGAACAGGGAGACACACCAGACACAATCAGAACAGGGAGACACACCAGACACAATCAGAACAGGGAGACACACCTAGACACAATCAGAACAGGGAGACACACCAGACACCATCAGAACAGGGAGACACATCAGACACAATCAGAACAGGGAGACACATCAGACACAATCAGAACAGGGAGACACATCAGACACAATCAGAACAGGGAGACACACCTGACACAATCAGAACAGGGAGATGTCTCTAAAGACACTGACTTATTTGTGTAAAAAGGGAGGTAATTCAAAACAACAGTAAACAGACATAACCAACATTGATCCTTTGAAGTTATTTTGACAATTACATGCAATTTCAATGGTAAACTACAACAGAGACAAATTACACTTCCCCAAGATATCAATCCATTACATCAGTTGGGTTTAGGTTTATAACTCTACAGGAATCTTACCTCATATGTTCTTGTTTTGGTCTTACATTGGACTGTTCCAGAACTTCCCACAACGTCCAGAGAGAATTTGTCTGACCATTCTGTATCTCCTATCTTTAAACAGGCCTGTAATCATTGAAAGACAAAAAAGTGAGAAATCTGTAACGTTTAGTGCATAACAAAAAAGTGAGAAATTTGTAATGTTTAGTGCATTACAAAAATGTATCTTCTAAGTGAAAACTATAATTCTTTGAACAATTGTTTTAATTCAGAAGCATCTTTAGACATGAAAGAAATGAAAATATTGATAAAAATTCTGAAAAGAAAAAAAGACAATATTCAATGTGATACTAATGTTCAATTTGACATACATGTACAAAAAATGAATTTATTCAAAGTCAGTTTTATGGATTTACAATTTGAAATCGTCAGAAAAAGCAAGATTAATAGTTTACCAGTATTCAAATCAAAATCTTCACATCCATGAACAAAAAAACAACAGATATTTCTAGTCTCATTCAAATGCTGAAAAGGAATTATTGATTCCTGATAAACATCATATATCAATTTGTTGAAGAAATAGAAAAATGATATGTGTTGCTATAAATAGGAAAACCACTGCAGGCAATCAAAGAAATTCCAACATCCAAATAAACAAAAAACCAAAATTAAACATGAAAGTAAAAAATACAGAGGATGAAATGAGACTGCTGTTACAGATCAACATGGATTTCTGTCATACAATTACATTCACAATCTGGCAAATGATGTTCATGAAACAAGTTATTAAACTGTTGTACATTGTACAAAAGAGTATAACTCTCCATAGTGGAGGGGGATAACAGAAAGGGGCATAACTCTGTATGTATCTGGATAAATCTGAAATCTAAAGCAGAAACATTCAATAAAATTTTATAAAACCAAATCCCACCAGTACAACAACTGATATAGCCACCCATCTTAAGATAAAGATTTAAAGGAGAATTTTGTGCAAAGCCCCATAATTGTGTGTAAATTTCTGTAAATTTCTAAACCTGAACTAATTGGTGTTAGTGTTACCATGGTCATCCTTGGCTTATCAGTCTGTCAACGAGGTCAACAACAGTAGAAACTGTAAAAGTTTTTAAATTAATATTTGGGAGGGCATCAACAGTATGTAATTAATATATCTTTGGGTATAAATCTTAGCATATCTGAAGATTTTTGCTATATATACTTTCATGCTTTCAAAATCTCACTTTGGCGATGATTTACATAGACTGTCTCATACAGCCTGATGTCAAAATCTTCTGTCACTTTATGAATATGATTATTTGAAGTCAAAGTCTCACTAATGACACAGAATATGCCCAAACTGAGTTGAGCCGTTAATGAAATTTTCTGTGATTCTCTGAGGAATTGTGTTACTTTCTAGCTCATAAATTCTTAAAAATTTTGTATTCAGTAATGGAGCAAACAACTTATGTCAAATTTTCAAGAGAAAACAAGATTAACACAGATCTCTACACTATACATACACCTTTAATTAAAATTTAAAGTTTACCTTACATGTATGGTGTTTCTTGTAAAAGTTTTAAAGGAAATCATTTTTAAAAAAATATATGGTTTTAAGAGATTTTACAAATAAGAATAAAGCCAGGCTATCATAACTAGCTGATACTGATGTTTTTACAATTACAGTAAACATCATAAATATAAACAGAATCTCATCAACAATACAGCCAGCTTTTCTGAATCTCCACAGACTACAGTAAATTGAGATATTTTAGGGCTCATTTAATATTAGCCATTTTTGCGAATAGCCATTGAAGCACGAAGTATATATGACCGCTAAAATTGCAATGATGCTTGAAACAGATCAACGAAAATTGGAAACTGGAAACATAATTTATTAACACCAAAAATGTGTACAAGAATCCAGTAACACAATGTCTAATGACTTGGACAGTCTTTGTTTTTCCAACACCTTTAGTCTTCCTGTGGTCTCAAACGACTTAATGAGATGCTCTTTTTTTGTGTGGTAGCGTCATGGGCTCACACAGGCCACGCAGTGTTAATAGGCTTCAGTGCTGAGAGTCTATAGTCAACGTTAGTTATGTCAACTTCACCCTTTGTCATACTGCCAAGGGAATGAAAAACAATACATACTTTTATCTGTGAGTTGCAATCATTTGTTAAGTATCTACGTTGACAAATAGCGAAAATTTAGTGAACCATACCTTGCTATAAATAGAACAGGAATTCCCCACTTGCACAACTTGAAAGTTTCTATCGCTACTCCCCAGAGCTAAATTTAAACTGTGCGACAAGGTATCCAGACCCCAGAGTGCTAAATATTGACTACGCCAAATTGTAGTGTTTTACAGCAATTGAAAATTTTAAGTTTGAGAAAAATATATTTAAAGTAAGCCTTCTGATAACCAAGTCTACCTTTAAACAAACATACTATTATGATGGTTTCTATTAATTAAGCTCCAACATGTATTGGTTATGATTAAAGATCATTTGCTTATTTACACTGGAAATTAGGAAGGGTTAAAACTGAAGCCAGGTTGGTTGAAATTTTAAAAGAGGCGTAGTACAAATGTATGAGAATAAATGCAAGCCATGACATAAAAATGACAATTTTATGTTTCATATTGAATTTTCTCTGTTTTTGTTAAAGATAAAAAATTAAGTCATGATGAATACTTTTGATAACAGCTGAATTTTTAAACTATCAGGGTTTGATTTTTGACATTGAAATAATTTGTATGAAAAAAATATTTACCAAAATAAAACTTAAAACTTAATCTCTCAGGAAAATGCTGATTCTGCGTTTTTTATCATATAATTATAGAAGGTATATTTACATAATCTGTTTGATTAATCTTTGCAAAAATAAAAACACACACATTAGCATGAATTTATGCAAATATGAGGAAAAACAATTAACAGAAAATTAATGAAAAATGAAAATCATACGCACTTCAGCAGTAATTATCATATTCAGCCAAATAAAATGTCAGCAAATATGCCACTATACAATAAATGACTTAGGGGAGACCACTCATGCTTGTTGAACTTACTTTCCCACTTTGTCTCCATTCCTTCACTTTTTTGTCTTTCCCATGATCCTTTCCTTCCTATTTCCATGGAAACAATTTTTATTTAAAACCTGTTTATTTATTTGCAGACTTTTTTCACTTTGTTTTTGTTTGGTAGTTTGTTTCTATGAAATTCTACATTCTGTTATTGGACAAAATGATGGAAAAAAAGTCAGATAAACATGTTTTGATACAAGAACATAAATAATTTATTATGATTTATATCATTTTTACCATATAATTTATTTATTGAAATAATTAATTTGTTACATTAAACAAACACTATGAGACAGAAATTTTAAACCAAACAATATGATCAAATATCAAATAAAACAGAAATGAAAAAAATTAGCATTTCTGATTAGTTTGTTACATTAATCATGAAATATACAAATTAATTCATGATAAAGTTCCATTCAATAAAATCTGCAAGCTTGTAGCCAAACGACAAGTATTATAAAGGGAGGTAACTCAACAAAGGAAAAATGGAAGGGAGATAACCATTAACAAGTCCTTTCCATATAGAATTGGTAAGTGAACCATGCAGTTGTTTACTGGTAAATAATTATATCAACAATAAACATATTGAAAATCAGAGATAAAGATGAAATATCATACTTTTTCCATGCACATACAGAGGTACTCTCCCTAAAATATATATGATAATGAATTTATGGTAAGAAAACAACAATCTACAGTATCTCCAACATATACAGGAAGAAACTTCTTCATTTATCAAAAATATTCTTACACTCCTAAAAAAGAAAACCCATGGAACTATTTAAGATACTGAAATAAAACGGATTGAAGAAATTCTGCTCAACAATTTGAAAAAATTTCCCAAATATTTCATAAAGATAGTGTATCAGGAAGACAGTTTAACTGAAATTAATATTAATGTGATTCATCCATTTGGAATCCATCATGTTATACAAATTCATTATATATACAGTGTAGTTGTAAATACACTTAACTCCAATTAAAAATGCTTGAAATATAAAGTCAATTCCCTACATTAAATAAATTGTTAACTTTTGTAATTAACAACAATTCTGTCTCCATTTTGAAAACAAAACATCATTTTATGATACAATGAATGAGTAATAATGTCATATTTCATAGAGATCTTTTCTTGGTAAAACATTATTACAATGAAACAAGAAGAACACGTGCATGAATTACAATCTAAATCTTGAGAAGTTTACATACAAGTACAGAAATATTTCTAGAATGACATTTCAATACAACCATCATCCTGAGGAGGTATTATAGAATAACAGTTATACAAACTTATCATGAGAAATAAATATAATAACAGTTATAAGGAACAATCTCCCGGTCAGAAATGATGATATCTGATATACCCAATAGAGTATATATACCAGTTGTATGTTATGATGGTTTGTGTCGAGAACATTTCACTTGTTTTAAGATACTTTTCCTTCAGTGTGTATAGTTAGTGGAGTGTGACTATGGTTGCTCATTCAAGTCTTTACTGAAGCAGATTTTTCATTTTTCCTTCCTATTACAGATTTGGTGCCATTGACCACTTTAAGGGTAAGGAGTAAGAGAAGCTTGGAGCTATTGAACCAGGGCTGTAGTTATATTCAGGAGCAAAGACTTGCATATGCATGAAAATGAATTTGTTATATCCGTATACTGAATAAGCAAGATTAATCTTTTGTTTTCATTAATACCAGCATCAGTACAGCCCACCTTACATTAATCTGTACATAAATAAAGACGTTTAATGTATCATATTTCCTTTTTCTTTCCCTGTTAAGAGGATACAAACACAATATGAAATGATATTACTTGACATGTTTGTATTTGTGTCAAGGTCAGGGAGGTTATCTAGTATGACTGACACATTAATAAATCGTGATGATTTTAGTCACGTGCAGTCTGCTATTGTGTCACACACCAATGAACGGTATAGTCAGTATTTGTGCTATGCTCGAGGGAGGTAACTCTAGTATGACTGAAACACTGATGAACAGTGATAGTTGTTATGTATAGTCTGTATTTGTGTCACACTCCAGGGAGATAACTCTAGTATGACTGACACACGGATGAATTGTGATGAAAGCTGTGATGTATTATGGTTATTGACACAATCCAAACTGCCAGGAACTGGTAAGTAGACGGAGACCATTTAAGTAGACAAGACCAGACATATGTCTGGTTAATTTCGTGTGAAGTACATAATAATTAGAAGTTTACAAAATCAATAAATATTTTTCTTTAATTTTCTGCAATTAAAATTGCTTCAAAAGGACCCTTTCATGTTACATCCCCCAAAAAGTTAATTATTTTCTTGGTGAAGGAAACAAGTGCTAAACACAGATCCCATAAACTAAGATCAAATATCAATGCTATAAGCCTTTACCTCCCTATATTAGTAGCGTCAATAAAGATTAAACTCAGTGGCAATTCGTTAAGCTAATTAATGTTGAGCTAATTCATGTTGAGCTAATTAATGTTGAGCTAATGTTGAGCTAATTAATGTTGAGCTAATGTTGAGCTAATTAATGTTGAGCTAATTAATGTTGAGCTAATTCATGTTGAGCCCCTTTTAACTATCTGTCTCTATATCTAGCAAAGCATCAGTAACATACTTTTATTGTCAAACTTGTCAATACATATCACTCAAGTAGAGAAAAGTGTCCTTTACAGAAAGGTGACCTTTACAAACAGGTGACCTTTACAGACAGTGACATTTACGGACAGGTAACCTTTACAGACAGGTGACCTTTATAGACAGTAACTTTTAAAGACAGGTGACCTTTATAGACAGTGACTTTTACAGACAGGTGACCTTTATAGACAGTGTCCTTTACAGACAGGTAACCTTTATAGACAGGTGATCTTTACAGACATGTGACCTTCAGGTAGCCTTCATAGAGCTAGCCTTGAAGTAAGGATTAACTGTATCCACAATATATACCTATGAATATGATGGCCATAAACGAGGATTTTATCAATAACTATCACTTATATACAGATTCTGGAAATATTATACAGCATCTATCAGATCTATGATCTACATCTATTTCTAATAAATGATAAAAAAAAGATTTCCATTCATTTCAAAAATCTAAGTTATCCAACACCACAAAGAAAAATATCTGTCTCTCATGATTATGTACTTCTAAAACTTCCCAGTGTATAAATGATATCTAAAAATGAATTTCAAAATTATCAAAACAAGAGGGAATATGTATAAACAATAGATAAGGACAAATCTATAAAGTTGTTCTAAGGATAAAACTACCACAAAAATGTAAATGACTCAATTCTAAATTACGAGTTGAAGGTAATTGAAAAAAATGAAAAATAACTACGGGAAGTGACCTAAGTATAAGGAGAAGAAAAGCTTGGGTTTTAATGCTAACAAAAATGCTAAATTATAGCAGTTTTTAAACAGCACTTAAATACAAGTTTTTTTTAATAATAACGCACAACCTCACACCCTACTGCAAAAATATTTTAGAGCTTTTTGTTTATAAGACATTCCTTTTTAGAATCCAATTCTAATTCGCATCCAGGGTGATGGGTTGTAATTCACTATTAAAAAGCCAACAAAATCTCACTTAAATGGCCTCGCAAAAGCTAAACATAGTCTCAGCCAAGGAAAGAAGAGTTACTGCCCTTACAGGAGAGAGTTATCTCCCCATGACAAGGGAGATCACTCTCCTGTTACCTGCCACTCCATCCCCTTCCTATAATCCTGAAGTTCCTCTGGATTGAGTGTTGTATTAACAACAAAGGCTGGCTCGGCCAGGGCCGATTTTACGGTATGTTTATTTTTCTGAAGGAATTAAGCGGACATGAAACAATGAATATTCATTTTTTTTCTTCAAATACTTGTCATTTTGTCATTTCATAAATAAGTTTCAATATAATATACATGTATTTTACTCGGAAAACAAATTTTATGCAAATATATACAGTTCTAAAACATCAATCATAGATATCAGAGTCACACTGGTTTCCATAAAAATTGAAAATTAAAAGTAACTAAATCATTTTAAAAATATTTCTAAATACATGTAGCAAAAAAACAAAAACAAAAAGAAACCTATCTATTCTTCAAAAATAAATTAATCAAATTTCCACTAGCAATTACTTTTTTTCACAAAAGCAAATAAACACAAAATGAAAAACAAATATTTGGCATACCTAAAACTTAAAACAAAAAATAGTTAATATTGAATAATTGACAGAACTTCCAAATAAAGGACAACTACGTATATAAAACTGCAAGAAGTTACATCCAGAGTTTGATGAACAACTTAAACAACATCTCCTTTAAACTCTAAAAATTGAGTTCTATTTCATTAAATATTGCCTCTTGTAAGGCCAAACTTTGTTATCTAAAAGTCGGCGGGACTGTGGAAAATAATAATAATTATTGCTATCTTAACGGCCCGCCAACACATAAAAGGTCATTTGGGCCATCTACTGGTGAAAGACACAGTGATTCAAAAAGGAAATAACATCAAACAAACTTAAATGTAAAATCTTAAATGGTTATATTATCACAAAATATTAAAATTGTAAGTCATAGTCTACAATACAGACCAACATCTTTCAGATAACTTAGAATATTATAAATCTCAACAAGTTTCAAAAAGGGTTTTTAGACATGTAATGTTACGATAAAAAATTTATCGAGTAGACAGAAGGTCAATGCAGTCCAATAAAGATGTTTAACGTGAATGGCTCATCACATCCTATGTATCGAGGATTATCTTTCCATTTCAACATACATGAATAAGTAAAGTATGTATGTACCAGGGGAAAGCATCCAGTTTTACAAGCATTAAATCTTAGTAGTGTGACGTTTGGTCGGGACTGAAGAAATACTTTGTACTATACAGGATCTTCGAGTTCAAAAGAATTTGAGAAAATGAGATTCGACTGTATTTCATCGCTTTAAAAATCCAAAGGATTATACTCAAAACCTGCTGCATCATTAAATTATGTAATACTGAAGGCTGTTTAAAGCCTTGGCTGATATATATAACTGATGACTTACCTGGAAACACGTTAATCTCTTTCATGAAGATATAATGATAAAAATTTTAACAAACATTTGTTGTAAGAACTTTGTCCTCTGTAGATAATTGATCTGTTACTTATGTTTGCAGAGATGGATTCATCTCAGTTGAGGGCTGATATTCTTTAGCAATAGATCTCAGAGGGATCTTAGCACCAACCATTGTTTGATCTTGATTTGCTTTTTAAAAATTAGATCTTTTCCCATCTTCTCTCTTTTTCTGTTTTTGTTTTTTATGATAAGACATTTGAACATTCCATTGCAGAAATAGTGATAATAATCTTTACCTGCAAAATCCAAAATGGCCACCTGGAAAGCCATTTTGTTTCTTCTGATCAGTCCCAAATTACTACATATGAAACTTGAGAGTACTTCCCAAGAAATAGTGAGAACAAAAATTGTTTACAGACGGACAGACCATGGATGCAGGGCAGTGTGAATAACCCACCATCTGATGATGGTGATTGTTTTTCTTATCAGTCCCAAAATTACTACATATGAAACTTGAGAGTACTTCCCAAGAAATAGTGAAAATCTCATGTGAATAACCCACCATCTGATGATGGTGAGCTAATAAAATCTCATCCGAGAAAAAAATGAGATGTAAAAGATTGTCTGCTTGAGACCGATTTATAGGATCTTTCTCCCTCTTTAGGGTGAAATAGGGAGATCTCAACCCAAAGGGAAAGGTTATTAATCTGTCAAACACCAGGCTTGCTGTCATTTAACTTGTTTTCAGAATGTGGTAACAGCACGTGTAGCTTGTCTCAACGCTAGGGTTAGACAAGAAAATCTCACACCAAGAAAAAGAGTGGATATACCTGAGAAATATTTATCTTGAACATTCACCAGTAATAGGTTTTTTTTACCTGAACATCACTGTGTTAAAACCTCGAGTATTTTTGTTTCCAAATTTCCTTACTCAGTTATCATGTCTCCCTTCAAGGCATCAGGAAGACAACTGAACACGACTAAATTTTAACTGTGACATCACATACCACGAAATATTACATATCCAATGTACCAGACAGATCGACCAACTCCCTCAAGTATGGGAAGTCAACATAGTGATTGGTTAGGATTTCTAGAACCAATCAAATGTCACTTTCTATAAACATAAAACTTCTGTAATGATAATACTCTAAAGTTTAAAGAAAAAAAGTAAATAGAGAATAGAACTCTTTATACAGAACAGTAATCCTTCAATACTGGAATCAGCCAAACCACCTGATATTTACCTCAATCTTATCATTGATGGTGAAGACAAAAAAACTTTGTAACATCATGTTACATCATCATCTTTTAACAAATTTACCCATCACTAAGTACAAACCTGATGAGCCTATGACCTTGCCCTGAGTAAGTGGTACTATTTTGGCTCCCTGGGTTGGTTAAGGATATATATATAGTATCAATGGTATCATGGCTTTCTCCTTGTGCTAAGTAAAACACTACAGTTTTCCTACCTTTTTCTTTGCTGTGAAAAATGACTTCTGTTTGAATGAGAATAGAACTGCATCCTGGTTGTCATGGTGATGTTCTATCACATCTTCAGAGTCGCTCGCCTGATAAACAAATTGTGTGTAGATGTAGGTATGTTTTGTGCAATTATTTACCTTTTAATAGTTTCACATTGAAAAAACAAGCTGTAGATTGTATTAAATCAGACCCAGACTTAAATGTCTTACAGTGGGAGATTATCAGTTGATAAAAATGGGTAAAATTCACAGGTTAAAACAGATTTTTTTAGCTGCAATGTTAAAGTTTAAATGCAGTGAACACTGTGATTTTCAAAATGGCCGTCAAATGATCACCTTCAATAAAAAATGGGTTTTGTATCTATCATATTGACGAGAGTTCCAGAGCACTATGTTCACTAATCATATTAAATTGGAAGCATGCTGACAATATGATACCATAAACTTTCCCTTAACAATGGACAAGTAAGTATCACACAATGTCACAAAGGTATATCTGACACTAATTATTTATAGATGTAGGTAAACATGAAAGAAAAAATACATTTTTATTGATAAAATATAAAGACCTTGTAGAGAACTCGCTGGCCTGTCTTGTTGATCATCCAGTAGGGGCTATACAGAGAGAGATCCATACTGCCAGACGCCTTCTTACAATGGAAACCCATGTCCTGTAAAAATATCAAAACAGGACCTTTGACCTCTCTTACTTACCATATTTACATTTGAACCTCTTAAAAGGCAGAGAAAGGTTATGTACTAGACATGACCTTTGATCTTTCCTAATTACAATATAAATTTTTTGAGCATATATTAAGGCACTTCATTGCCACAAAGAAAAGTGAATATGTCCCTGATACGACATTTAACCTTTGATACTTACCATATCTACTTTTTGAGCCCCTATAAAGCCGGTGAATGACCACAGAGAAAGATCTGGTATGTCAACCCTCAATAGGTTACGTCCTGTCCATTCCCTATCCATATAGTTTGGAATCTATAAATAGAACAGATCTAATTAAGCATGCAAGTTATTAAGCACTATTCCTGTAAGATATTCATCCCACTCCAGGACTCAAGGCTTTCTTTAGAGGTGCTAAAAATAGAATCATAACAATTATAAAGCTAAAAGGTAATTTTTACCATCATGATTTCAATTTGAACAGTTACAAATAAAAAAAAAATTGAACATGTTTTTCTGTACATCATTTGACAATTTCAAAATGCACCACTTTTTTCTACTATTTCATATATTCTTGAATAAAAAAAAATACTCAGACTTAATGTTGGCTGGTTCTGCTTACAATTATCTCCAGGTTGGACCTGCCCACTCCAGCATTAGTCAGTGGTGAGTTCTCTCCCCTGTCAAGGGTTTGGTAACCTTCAGTGCCCTATAAACAGATTTAAACAGATGCCATGAAAAAGGAAGACAAGAGATGATAAGAATTCTCAAGGATTTTAACAATGAAATTGAGTGATACATTTCTGAAATTCCATGGATAGCTTTCATAATAATTTTCAGACTACACTGTGTCAGTATAATGTTGTAAATAAAAATGAAATATTTCTTTCACAAAACTTGTTTCTCACTAGTGTTATGCTTAATAACACTAAAATCTATGAAATATAAGCTACCCTATATATATACACTAAGATCAATGTGAAAGCTGTATCTGTGTGTCTCTCGGTTTTAACTAGACTGACCTCTAACAAGAACTTGATGGGGAAAGGCAGGAGGTTGTGTAGTATCACAGTAGGTGAGAGATGTAGGGTGTAGGACTTGGCTGTCATTGAGTCCCCTTCCTCAAAGTAAATCTGTTCACACTCCGCCCACACCTGGATAGAAAATTCATAAATTAATTCTTTGTTACTTCATTAGAAATACACCAAAGACAAGGAAATGTGTTAATTTATGACAAATATATTAACTGTGAATAAACTAATGTTTCTCAGAAATCAACCTGTGTTTTAAATAAAAGTAAAACCCTAAATATTAACGATAAGCTTACATTCATATAGAAGGGACTGTGTCCCTGCCGTCCCTCACAGCTCAGCTGTTTTGTACCAAGATTGGCCGCAGACCGCCAACCAACCGATTCCTTCGATACTTTGTACCTAAAGTAAAACACTTTACATGTAAAAACTAACAAGGGGAGGTAATCAGAACAAGGGGAGGTAATCAGAGAACCTATAATAAAACTTGGCCTTTCTGGAACCTTGTTAGTTTATCGAATAATTACAACAATGCTATATCTAGTTCCCAAACATATTTTGAATGAAGTGAATTCTGTAAACCTGTTGAAATCCTTTTAACATTTTTAACAAGTCTGCTGTACTAGTAAATATCAAGAACTTCTGCTCAAGTCAAGCATCATCAACAACAAAAGACAGTCATGATTAATTAATCAGGTTAGAGGTAAAATAACTAATTAACCATTAAATCAATTAATCATAAAATCAAACTGTGTTACACACTCGTCTGTTTCTGTGACAGGTTTAAAGAAGAACTCTCCAGTATCTGTGTATATCCTGTGTAAAGGAATGTCTATGACCTCTTCTGCTGATACAAAACCACAAGAGGAAATCCTAGAGCCTTCCCGGAAGAACACCTCCACAGTCTGGGGCAGATGGTTTTTAACCTGTATAGAAACAAAACAACCAGATTACTGACATGCATTTCAATTAAACTTCAACGTATAAATGTTGTTTGTAGCTAGGTAAGAGAACATTATCAGTATGTAGAAGTTTATACCAAAAACGATAAAGGTGAAATGGCTATACCTGCCTGTAAAATAGATCTAAGGGAGACAACTCTATTATAATGCCGAGGACTTAATCAGAATAATAGAAGTGATATGGATACAAGCTGTACCTACCTGTACAATAGATCTAAGGGAGACAACTCTATTATAATTCTGAGGACTTAACCAGTATAATAGAAGTGAAATGGATACAAGCTATACCTACCTGTACAATAGATCTAAGGGAGACAATCCTCTGTCCTATATGGGAGTCTGTACATACAACGACAGCCCACACCTCATTAGCACTTGTCCTGTTGTTGATTTGGTACAGACGTTTCTCTGCCCGTTTAATAGTTACCTCCCTTGTTGCATTGTACTGCTCCATCTAAACAGCGATCATTTTATACATAAAATACATTTCAAGTCACCTAGTCAGTATATTCTTTTTCATTAATAATAATTTTCTCTTCTTTGTGATATTTTTAAGGCAGGATCTTTAAATTGAATAACTGTGTTATAGTTTTACTATGGTTTTATAAATGTTCATTCCTGGGGACTGGAGATAGCATGAGTTACGTGAATAGTGTGGTGCTCAGACATCTTAATCATGGAGTAATGACCTGGAAGATGAGTTTTTTCTCGTCACCCTCTTGTGTAGCTTTAATCACTGAAGCCTTCCTACTCAACACACTCTTCTTCCTTGTAAACAAATTCAGCTGACGAGTCGGAGACAGTTTGACCTTCATGTTGGAGGCATCCTCTGGCATCTGTAAGGGGAGATTACTCATATCAAAGAGGACGGAAATGATGGTATACCGGGATGATAAGTTAGATCATTTCTCTAGATAATTATAATAAATAGGCTGTAGTATAGTTTCTTAATCTGAATCTATCACTTGATGTGTACTTCCCAGGGCAAGATAACTGCATTCCATCACGCTTCAGTTAACAATCACATGTTTTGTTACATTATGTAAACAGAATTAAACAACTACACTATACTGTTTATAATTTGAGTCTCCTCCTAGTAACTGATGGACACAATCACATTCAGGAAATCCTATTTTAGGGAAACTTATTGAAGGGGAGAAAACTTCATACCTCAAAGGAATTGTCCAGCTTCATCACCATTGGAATTCCTGTGTTGTTTTTGATTACATATGGTGACATAACAACACCTGCTTTCTCTGTCGGCTCCACCAACTGGTACGCCTCTCCAAATGACTGTAATCATAAGAGTGGCATTCAGTACTGAGAAAGATTGTTAGAGTGCTTAAGATTGTTAGTTCAAAGAAAATTTGTCTAACAAGGATTAAGATATCAAAATATTTGAATAAAATAACCAGGATCTTATCAGAGAAGTTTCAAAATGGACACATAGAACGGAAAAACTGAGCACATCAATAAACGAGAGGAAATAACTGGAAAATTCCAATACTCAAAGGGTTAAGATGGGGGCAGCAGATCTATTTTTGCAGTGTTTTTGTTGCTATCTACTATTTAAGAAAATCCTCCCCAAACCAAAGAGTGCCATGAAAATTATTCCCCTCTAACATGCAGCAAGTTACTGCAGGTAATATCAAGTGGCAAATTATATTATGTGGTGACTGATATTAAGTGGTACATGATATTAAACAGTAGTCTTTAAGCCCCTGACCTTGCCCAGGTTGTTTAACACTTCCAGACAGGTTTTAGACATGACCAACTGTAGGGCATCATTTGATCTGATGTTGATGGACATTTTTGGAGGAGGCAAGTTAATGTTTTCTGACTCCCCATCAACTTCATCCTCAGCTGGAATGGGTAAATACTCGTTCATGGTCACCTTAAAGAAATGATAAATCCAAACATTGTTGTAAAGGAAGAGCATGTTTTTGGAAATGAAAGTAAAAAGTGTCTCTAAAACATTAATAAAAGATTTTGATTTTTGTTATAAAGAATATTAACAATATTTCTTGCTCTTGTCTGCCACTATCTTCCTATATTAACTTTCTTCTAGTTTTTAACAATTTATCTGTTTTTACGTTTTGCTTACCTCCCTTTTGTGACATAAAACGACTCATACCTCAGTTACTACATACAGGATTAACAACATACCAGTCATCTACTTTAACCTCTAGTTATCATATTCTGGGTTTACAATACATCAGTTATCTCAAGTAATCAAGTCCACCAAAAGAACTTATGGTGCATGAGTTATCTGCCCTTACCTCCAATCCGAGTTCCCATCTCCTCAGTTTTCCATCTTCCATAATCGGCTCCACTAGAGGTTCCCATACTGTCAGTTTTTCATTGTAATAGGCAACCTCTAGTTTCAGAGTGCTCTCCACACCTAACTGTAGGTCAAACAAATAACAGAGGTAAACAAAGGTCAACAGAGGTCACACAAATCAATAGTCTCCTCAAAAGGAGGTGTCAAATAAACAGTGTTTTAATGGCTTCAGAAAATTAAACACCTAATGCAACAAAAATTTTATTCTTTTCTGAACAGGAAAAAAAAAGTATATCTCAAAATACCTACTTAGTATGGATTGTCTTAATCACTGTCATTCTATAGCATATTATTATTGACTCCATCTAAAAGGATATATCTTTTTAACAAAACATCAGATTTCAACTGTAATGAGTTAATTAAGTTAATTAAGAACACATACAGTTAACGGCATTCTATGTACCGCCACCATCTTGTTTACCTTGCCACTCCAGTCTTTGACTTCGCCCTGGAAGGAGGACTCGAGGATGAGGAGAGGAACTGTCCTATTACCTACTCCCCCTTCTATCTTCACTACAATTGTAGGAACCTTAACAATCAGCTGTAACAGAAAACACTCACTTATTAATGGGCAACCAATCATTCCACTAACATTTTACAGAGAGAATACAGTGTTATCCTCCCAGTTATATATTTTAGAGGTAAATCAGAATTTTTCTCTTTTTTGAGGTATTTTCTCCATAAACCACAGTTGTCTTTCCTTGTTTGATAATTAAATTGCAGACAAGACTTATCCCCCTTTGTTAAATATTTTATCAGTAAACCAGAGTTATGCACCCTTGTTTTATTATTCATTGGTAAAACAGATTTACCCCCCTTGTTAAATATCTTTATTGATAAAATAATGATGATGCAAAATACTATCAATACACATTATACCACTGTACACTAAATGTGTTATCCTATTACTCACAATTCCTTCTAATTAAGGAGTCACAAAATAACTGATTACATGTACTAAAAAATCATTACTCAATAATATCTAGACATATATACTTTATACCTGTATCATCATAGTAAAAATACATCTTCAGTCTATCTTAATTCAACAAAACAAATTATTTTTTGGAACATGGGCTGTTTCTCAATGGAAGTAGATAAAGTTTACTAGTATGTGTGAGAGCTAATCAGGAGTCTCTGTGTTCAAATCACATCAAGGAAATAGATTCTGTTTATCAATGCCTCTCAATAGAGTACATTCAATGGCAAAATATATCTTTATTGTATGTTGAATAACTTTTCATCAACGACTTCTTTCAATAGAACTGTATTCTTTTGCAGTTCATGGGAGATATGAATGCCAACTGGATAAAGACATTGTAGTGATGCATTTAAAGTGCTTGACATTGAACCTGCCTATAACCGGTTGGAAGTGATTAATTCCAGGAATATCCAATAAAATCGGTTCTCATTTTCAATATTTATCTTGCTTTAAGGAGAGGCTAACCTCAGTTTGTTTACATTACATGTGATATAACTACACCATTGGCAGTTCACGAGATCGTAATATACAACTGACTTTGTTAAAGTTACATACTAGTATAGGCATGCAATGGTAGATAGAACAGTTATAGTCATGCTTTGAGGTCAAGTTATAGTAAAGATTGTTGTCTTTTTGATGGTAAAAATATTTTCAAGTTTAGTAATAAAAAAGGGAAAGAAATTGTGAAATAGCCTCCGTTGATTCTTTATTCAATTTAATTCAAAGATATCAACACTTTTTAGCAAATTTATTCGATCCTGAAATTTTTGAGAATATGAACTCTCAAATGTAACAGACTCGACACTATCATTTGGAATACAAACCCAAAAAGATCATACTCATAGAGGTGAAAGGTCAGGGAGCTCGAGTAACACATTGTACTCAAAGTAGAACAGTAAGACAGAGGCCTGGAGCAATAAAAACAAGGCTAAAAATGCTGTAACTGTTGAAAAGAACAACCTTAACAGCCAAAGTTATGATGTAAGGCCTCCTTGAGGTAGTAGTTTGTTATAAATTCACTTATGCCAGAGACCTGTTCATGCTTTTAACACTTGTTTATTCTGGAGAATTGTCTAGGTCAAGGACACAATCATGACAGTACAGAACAGTATGTGATGTCTGCAACCTGAGACACATCCCTGTCCTGGATAGATAATAAACCTCAAACTTAGGATGTTCGCAAGCTGAGACACACCCCTGTCCTGGGTAGATAATAAACCTCAAACTTAGGATGTTCGCAAGCTGAGACACACCCCTGTCCTGGGTAGATAGTAAAGCTTAAACTTAGGATGTCCACAAGCTGAGACACACCCCTGTCCTGGGATAAACCTCAAACTTAGGATGTCCACAAGCTGAGACACACCCCTGTCCTGGGTAGATAATTAACCTCCAAATTAGGATGTCCACAAGCTGAGACACACCCCTGTCCTGGGTAGATAATAAACCTCAAACTTAGGATGTCCGCAAGCTGAGACACACCCCTGTCCTGGGTAGATAGTAAAGCTTAAACTTAGGATGTCCACAAGCTGAGACACACCCCTGTCCTGGGATAAACCTCAAACTTAGGATGTCCTCAAGCTGAGACACACCCCTGTCCTGGGTAGATAATTAACCTCCAACTTAGGATGTCCACAAGCTGAGACACACCTCTGTCCTGGGATAAACCTCAAACTTAGGGTTTAATGCTGAGTTATTGCAGCCCAGCAAAGGTACATGCGGAAGGCATCAGAGCTAGTACTACCTTATCCAATTTGAGATATACAGTAAATCATTGTCATTGCCGAGTTTGAGGAACAAATTTAAAATATGACCAAAATACAACAGTATATGCTGGTCTTGATGTAATTCACAAAAAAAAAAAAAAAAAAAAAAAAAAGAAGAAAATGTGTTTAAGACATGAATTCCTGGAATCTTATGTAAATAAAAATCTGAACAGATTTGAATTTGATGTTGTAATTGTAAATATGAACCAAATCTGATGAGACGAGATGTGACAATGATTCGGAGGGGAATAAGACATGCATAATACGATATGGACCTCTTTAATAACATGACTTTAGATTAGAAACCTTCACAGAATGAACCGTAATTCTTATCTCCATGTCTAACACACTGTTTATTAAAGCTCTGTACATTTTTATAACATTGTAGAGATGAATGAGCTTGTCAGTGAAACTTAAAAATGATCCAAATTTTTATGTCAACAGGTGGTTGGGGGAAAAAATGCGAATAACAGCCCTTAGGAGACTTATTGAGCTATATCTATCCAAGAAATCAAATGTTAACAAAATAGTCATTTTTTGAAAAACCATGAAAAGAGAGCCCCACAAAAATATATTGAAAAACCATGAAAATAGAGCCCCACAAAATATATGACTTCACAGTATGTAACATCAAACAAAGTATAAAAGGTGACTATAGGTAACAGATAAACAGATATACACATATGCAGGTGCAACACTTACAATATCATGCTAAGGAATACAAAAAAGGACATCAAAACAGACTGTAAATGAGTTAAAGTTCTGACATTTACTAGAAATAAGAAAGGAATGAAGACAGGAAAAGGTTTGACATGCTTTGTATGTATCAGGGGAAATTTGACATGCAAAAAAGGATTCAAGGTTTAAATCAAGTTCTAATTAAACTGGGATAGGATGAAAGTTTCTTCTGTGTAAAGTAAAACTTTAAAAATTAAATACTGAACACTACAGCTATGAATCCCCTGTCCTCGTTAACAAATATCAATTTTTTATCACTGGTCGGTGATCATGTGACCAGTAAACATATTTATAGTAAATGATTGTAATTCATTCAGAGGAAAACAACTTTAATCAAATGACATTCAAGCATGTTTTGTTCTGAGGGTTTTTGGTGGTTTGCCATAATAAAACTAGTGAATTTCATGGAAAAACGTATAAAAAATATAAGAATTATATTTAACCTTAGTTACCTTGAGAGTGTCATGAGATGACTTTCTGAACATCTATAAAAGGCATCACCAGAATGCATGATGACACAAGCCTGATGGCAACAATAAACTATTGTGATACAAACAGCCAGCTGCACAGACATAAAACACTTGCTGAGAAAGGGACGGACAGATGGACAGAAATGTAACACCATACCATATTACAAAACCTCTCAAATATGGGCATATATCAATCAAAAGTTAATGTTTATAAATATTCACAAACAACATTAACAAATTGTAAATACAGACCATCACTAAAACTAAATCACAAAAAAGTCACACAACATACTCAATAAGGTGTAATATATACCGATTCTGAGCTGGACTGCAAAGAAAAATCACCACTTATCTACAACATCTATAATGTAATACTATATTGCCTCTGTAATTTTGTTGTTAGGAATCTTTAACCTCCTTCTCCTCACCTAGAACATTTTTCTGAAAGTTGTCACAAATTACAGGTTCACAAATAATACTGACACAATAACAGGTACACAAGTAATGATGACACAATTACAGGTACACAAATAATGATGACACAATTTATAGGTACACAAGTAATGATGACACAATTACATGTACACAAATAATGATGACACAATTTATAGGTACACAAGTATCGATAACACAATTACAGGTACACAAGTAATGATGACACAATTACAGGTACACAAGTAATGATGACACAATTACAGGTACACGAGTAATGATTACACAATTTATAAGTACACCAGTAATGATGACACAAATTACAGGTACACAAGTAATGATGACGGAAATTACAGGTACACAAGTAATGATGACAGAAATTACAGGTACACAAGTAATGATGACGGAAATTACAGGTACACAAGTAATGATGACGGAAATTACAGGTACACAAGTAATGATGACAGAAATTACAGGTTCACAAGTAATGATATCACATTTTTTTACAGGTACAGCAGATCATTAAAATTGATGACATATTTGACTGGTAAACAGAAACACATAAATTGATGAAGGTAACAGGTACACATGAATTAAAGCCATATTTGACAGGTACGCAAAAAACAAGTGTCTCTATTCTATTGCCATCTGATTTTGATTACAAATTAATGTCAGATGTTCCATTGTTATGTCAATGAATCTGAAATATCTTACATGTATATCAGAAAAATCAATCTATATAAATACTTGATTTTAATATCAACATATCTAATTAAATTTTGATAGACAAAATTATCAATAATGAAGTAGAAGGTATTCAGTGTGTGTGTATTCCACTGAAATTGTTGACACATCATTTGATAAACTAGTGGAACAATCTCCAGTATAAAACAAATATTTAAAATGAAAACATCAAATAACAAAAACTGAAAAGTCAAATAAATGTGTAACAAAACAGAAAGCATCATGAGGAAAGGAACGCAGGTGTGACATACTTTATAGGTCAACGGTGTGATCTGTAACCATGGAAACACAAGTTGTAGACATGGAAACAATAGCAGACTTGAAAACAATTTTGGTGGTACAAATGGAGACACAAATGTAGCTGTGGACAAGGATTTTTTCTGTGTTCAATGCTGCCTACTATGGTGTACGGTAACTATGGCAACTGCTTAGATAGTGTGGTAACCTAGCAATGGCATATTAACGTCAGTAAGCACAAAGGTCACTTGGGAACGTCTACCTACTTCATCTCCTGCAGCTTCATCCTGAAGAAATAATGTTGACTTGCAAAGAACCATATCTATTGCCAATTTGTCAATAGATAGATTTGTGAAATATCACTTATAATACAACTTGTGCCATTTTCACAATTATCCTGATGCAAATTAAAGTATTAAAATTCTATGTAAATCTATAAGAGGTACAGGCAATGATCACAGATGATGTTATATCCCTAAAGTAAACTCTTCATCTACTTTTTAGGACAAAAAATAACAAGGAGTGTAAATATCAAAGTACTGAAAATAAAACTACACAACATCAAAACAGTAAAAACAGCTGGAGACTTGTTCATACAAAGGTTAAAACACTAAATACTCTGGGTATGTAATATATAACTTTAACCTAAGGATACAACAAAGATCTACAACATATAAAATACAGTAGATATTGTGATTAAAGTGAGAAAAGTTACATGAAGAAAATCCTAAACCTACAATTTGTGTTTCATTAATTTTTCTTTCTTTTCTCTTTTTTTTTCATTTATTGGGAAACTGAAGATTCAGATGACACTAAGTTTTTTCCCTCCTGTTTTTGACATTGGAGTGTTTTGAAGAGCACATTAAGGGCAGTTAGTCAATTTTCTTGCTTCCTGAAGGTATCACAACACTATGTAAATATATGATGTTATGGAAGTAAATGATAATACACTGTACAATAATAAATGTGACAGATAAGAGTTAAAAAGAGAAAAATTTTCACCTGTTCCTCCCTCTTATCCTCCTCCTCTAGGTCACTGAGTTCTCGGAGTGGTGAGTCCGGTTCTTTAGTGGTCAGATACCAGAAGTCCTTTCCCTTCAATCTTTTAATTTCCCAGAGGTCAGTTGGTACCTGATAGGTGTCAGCTTGTTCTGCCTCACCCTAGAATAAAGATTTGTTAAGAATCATTATGTAAATCAGCTTAATTTTCAGGGTGAATTTGACAACAATAGTAGCAGTCGTACTCACAGACTTTGCCGTCAGAGTGGTCACCACAGCTGAGATGGTGCGTATGGTTGCCGGGGAAATGTTCAGGATCAAATCAGTCGTAGACAAGTCCATGTGTGCACCTTTACCAAACGGTGCCTGACTGTAGAAGGAAATCTCACAGGGATTTAGAATCTGAAATATAATATCCATTTATATATTGTTTACCAAATGGTGCCTGACTGTAAAAGATCTGACACAGATTTAGAATCTGAAATCGAGAGCGGTAAATTTAGGTGTGTCCATAATTTACACCACTGCTCTCGATTTAGATCTACAACTTTGTATTGTTTTATGTTCTATGTATGTGATGTAATTTATGTAATATTTGTGTCTTGATAAAGGGGCAGGTTGCCTCGAAAATTTGACAATTGGCTTGTCCATACTGTTGCTATTACTTCATTGCTTCATTACTGCTAATGAGGTTTAATTCTGACTTTTCAGGTGTAGCTATTACATAATACAATAGATATATTTCACAGTAATGAAGTCATCTTAATATTACCTGAGCCCCAACATTCTGACGCTGGTTAAATACACACGAAATAATCTGAAGGTCACGGATGGATGCTGACATTTCCTGTCTTTCTGGCGACATCCTCATCTTAAAGGATAGATGAGTCTGAAAAAAATTAATCAATGTTAGCTGTTGTTTACCAATCACACTATAGATATCTGTTATCTGTTTACCGGCTGTACATATATATATAGACACTGCGGACCTGCTATAATTTGGATACTGATAATCCAGAAAACTCACCATCCTGACAGAAAGGTTGGGGAATTGGATTTCCATAATGTTAATTTTTCTTTATACTGTATCTATATAACCATCAACAACATAGGTAAACTGTTGAAGTGTCCCAGTTTATATGTCTACAGGACAAACTGTTTAAGAATTACAACAATATTGTTTACTGATAAATTATTATGTAGCAAAAATATATATTGGTGCCAACCTCCAGTCAAATAATATCCGATCAAAGCCATTCAAAATGAAAGGTAATTGGATGTTTCAAAGGGCCATCAGTTAGAGAAACCTTATCATCAGCTGTATAGTATAGTTATCACATCTGTATGTATTTGTATAGTTATCACATCTTTATGTATTTAATGTTGTTTACAACCAGTTCAGATACATACGTCCATCTTGAGTGCAGTACTGCTTGGTTTTGATTGGTCCTCAATAAGAATGATCTCAGGTTTCTCCATAGTAACCGTGATCCTCATCTCTGCTACTGGGGCCTGCTGGACTTGTTTGGAGGGTGTTGCTATAAATAGATTAAATGGGTAAGCTACTTCTTCAAAACAATATCTTCATACAAAATTTTAACTGACATATTCAATAGCATGACAATCAATAGCATGACAAAAGAAATTGTTGAAAAAATTGAAATGAAATATTTGAAAAAGTGGTTTTAATTACTGATGATAAAAAGTATGTGTTAATACTAGGAGTCAATATTGAAGACTCCCAATTACAATATGAACATATTGTCCCTGAATTTACTTTCCTTATTAATAAGATAAAAAAGCTTAATCAAATATTTTGATTATGATACCAGTTCTTTTTAATTATGATACCTGTAAGTTTTAATGGTGATACCTGTAAGTTTTAATGGTGATACCTGTAAGTTTTAATGGTGATACCTGTAAGTTTTAATGGTGATACCTGTAAGTTTTAATGGTGATACCTGTAAGTTTTAATGGTGATACCTGTAAGTTTTAATAGTGATACCTGTACATTTTAATTGCGATACCTTTAAGTTTTAATGGTGATAACTGTAAGTTTTAATGGTGATACCTGTAAGTTTTAATGGTGATATCTGTAAGTTTTAATGGTGATATCTGTAAGTTTTAATAGTGATACCTGTACATTTTAATTGCGATACCTGTAAGTTTTAATGGTGATACCTGTAAGTTTTAATTGTGATACCTGTAAGTTTTAATTGTGATACCTGTAAGTTTTAATAATGATACCTGTAAGTTTTAATGGTGATACCTGTACATTTTAATTGCGATACCTGTAAGTTTTAATTGTGATATCTGTAAGTTTTAATTGTGATACCTGTAAGTTTTAATTGTGATACCTGTAAGTTTTAATGGTGATACCTGTACATTTTAATTGCGATACCTGTAAGTTTATGCTGGTCTTACAGATCATACCTTTAAGTTTATCCTCCTTGGCTGTTACTGCTGGTTTGTTCTTTTGTTCAGGCATTTGGAAGAATGTTGCTAAAGCCATCAGGAAGTCAACACACACACAAATATACAGGCTGCTGACCTTCACCACAACTACAATATTAAATCAACATGAACATTACACACAACATTTGAGTTCTAGTTTTTTTTTCTAATTTTTAACTGATATGTACAAAGTCTGACATCTGTAACATTAAACATGCAAGTTTTCAAAAGGAACAACATGCAGACATTTGTTGACCTTGCTCAGTATAGAATATATTAGGTATAATGTACTATTGTATACTAACTGTCCTTATCCTGACTGCTCTCTTGTGTAAAACTGACGTCAATCATGTTGGCACCCTGGACGCCTCCTGTCCCAATATTTTTTTCTGACAAGTCAACAGCGTTTCTCTCTATCATTCTGAAATAAGATAATTCTATAAACAGGCTGACAAAAACTTCACTCATATTACAATTAGAGAAATTACAAAGCACAAGAGCCCTTAAGATAACTTGTTGTTAAATTAGTACTGTACATAACCCTTTTACTCTGGACAAAAACCAATACACAGACTGGAATTAAGGCAATTTCAGATTTCTAATTGGAATAAGACAGAAAACATATAATGTCTGTAAGACATGAACGTCCTTAATTCTAAGTAATCGAGGATCTGATCAGGTGTAGAACTGGAAGGTCTATGATACACATCTACTAGGGGGTAGATATAATACACATGTACTAGGTGGTAGATATAATACACATGTACTAGAGGGGTAGATATAATACACATGTACTAGGGGGTAGATATAATACACATGTACTAGGGGTAGATATGATACACATGTACTAGGGGGTAGATATAATACACATGTACTAGGGGTAGATATAATACACATGTACTAGGGGGTAGATATAATACACATGTACTAGAGGGTAGATATAATACACATGTACTAGGAGGTAAATATAATACACATGTACTAAAGGGGTAGATATAATACACATGTACTAGGGGGTAGATATAATACACATGTACTAGGGAGTAGATATAATACACATGTACTAAGGTTTAGACAGGAACCAAAGCAAGATAACTAGAGAAATGATAGTAATTCAGAGCAGGATAACATAAGGCTGACACTATTACCCCGTCCTTACAGAAAATGTGGGGATATTACAACAAGGCTCTGTAGAAAAAAGGAAAAGTATTTATATTACTGTCATATTACAGATGTAGTGAAACATTGTTTGTGTGAAGCAAACATTGTCCCTGTACCTTGTCACTCCCTTCTGTTTCTCTGGTCGGGCATCATCTACAATGGTGTCCTTGAGAATGACCTTGGTAACTATGGCACCATCCAGCATGACCTTGCCATCCACAGCAATGACCTTGAGTTCGACCTTGCCCAGACATTTGGCCGGATCTCTAGTACTGACACCGGAATCCTAAAAAAAACCAGTTGCTGCATCTTATCACTGGATACATCTTACCCACTAACTAGATACAGACCTAACCCCTAACTAGATACATCCTTACTCCCTTACCTGACACAGGGATTTGTTATCTTACATATATTATGTATAAGCCATCTAAATAATTTCCTAAACTGAAGGAAAATTATGACTTGGCTAGGTCTTAATAGACTCAGATTATTAATACAGGACTTTAAAATACATTTCTAATCACAGATCTCCCGACTTGTCCCAAATCCTGTGCCATCATTACAGTATATACAACAAATATCATTTCATAAGTTTTATGAGTCTCCTAGTATACTGTGACATTGTATATAAATCTCTTGTAGCGTACCATACATTGTATATAAATCTCTTGTAGTGTACCATACATTGTATATAAATCTCTTGTAGTATACCTTACATTGTATATAAATCATTGTATATAAATCTCTTGTAGTGTACCATACATTGTATATAAATCTCTTGTAGTTTACCATACATTGTATATAAATATCTTGTAGTGTAACATACATTGTATATAAATCTCTTGTAGTGTACCATACATTGTAAATAAATCTCTTGTAGTGTACCATACATTATATATAAATCTCTTGTAGTTTACCATACATTGTAAATAAATCTCTTGTAGTGTACCATACATTATAAATAAATCTCTTGTAGTATACCATACATTGTATATAAATCTCTTGTAGTGTACCATACATTGTAAATAAATCTCTTGTAGTATACCATACATTGTATATAAATCTCTTGTAGTTTACCATACATTGTAAATAAATCTCTTGTAGTGTACCATACATTGTAAATAAATCTCTTGTAGTATACCATACATTGTATATAAATCTCTTGTAGTGTACCATACATTGTAAATAAATCTCTTGTAGTGTACCATACATTATAAATAAATCTCTTGCAGTGTACCATACATTGTAAATAAATCTCTTGCAGTGTACCATACATTGTATATAAATCTCTTGTAGTATACCATACATTGTATATAAATCTCTTGTAGTGTACCAAACATTGTAAATAAATCTCTTGTAGTGTACTATACATTGTATATAAATCTCTTGTAGTATACCATACATTGTATATAAATATATTTACAACCTTACCAGTACACTCTCCCCAGTGTATAAAGCTGCTTCCAAACTCTTCATTTGGAAGTTGAATTTGACCTTGGTGTAGTTAACCTTGACCTCTATTGGCTCGCTGACCTTTGGTGCCACCTTGCCTTCAGATGCTAAAACAAATATTTAACCTGTAAATCTAATCTCAGTAAGGTATTACCTCTGTGTAAAACACAAGGAGTTGCCAATAGGTCAGACTTTTGTCTGGACCCTGGGTATTCATAAAGGATCTTATCATGTCAGATATTTGTATTATAAGTAAACATGAAGACTAAATCCACTAAATATAAACACTGTGAAGAACACGGTCAATTTAAAACCACAATATACATAAATCTATTACTGAAATGCTTTTCTTAACATTTGTAATAACTTCCTGTTTACCAGACATTCAATTCCTGATTAATACTGACATAATATCACTAGAAAACTGCGCTGTGTAATATGTTATCTTTTAATTTGATAAACCAATCAAACCTTTTCCTTCTTAATATTGATTTAGTTCAACCAATCAAATCTCTCCTTACATGTTCCTGAAGGTGTCTCCTGAGAAACTGTTACAGAAGTGTCACTTGACAGTTCAGTCCCTGTCTGAGCTTGACCTGTGATCTCTTTGTCACTTTGACCTTCATTTAAATTCTCATCCAGAAGTGACATGGCCATTTTGAAATCTCCCTGACTCATGCTTGCCTATAAAATAAAAGATAGCACCTAATACAGCCATCTGATTATAACATAAAACTCTGATTATAACATAAAACTCTGATTATAACATAAAACTCTGATTATATCATAAAACTCTGATTATATCATAAAACTCTGATTATATCATAAAACTCTGATTATATCATAAAACTCTGATTATGACATAAAACTCTGATTATATCATAAAACTCTGATTATAACATGAAACTCTGATTATATCATAAAACTCTGATTATAACATAAAATTCTGATAACAATGAACATTTGGATAATTTCTGTCTAATTCAATAAAGATAAATTTGTAATTTGTAACATTTGTCAGTGTCTGGTATAAACCAGAATCTGATCAGGTGTAGAACATGATGTTATGATACTCTCTGTCTACAAATGTGTTTAGAGGTTCTCAGGATGTGACACTGGTTCAGGTGGATTGAGAAGGATGAACAATGGGTTACACAATACAATCAGCCATCTTATGATGGGTGTATAACTATCTACTACAGATAATGAATTGATATCTATTTACAATGTTTGAGACTTATACTGAAAAATTTCAATTTGTCAGAACCAAGGCTACATATAATGACACACATAATGGATGCAATTTCTAATCAAATCATTTGGCAATAAATTCGAGTGGTCTACAAACCAAATCATATATGTATATGTATCATAACAGTATGTGTTTACTCACGACAATGGCTTCCATTGATCCAGTGACGTCGACCTCTGGCTGATCTGTATACCAAGATATAGATAGGTTCCTGGTGACATTCAGCGTAATTGTGACAGGTTCTAGAATCAAACACTCTCCACGACTTGCTCCAGTTATCGTGAACACTGCTCTGTAATCAGAAATTGAAAGTTGGTTTCTTCCTTCCAAACATCTACTTTGTTATATTTTTAAAATGTGATCAGAAAATACAAATAAACTGCATAGCTTTTAGAGACCACACCAAGGGACATAACTCACACCGGCGATTTAAAAAAGGGGAGATAATCTATGGGATGAGATCTCTAATGGGAGCCAAACTACATTAATACTGACAGCTGATGTTACATTGTGTATTTACATAAAAGGGAACAAAAACAGTCTAAAAGTGTACTGCTTGAATTGTGAATGCTAAAACAGAGACAGCATTTACTATGACTGTAAATTCAAGGGAGATAACCTTTAAGGGGAGTGTTCAAACAGAGATATCATTTATTGTGACTGTCAATTTAAGGGAGATAACCTTTATTTACCATGACTTTAAATTCAAGGGAGATAACCTTTTAGGAGCGTGTTCAAACAGAGATATCATTTCTTGTGACTGTCAATTTAAGGGACACCTTTATTTACCATGACTTTAAATTCAAGGGAGATAACCTTTAAGGAGAGTGTTCAAACAGAGATATAATTTACTGTGACTGTAAATTTAAGGGATATAACCTTTATTAACTATGACTTTTAATGCAAGGGAGACATCCTTTACCTTGTAAGTTTTAGTTGTTTTAACTGGATGACCATTCTATCTAACACGGCTGGAAAACCACTGCTAGAGAGTTTCCCTGCTAGATGGAAACTGTTCTGAATACCAAGTTCACCAAAATCTGCCAACAGGACTTCTCGTGACAATGAACTTTTAGGAATTACAATGAGGGGAGCATGCATGCTGATGTTGAGACCAACTCGTGGGGCCTTTTCTTGGAGTTTACTGACAGCATCCTTGGAGAATTCGGCCACAGACTGACCAGCTTGGACCATTCTCTCTCTGGCTGCCTGAAACACAGCCTGATCCTTTGCGGCCTGGAAGTTGTTCACAAAAATCTGTAAAAAAAATGTAAATCAAGCTTTTAATAACCCAATCATTTAACGTTCTTTGTGCTGAAAGCCTTTTGAAAAGTAAAAAAGTTAAAATCAAAACCCTTATCATGTAGGAGGAACATTATAAAAGTTTTAAGTATCACGCTGGTTAATTTTTATTAACTAGTGACCAATGTCTGCTTTCTAATAAAACAGTGTATTGAGTTTGTGCTACAGAACACAATAATTTTTTTCAAGCTTTAATTTTAATCTTTAATGATTTTTAAATATCTGCCATTCCCTTAATATAATATATGTATGTCTACCTTATGTTTATAATTGGGAAATATTAATGTCATGTTTTGTCGAAATAAATCAACTTCCTATAAACACTTTTAACACTGACCAGTAAATCATTGACAAATTTGTTGACAAACACAAGGCGGATACAGCCAAGCTTGACGTTAACACTTGTGTCCATGCATGACATGTCAGCGTATTTGTCCCCCTCTGTAGCATGGTTATATATAGTAACGTCGAGGGATAGTACAGCCTCACCCTGGATCTCCATGATCTATAAATAGAAATACACAAACATGTTTTGCGGGAAAAAAAATGCAAGAAATTCAATTCAAGAAACCCTCATTACCTAAAACCCTTTCATCATTATTCATCCTCAAATTCAAGGGTAACTTAGTTAAACAACAAATAAAAGGACAGAAAATACCAGAGTCAAGTTGTTGAACCAGTACTACAGAGATCCATTTCACTACTCAAAATCAAACCTTTTGGTACAATGTATCAGGATCAGGGTCGAAAATCGTAATCGCTTTCAACATGGCTGCCACAACAGTTTTCTCATCCTGAATAGTGACCTTGGCATCGATACCTAATGATAAAAAAAAACATGAATATTTTGTTACATTCAGCTACTACTAATATAATTTTGTAAAACAAACTTTAAACTTTTAACTTTTTCTATGATATAACTTTCCATCATACAAATTTGGCCATGAAACTAAAAATCCAGTTTGTTCTAAAATCAAGGTTTTAATGACATTATAAAAATGGACACAAAACTAAAAGATTTCTGAATTTTTTTCTTGATTTTTCAATACCGCAATCTCAGGTAAATTAAGACTTTGTCTTTTGTCTAACGAACAACAAAAGTATTGGTCAAAAACAAACATTACCAAAATCTGAGAAATCAGGAGAGAAGAGACTTGTGTGTTATATAGCCTCATTATTACTACACTGTTGAAATATTATGTTACAAATGACACGTTTTTTTCACAATAAATTGTTGTCGTAATGACGGCCGCATAGTGGCCCTAACATGTAGACAATTTTCACAAAAAGTCTTCGTGTTGTTCAGTTTCCTTTTTTTTAATACTTTATCTTACAAAGGAACTCTATTGAATCCCACGCGGGTCTGATCGAAGACTCTACCGAAAAGTTCTACAGTAGGAGTATTGGATCATTATTATCAAATAACACAAAGATATTGGTCAGGTAACTCAAAACACCTTAAAAAAGGGAACTTCAAAACAGCGACTGGTCTGCATGACCACAAGTCTACACAAAGCACTTACAATTATAACTTTCAATGTATAATCTTTCAGAAGTTCATAAATATACTTAAACCATACTGATGAATCTCATTCAAATAAATGTATTATTTTATATAATACAAAACAAAGCAATGACAAAAGCTAACACTTTCCATTAGAGTGAGATGTGGAAGTTCCAGTGGTTGACACAGACATAACATGTACTTTGTCTGATAGACAAGAACGAACCAGTAAATAGAAGGATACCATTTATAGTATAATTACCTCGGACGCGCATGTCTGTGATGAGGTTGTGCTTAGTACAGATGGTCACGCCGATCTGGTCTAGCTGAGCATTGACTCGTATGTCTACCTGGTCTGGATCCTTCTCTTTTTTCTTCTCTGTAACACAACAACAATATTCTGTAATTCTATCGTTTCATTCATTAAAATTAATGCAGTTTCACTTGAGGACTTCCCGAAATTCAGTTTCTTTTATATTTACAATTTTTGTTACAAACAATATTTTGAAACGAAGATAATTAAATATCACAATTTCCTTTCATATTTACAATTTTTGTTACAAACAATATTTTGAACTAAAGGTAATTAAATATCACAATTTCCTTTCATATTTACAATTTTTGATACAAACAATATTTTGAAATGAAATTTCCTTTCATAATTAAATATCACAATTTCCTTTCATATTTACAATTTTTCTTCCATACAATATTTTGAATTGAGGATAATTAAATATCACATATTTTGAGGTTATTATTTTTAAAAATACCTACTTTTTAAACCTGATTTCTGATGGTCCTTTTTCTCTGTTGATTCTTCCTTTTTCTCACTGGTGGTGCTTGTTTTAACCTCCACATGAGGTTTTGGTGGCGGCTGCAGGCCCTCGGCAAAGACAATGAGAGAGAGTAACGCCTCCTGGTGAAGCATCACCTCCAGGGCTGTGAAGGTCACGGTCACAGACTGTTCAGTTTTCTGGTGTGTAGTTGCAAATTCTGGACCATCAGCATTAGCCTAGAATTACAAGTGATCAATATAAGATGTTAGTGGGATGAGTTTCTCCTAAACTGAAATATTATAAACTGTACTTTCAAAGTGAAAATATTTCATTAACTAATGGCTCAAATAACAAGTATGTGATAAAAAAAAAATATGGACACTGGCCACCATCTCGTGTATCCATTCAACCAAACACAAAATGGACAATGGCCACCATCTCAAGTATCTATTCAACCCAACACGAAATTGACACTGACCGCCATCTCAAGCATCCATTCAACCCAACACGAATTTGACACTGACCGCCATCTCACGTATCCATTCAACCAAACACAAAATGGAAACTGGCCACCATCTCAAGTATCCATTCAACCAAACACAAAATGGACAATGGCCACCATCTCGTGTATCCATTCAACCAAACACAAAATGGAAAATGGCCACCATCTCAAGCATCCATTCAACCCAACACGAAATTGACACTGACTGCCATCTCAAGTATCCATTCAACCTCTAAATGACATCATACATTCACAGATTACATCGAAATGTCACAAAGGAGACATAGATATGAAGCAGAGACATCATCCTACCTTGACATAGTGAATGGTCAGTAGACGGTACTTGTGGTCATCTACAGAGGGTGTGTTAATGAGGTTGATCAAAGGCCCTCCACTGGTCACTATATCAACAAACAAATATAATCAGTCATTACAATAAGGAATCAAACTTGGAAACAATTTACAGCTGTAGAGATCATGTTCTGAACAATTTAAACAGATTTAAAATATATATTTAAAACTTAAGTCAGTTCACTGTGATTTGAATCATTGTTATATTAGATATTTAACACTGCTAATTTTGGGGGGAATTATATAAAGATTATGAATTTATGATGATTTGTGGTAAGGGAATCCTACACGAGAGCACAAGAGTGTAGATCTGTAATATCATTAGATAGAAATGTACAGACAAACAGGTATATCCTGATGTTTTGAAAGATAAATCAGGCATGATAAATACACATTACTAAATGAATGTACACCACTATAGCACACACAAGGAAATCGGGGTGGAAATGACGACTAACAATATAACACTGATAATTAACATTATATCTATATATATTTACAGGTAAATCAGAGAGGTATCCCAGTGATTATAGTTTACACTATAAATATTGCTTTTTATGGAAATATATAAAAAGTAAATCCCATTTCCAAGTATACACAGCCCAACTTTAGCCATATCATATACAAGTAGATATTGTTCCATTATCATAGGTCATTCCATTGTAAAAACAAGTTCCAAACCCTATAGAAATCACACACAGGGATATATAGTAGTTTTGACTAAACGCAACGTCTTGTTACAGGTATGTAAAGTAGTTTTTAATTCAACACAATGTCTTGTTACCATCAAAAACATAACACTTAAAGCATATTTTTTTCCTCGAACTTTTTTGCAGAAAAGAAAATTTCTAACTAATTAACTAAAAAGCAAATGTTAAACAATTTTCTATCACAAATTTATCAATTAATCTATATCAATTGATGTACACTATCTATTAAGACTGTTTTGAAAGCTTAAGAAATTATTTTTCAAATACTGTATAGGTAAGACACAGTTTGGGTGTATAATACAAAACTATAATACCTGAACATGGTTGGTATGATACAAAACAAAATTCTGAAGTTCAACTTATGATATATACATGTATACAAAACAAGTAAACAATAACATATTCATAGTCAAAGAGAATATATCATGTATATAATGATTTGAATATGTAAATATTTCATTTAGAATTATCTTTTAAATATTTAGAAAATAACCTGCTGTTTATCAACAGTAAAACACATTATTAGACCAAGTGAAACATAGTTAGTAGGTAAAACCTCCGCATGCCATTTCTGTCATGTCAATGAAGGATGATTTACTATGAGTGTTAGTATTCCCACCAAACATAATACCTGGCCCACATCAGCAAAGCAAACAGCAACTTTTCTCCGATCTACATTTCTATTTCAAATTCAAGTTACTAAGTCATCTCTTTTTCAACAATTTCCATTTCTTCAAAGAAATTAAAGAAATGCAGATGGAATTTTTACAATGACTGTAGCATACAATGATTTCACAGCAAATATTACATTATCAAATTTCAATAAATTTTGAGTGTGTGCAAGGCTTAGCAGATTTTTAACAGCAGTGTTGCCAATGGTAACAAAGCTTGCCTTACATTTATATAACAGTAACAAGTGCTGACTGAAGCTTCAGTGCCAGAGACTGATACCCTGGTCTCCTAGTACTATCAGAAAGAGGGTATATCACAGGCTATCAACACCCATACCTTAAACCCTACAATATGTTATGAACAAATATTTTAGATATAAACTTTATTTAAACAAAAGATTTTAAACAAGTTTTTTGAACTTATTAATCACTCTTGTTGGTGTGGATGTAAGCGTGCGACAGGTCTTCCTGTGGGAGGAAACTGACGTGCCAATCCCATGTGGTCTGGCAGGTAACTCCATACCTTTTCACATCCATTTTAGGAATAAAACCCCAGAGATCTAGGTGGAAAGCGTGAATGTTACAATTGTGCCACCCATATACCTATTATGAGCCATTCAGGTTGTATGTATGTAATGTAAGTTACAATATTTTATCACCAGATGTATTTCTGGTACAAAATATTAGATTCCAACATTTGCACTAAACCCTCAACATCTACATCTAAAAAGATTCAAAATACAAGATTTCTTCCCAAACAATTATCCTGACTCAGGAAATTAATAGATAATCCTAATAAATATCCTCAAACCTTATATTAGTACCCTAATTCACTTATAAAGGAGTTTACTGATGTCATCCAACAGAAATCCTCAACCCTAATATCAGTACCCTAATACACATGCACCAAATCATTAATAAACTCATTTTCTCTTTGAAAAGAGACCTAAAAATCACCATGGCATTCCAGTTTGTGAGATTTCATCAATTTCACTGACTTTGAAAAGATTTATAATCTGAGAGGGAGTGCTTGTTAAATGAATTAAAGAAGAAAGATTGCTATGAATTTGTTGTAATTGAAATTCTGACCTTTCAGGTCAGCAATTTCCTATCTTGTGTGTTTAGGGAAAGACATGAAAGAAATGTTAACTCTGACCTCTAATAAACTTGTTAACTTTGACCCCCTAATAAACTTGTCAACTTTGACGCCTAATATACTTGTTAACTTTGACCCCTAATAAACTTGTTAACTTTGACCCCCTAATAAACTTGTTAACTTTGACCCTCCCCCTAATAAACTTGTCAACTTTGACCACTTATAAACATGGAAACGTTGACCCCATATCTACCTATTGACTTTGATTCTTAAAACATTGGTTATTTTTTACCCCTAATAAACTTGATCAACTCTTTACTGTAACTTAGATTTGCTGTAAAATTGTTAGGTGTTTAATTTCAAGCCATTTTTAATGATAGCGATTTTAGCAAAAATAAATCCTAAAATTATAAACAAACTTGATCCAGGAGCACAGTATCAGTAAACTAGCATAATGATGTTCCAGAAATCATTCACCAATGATCACCAAGGTTTACACATTCAGTGAACCCTTTATAAGTTCCTCATCTGACCCAGAAGCACAACCAGTGTATACCAGCCAGAGTGAGGTGTATTATGATGATGTATAAGCATTCACTAAATGTACACATTTACCGCCATCGTTTCTAACCTGATATTGAACGTTTTTCAGCTGTAAGAAAAACCATAATCACACAATGAATCACGAACAGGGTTAATATCAAACATATCTGTGTTTATACTGACAATTATTCATATTATTACCTAACTTAACAAATCGATTATTAAAATTATTTGAATTAATCTCCATTAAATATCTGTGTGAACTGGTTTTCCTTCTTAAATCCTTTATTGTGATAAAAAATTAAATTCTTTAGTATATATACCAATATCTAGTATGTAACACATGTAAATATAAGTTGGTAAATTTATATATATCAATCATCAAAGGTTTTCTTATATATTTTCGTCATCGATACCAAACCTCCCTGGAAAGACCACACTCTTTACAAGACCATCTGGTGCATGTCCCTCAAGAGGTCTTATAAGGGAGGGATCACTGTTGTGAATATTGAATAGTCAATGATGTGATGTGGAAAAATATATTGAGACTATAAAATATTTATAGGATAACAAGGGCCATTTGAGACAGGTTATGCTCCCCAATTTGGACAAAATTTAAGTATGAAAAATAACAACGGGCAATAAGAGAGGAATGATTCTTGTGTACTGCCCTCCTACTCACTGAGAGCTATCTGCCTTGAAAGTTTTATGTTAATATCTCTTATAGTTTTAGAATAATGCTCCAGACAAAATTTCACTATGGAAAATAACAAAGGGCAATAACTCCTAAATTATACAAAAGAGAGTGATGGTTCTTGTACATCTGACTTCTCCTTGTTGTGATCTATCTACCTATAAAGTTTCATGTTGATACCTCTTATAGTTTTTGTGTTATGCTCCAGACAAAATTATGATGGATAGACTGACACACAAAATGGCGACTAAATGCTCTCCTTTCGGGGAGCATAAAAATGCCCCTGCCACCAGTGAAATAAGTTTCTTGAAAATCAAATCTGTCCAACATGAGTGTTAGATTGACAAAAAGAAACAGAACAGAAAATTCATTACAACAGGATAATGGAGATACCTAAACAACATTGGTAGTTAATACAAATGTTATCAAAAGAAATAAAACTAAAATATTAGTAACAAACCTTTTGCAGCTTCTAACTTTTGAACCAATGTTTCGGAGGCTGTTTACATGCAAATAAATAAACAATAAACACATACAAGACAACAGTTAAAATTCAAAATGCATCACAATTCAAAAGTCAGCTGTGGGTAGGAAACGTAATACATTTTACTACTGTATAGAAGGTTATTTCAGCATATGTAAAATCAAGTGTTTTCACATTAGCATTCTGAGGTTGAATTTCAGTGCATCTCATTTTAGTGATTGTACAACCTAATCTTCTTATTTTAGGGTGTATTCAGGCATTCTTCTCTTTGGATATAACAGCTCAGGGTTTATTACTGGACATTCAGGAGAAGAACTGCAGTATACCATGTACCTGATGTCAACAATGTCCCCCAGCTGTTCATATTTCAATGTTTTAAATCTTATTATTATTGTTACATTCTCAACAGCTCGTCATAAAAGGTCATTAGGGTCATCAAACGGTAAAACACACAGCGATCCAGAAGGAAATAACATTAAACTGAAAGGAATAAGACAAATGCTAAAAATTTTAATGTTTATATAAACACAAAAGATTAAAATGGTACGTCATAGTCTATTATATAGACCAACATCTTTCAGGTAATGTAGAATTTTATAAATCTCAACAGTTTCAAAAAGGGATTTTAGACATGTAATGTTACGATAAAATTATTCTGAAGTAGACAGAAGGTCAATGCAGTCCAATAAAAATGTTTAACGGTGAATGGCTCATCACATCCTATGCACCAAGGATTATCTTCGCCTTTCAACATATATGAATGTGTAAGGTATGTAATGCCAATCCGAAGACAGGCAAGGACAACTTCGTCTCAGTGCTTGTCTCTATAGCCCAAATCTTTATAAGCTCTATTTTCCACCTCACTAAAATAACCAGCTATACAGTATATATCTAAAGTCCATCAATAAAAAAGGTCTCAAGCATTATACTTGGCTATTTTGTTTACAATCAAATCCAACCATGATTTATTTTTCGTATCTTTTCTGTAATGATATTACTATTAATAGTTTACCATTTTGCCAATGACTTGATACTAGATAAACCAATAAATCAATCAATCAATAGATTGGGTCAATTCGACAATCAATCAGAAATATTTCTGTTAGGAATACGTTTATTCTATATTTATCAGGCAAAATGTGTTTTATCAGACCCATTAAAAATGTTTTTTGATTAATTTTTTGCCAATAAATGTGTTTTCTAATGAAAGAATCAAGTTGGATATCAAGTGTAAAGCTAAAACAGAATCATACCAGACATACACAGCATTTAATCATACCGAAAAATTGGAAATCATGACAATAAAAATGCCGAACATTTCACAGCCGAGCAAATTCTGAAAATTTTTTTTGAAAGTTAGTAGGGCTTTAAGAACTCAAAAAAGGTAGCGACGAAAAATAAATGAAAATGATCAGACGAGCAAACAAATATCGAATAAATTACGATAAATACTTTATCAAATACAAAATCTATGATGTTTTTTTTTGAAAATTAAGAAAATAAACTATTGTATTTTGGTAGATGAGCCCTGTTTATTCCACATTTAGTCTAGGGAGTGACATGTGATCTATTACTGGAGGAAAGGGGACGGGCTTATTACAGGACAAAGAATTCATAGTCCTATCTACAGAATGGTTGGGCTTATTGACCAGATACGAAATAATTATTGGAACATGACAAGATAAAATACTTGGCCTTATTTACCTAACCCAGACCTAATTACTAGATCAGTTTATAAAAGGTCCAAGTTCTATGAGAAGTTAGTACACTACTCCAATACTTGGTGGGTATATTTGTCAGGAAAATAACAGACCAGTTATCAAGTGTCAAAATGCTAAAAACATGCATGATTAAAGTTTCAAAGAAAAATTTCAAAGTTTTGAAATTTGATTTTTTTTTCTTTCATTTTTAAAAGCTTAAATTCTTTTGGGTAATTTACACTTGTATTTCTTCATTCACCAATACCAATATTTTTCCTAAAATGGTCGAAATCATAAAGAAATAAACGCAAATTCATAACGAAGGGCACAAAATCCTATTTGCTATAAACAGACATTGAAACTTCAATCATCAATAAAACACTACTCAGTATTCTTACTCTTCTTCCTGGTAAAGGTTTTCTCTCCAATGTCTGGGAGATTTAATTGGGAAAAAAAAAGATTCTTTAAAAAGTTTTTTGTCATTTTGGAAAAAAAAACCCTATATAAATAAATATTACTGAAAGCCACTAGTTTTTTTTCAGTCAGTTATATAAACCATATCAATTGTTATTGTCTAGATACGATAGAATGAAAACAGAATGATGACAGAGACATGACAAAAGCAAATAAAAATGTTTTAGCAGAAAAGAAATAGCAGAAAATTCTTTTTTCTTTAACTTGAGAAATGAAAATTAATGTACTAGTCTGGATCACACCATGCTTTCCATTACCCACAATGCTCTGCTTTTCCCATAATGCATTAGCATCAACTAAGCCATGTCGGAGGACAAAAAAATCTCATGAAAATGATTAATTAATTAAATTCATGATGAAATTAAAGTATTTCAGGATTATCACATGCTGAACAAATATTTCAGCTAATTTTTTTTTAAAACATTCTGAAAATTAATATTCTACAATTAATAAGCAAAATTATATTACGTAACAACAATAGATCAAGTCCTCTATTTTACGTACCTCAGTGACCTTCTAATGTCTATCGTACTGACCTTTCTCCTTTAAATACTGCAGGTAGATGCCACCAATGTAAGCCTCCACATTCATGTCATGTGTACGTATTGCCAGTTGCGTACCAACTGACTCCACAACAAGCTTCAGTACAAGTACATCTTCCATATTTGTATGTTGTAATAAGTTCACACACACCTGGAATGTCAAAGGTCAAGGTTAATATGGAAGGGCAAGGTTGAACAAAGTGATAAGGTCATACCAAATTAGTAACTGCCATTCTGAAATATCTTATTATTTCTTTGGGAACCTATTTTTATTAGATATATTTGAGTTAACCAAGTGGTTACCACTCAAAATATATCTTTCGAGCTTATGTTACACTTACCTTCTTCACTTCAAACTTAAATTCTAAGTCTGTGTAGTTGGTAAGATCCTGCGAGATCGACCGCTCTACCTCCTGTCCTTCCTAAAATCAAGGACAACAATTTCACATGTAACTTTCTGTACATTAGGAACTGAACTGTGGTCAGTCGGTGAACATATAGCATTAAGGTAAGTTATCACATGGACCCCTGTGATCAATGACCCCTGTAATCAATGACCCCCTGTGATCAATGACCCCTTGTGATATGTGATGACCCCTGTGATCAATGACCCCCTGTGATCAATGACCCCCTGTGATCACTGATGCCTGTGATATGTGATGACCCCTGTGATCAATGACCCCATGTGATATCCAGTGACCCCTGTGATCAATGACCCCATTTGATATCCAGTGACCCCTGTGATCAATGACCCCATGTGATATCCAGTGACCCCTGTGATCAATGACCCCCTGTGATAAATGGTGACCCCTGTGATCAATGACCCCATGTGACCACTGATGCCTGTGATATGTGATGACCCCTATGATCAATGACCCCCTGTGATCAATGACCCCCTGTGACCACTGATGCCTGTGATATCTGGTGACCCCTGTGATCAATGACCCTATGTGATATCCGATGACCCCTGTGATCACTGACCTCCTGTGATATCCGGTGACCCCTGTGTTCACCGACCCCTTGTGATATGTGATGACCCCTGTGATCACTGCCCCCCTGTGATATGTTATGACCCCTGTGATCACTGACCCCTGTGATATAAGGTGACCTCTGTGATGACTGACCCCTTGTGATGCATGGTGACCTCTTTAATCTTTAGGAAATGATGACCTTATGGACACTAGTTGACCTTTCATGTAAATTTTTAAATCTGACCTGAGACTATGGAGTCTTATTTTTCAAACATCTACTGACTTCAACACCTATCTCATTGTGTTACACAATCTTCACAAAATCTATTTGTAGTACTGACTTCAACATCTATCTCATTGTGTTACACAATCTTCACAAAATCTATATTTAGAACTGACTTTGACCCTCACTTACCTTGTCCCCTACAGCCACAACTGCTACATCAGCCAGACTTAACTGGTTAGAATTCAGGTCTGTCACAGGGATGTCTGTAGCACTCTGTAAAACATACAATAATTAACACTTCTGTTATACCAGTATTTTCTAGGAATACAAACAGAAGATACTGAAGTATTCAGAAAGGCCTTCAAACTGAATTCAATAGTTAAATTTTTTAACATTTTATTTTAAGTACAGATGACCTTGACCTTCAGATGTGAACTGTCATTCAAAGAAAATACATTCATTTCGGAAAAAAAGTGTCAGAAATCCCAGTTTGATGGAACCATGATAACTAAGTATAAAAATAGAATCCAATTTTCTGTTCCGGTTGGAAATCAATGAGAAGTATGGAACTTCTACAGACTATTGTTAAGAGATATACTCATGACCTTCAGACCGTCTTAGGTATATATCTAAAAAGACTGAAATCCAAATCTAGTTTATAGTTAACATGGTGCCAAAAATATAATTAAATATCTACTAAATCTTCTTGGGGGCTCTCTTTCAACCATGATGATTATCATCTTGCTTTCAATCGATTTGGCCTTATCAATTCAAGGCAAGTATTTTTTATATCTTTGGGCTGATTTTCTGTTATTTGGGTTATAAACTAGTTTATAACTTCTTTCACAGTTCACCCGCAAGGCTATACCCAGGTTTTATCACCTAGCATGGGCCTTCTGAGAGTGCATTACTAACAGGCTCATTATAGTTAACAATACAGGTAGCCCCTAAAAAGTATATAATGTAAACATCTAATAAAATATAATTAAATATCAGTTAAATATATAAATTTAACACTAAGAAAACACTTAGAAATCTGAGGAATTTTTTAATCCTAGTCCAAGATACCATTTACTACCTAAATTCAGGTACTACAGAAATCAGTGGGAAAAACATTTCTTTGATAGATAACAATTATCCACAGAACAACAGTGATCAAATTTTACCAACATGTTACGAGTTGTCTCCCCTGACTGATATCTATATTACCAACATGTTATAAGTTGTCTCCCCTGTCTGATATCTATAACAAGTGTTTTCAAATTCAAGTAAGTGTGTAAGAGTACCTTGAAGACATCTTCCTCCTCGTGTGTGGGAGCTGACTCAGGGAGTGGTATACTGTCTACGAGTTGTAGAATCTCCTGTAACCGGGCATCTGATATTGTCAGACTCAGAAGCTTCAACTCGCCAGAAACTTTCATCCTGTTTGTGTGTTAAAAACAGACTTTTTTTATCTTTAAAATTTGAAGTTAAATAAATGATGTTAATAAAGATCAATAAATGCTGGGTGGTCAGCTGGGGCAGTGGTCAGTTGGGGCAGTGGTAAGGCACAAACCTTCCACCTGCCGTCCAGGGCTTATTTCCTTTAACAGACGTGAAAAGGGAGCGGGACGTCACCTAACTGACCACATGGGTTTTTTCCCCGGGTACTCCAGTTTCCTCCCACAGTAAGACCCTTCATGTGATCACATGCAGGTCAACAAGAGTGATTAATATAAGTTGCAATAACTTGTTTTGGTGACTGTTGTAAAACAAATAAAGTTTATATTAAAAATAAAAAATATCTTGATCTGAAGCCCTCATTATGTTCTACTGCTGCAATTAAAATTGATATATGTTATCTTTAAGTCTAAAAGTTTACCTTCATCCTACGTATGGGGAAAGAAAAGTCTTAAGAAATAATCTTTTTTTTTTTTTTTATACATTTTTTCAAATTATTGGATTACAGATCGCACTCTGATAAACAACCACCTATAATTACACAAAGATTTTATGATATTTTTTATCGATAAGCTCCATATTTGACATACTTGGCCATACGGGAGTCTTTGTCAAACATACACTTCTGTAGACACACTGTTAGAGATATAGGCTCTAGCACATGTAGTGGGGACGCTGCAAATGTCCTCACAGCCTGCCAGTCATCTCCTGTAACATCAACATCAAAACCAGGATCAACATCATGACCTCAGTTAACATACTCCAACATAACCTTACCTCTGTTAACATACTCCAACATATCCTTACCGCTGTTAACATACTCCAACATAACCTTACCGCTGTTAACATACTCCAACATAACCTTACCTCTGTTAACATACTCCAACATATCCTTACCGCTGTTAACATACTCCAACATAACCTTACCTCTGTTAACATACTCCAACATAACCTTACCTCAGTTAACATACTCCAACATAACCTTACCTCTGTTAACATAATCCAACATAACCTTACCTCAGTTAACATACTCCAACATAACCTTACCTCAGTTAACATATTCCAACATAACCTTACCTCAGTTAACATACTCCAACATAACCTTACCTCAGTTAACATATTCCAACATAACCTTACCTCAGTTAACATATTCTTACATAACCTTACCTCAGTTAACATATTCTTACATAACCTTACCTCAGTTAACATACTCCAACATAACCTTACCTCAGTTAACATATTCCAACATAACCTTACCTCAGTTAACATATTCCAACATAACCTTACCTCAGTTAACATATTCCAACATAACCTTACCTCAGTTAACATACTCCAACATAACCTTACCTCAGTTAACATATTCTTACATAACCTTACCTCAGTTAACATATTCTTACATAACCTTACCTCAGTTAACATATTCTTACATAACCTTACCTCAGTTAACATACTCCAACATAACCTTACCTCAGTTAACATACTCCAACATAACCTTACCTCAGTTAACATACTCCAACATAACCTTACCTCAGTTAACATACTCCAACATAACCTTACCTCAGTTAACATATTCTTACATAACCTTACCTCAGTTAACATACTCCAACATAACCTTACCTCAGTTAACATATTCTTACATAACCTTACCTCAGTTAACATACTCCGACATAACCTTACCTCAGTTAACATACTCCAACATAACCTTACCTCAGTTAACATATTCTTACATAACCTTACCTCAGTTAACATACTCCAACATAACCTTACCTCAGTTAACATATTCTTACATAACCTTACCTCAGTTAACATACTCTTACATAACCTTACCTCAGTTAACATACTCTTACATAACCTTACCTCAGTTAACATATTCTTACATAACTTTACCTCAATTAACAAACTCTAGCATTATCTTACCTGCATTAACAAACAGGATCTGTGTTCTGTCAATTTCGATGTTGAATTTATCATATGCTCTCTTTATAATCTCTTCCACGGTGTCCACCTACAGACAACAAAGAAACAGCATTTTATCTCCATTTTGTCATAAAAGAATGGAAATTTCACCGTAAAAATTCTTGAAATGACAACTCTGTTTTTCGTTTTGTAAATCCACCAAAACACGGCTTAAAACAGAAAACTTGATATACCGATAACTTTGTTTTGTTACTATGATATTACAGAAGACAATTTAACAGACAGACTCTGTTAATGATTGACATCACAATATTCTAGAATTCCGTTGTAAGGTAAATATCTATAGAGTGAATTTCCTCTTCATATATACTTTAGTTTTTAATCACCCTGATAACCCTTAAGTATCCAAACACCTTATAAATAAGCTAATTTAATACAAACAAATTTCCACCCGACCTTGGCTCCATCCCTCCACAGCTCATAAGTTAATTATTCCTGTCATTTAAAATATGTTTCTCAGGTGTGAAAAAGAATTGATTTACTCCACTGAACTTGTGATATTAATATTTATCTCCTGACTGTAGCTGTACATAGAACTTGTAATATTAATACTTATCTCCTGACTGTAACTGTACATAGAACTTGTGATATTAATACTTATCTCCTGACTAACTGTAGACAGAACTTGTGATATTAATACTTATCTCCTGACTAACTGTACATAGAACTTGTGATATTAATACTTATCTCCTGACTAACTGTACATAGAACTTGTGATATTAATACTTATCTCCTGACTGTAACTGTACATAGAACTTGTGATATTAATATTTATCTCCTGACTAACTGTACATAGAACTTGTGATATTAATATTTATCTCCTGACTGTAACTGTACATAGAACTTGTGATATTAATATTTATCTCCTGACAGTAACTGTACATAGAACTTGTGATATTAATATTTATCTCCTGACTGTAACTGTACATAGAACTTGTGATATTAATACTTATCTCCTGACTGTAACTGTACATAGAACTTGTGATATTAATATTTATCTCCTGACTAACTGTACATAGAACTTGTGATATTAATATTTATCTCCTGACTAACTGTACATAGAACTTGTGATATTAATACTTATCTCCTGACTAACTGTACATAGAACTTGTGATATAAATACTTATCTCCTGACTAACTGTACATAGAACTTGTGATATTAATACTTATCTCCTGACTAACTGTACATAGAACTTGTGATATTAATACTTATCTCCTGACTAACTGTACATAGAACTTGTGATATAAATACTTATCTCCTGACTGTAACTGTACATAGAACTTGTGATATTAATATTTATCTCCTGACTAACTGTACATAGAACTTGTGATATTAATACTTATCTCCTGACTAACTGTACATAGAACTTGTGATATTAATACTTATCTCCTGACTAACTGTACATAGAACTTGTGATATTAATATTTATCTCCTGACTGTAACTGTAGACAGAACTTGTGATATTAATACTTATCTCCTGACTGTAACTGTACATAGAACTTGTGATATTAATATTTATCTCCTGACTAACTGTACATAGAACTTGTGATATTAATATTTATCTCCTGACTGTAACTGTACATAGAACTTGTGATATTAATATTTATCTCCTGACTGTAACTGTACATAGAACTTGTGATATTAATATTTATCTCCTGACTAACTGTACATAGAACTTGTGATATTAATATTTATCTCCTGACTGTAACTGTACATAGAACTTGTGATATTAATACTTATCTCCTGACTGTAACTGTACATAGAACTTGTGATATTAATATTTATCTCCTGACTAACTGTACATAGAACTTGTGATATTAATATTTATCTCCTGACTGTAACTGTACATAGAACTTGTGATATTAATACTTATCTCCTGACTAACTGTACATAGAACTTGTGATATTAATATTTATCTCCTGACAGTAACTGTACATAGAACTTGTGATATTAATACTTATCTCCTGACTAACTGTACATAGAACTTGTGATATTAATATTTATCTCCTGACTAACTATACATAGAACTTGTGACATTAATATTTATCTCCTGACTAACTGTACATAGAACTTGTGATATTAATATTTATCTCCTGACTTTAACTGTACATAGAACTTGTGATATTAATATTTATCTCCTGACTGTAACTGTACATAGAACTTGTGATATAAATACTTATCTCCTGACTAACTGTACATAGAACTTGTGATATTAATACTTATCTCCTGACTAACTGTACATAGAACTTGTGATATTAATATTTATCTCCTGACTGTAACTGTACATAGAACTTGTGATATTAATACTTATCTCCTGACTGTAACTGTACATAGAACTTGTGATATTAATATTTATCTCCTGACTGTAACTGTACATAGAACTTGTGATATTAATACTTATCTCCTGACTAACTGTACATAGAACTTGTGATATTAATATTTATCTCCTGACTGTAACTGTACATAGAACTTGTGATATTAATACTTATCTCCTGACTAACTGTACATAGAACTTGTGATATTAATACTTATCTCCTGACTAACTGTACATAGAACTTGTGATATTAATACTTATCTCCTGACTAACTGTACATAGAACTTGTGATATTAATACTTATCTCCTGACTGTAACTGTACATAGAACTTGTGATATTAATATTTATCTCCTGACTGTAACTATACATAGAACTTGTGATATTAATATTTATCTCCTGACTGTAACTGTACATAGAACTTGTGATATTAATATTTATATCCTGACTGTAACTGTACATAGAACTTGTGATATTAATACTTATCTCCTGACTAACTGTACATAGAACTTGTGATATTAATACTTATCTCCTGACTGTAACTGTACATAGAACTTGTGATATTAATACTTATCTCCTGACTAACTGTACATAGAACTTGTGATATTAATATTTCTCTCCTGACTAACTGTACATAGAACTTGTGATATTAATACTTATCTCCTGACTAACTGTACATAGAACTTGTGATATTAATACTTATCTCCTGACTAACAGTACATAGAACTTGTGATATTAATACTTATCTCCTGACTAACTGTACATAGAACTTGTGATATTAATACTTATCTCCTGACTAACTGTACATAGAACTTGTGATATTAATACTTATCTCCTGACTAACTGTACATAGAACTTGTGATATAAATACTTATCTCCTGACTGTAACTGTACATAGAACTTGTGATATTAATACTTATCTCCTGACTAACTGTACATAGAACTTGTGATATTAATACTTATCTCCTGACTGTAACTGTACATAGAACTTGTGATATTAATACTTATCTCCTGACTAACTGTACATAGAACTTGTGATATTAATACTTATCTCCTGACTAACTGTACATAGAACTTGTGATATTAATACTTATCTCCTGACTGTAACTGTACATAGAACTTGTGATATTAATACTTATCTCCTGACTAACTATACATAGAACTTGTGATATTAATATTTATCTCCTGACTGTAACTATACATAGAACTTGTGATATTAATACTTATCTCCTGACTGTAACTGTAGACAGAACTTGTGATATTAATACTTATCTCCTGACTGTAACTGTACATAGAACTTGTGATATTAATATTTATCTCCTGACTGTAACTATACATAGAACTTGTGATATTAATACTTATCTCCTGACTAACTGTACATAGAACTTGTGATATTAATACTTATCTCCTGACTGTAACTATACATAGAACTTGTGATATTAATACTTATCTCCTGACTGTAACTGTACATAGAACTTGTGATATTAATACTTATCTCCTGACTAACTGTACATAGAACTTGTGATATTAATATTTATCTCCTGACTGTAACTATACATAGAACTTGTGATATTAATACTTATCTCCTGACTAACTGTACATAGAACTTGTGATATTAATACTTATCTCCTGACTAACTGTACATTGAACTTGTGATATTAATACTTATCTCCTGACTGTAACTATACATAGAACTTGTGATATTAATACTTATCTCCTGACTAACTGTACATAGAACTTGTGATATTAATACTTATCTCCTGACTAACTGTACATTGAACTTGTGATATTAATACTTATCTCCTGACTGTAACTATACATAGAACTTGTGATATTAATACTTATCTCCTGACTAACTGTACATAGAACTTGTGATATTAATACTTATCTCCTGACTAACTGTACATTGAACTTGTGATATTAATACTTATCTCCTGACTAACTGTACATAGAACTTGTGATATTAATACTTATCTCCTGACTAACTGTACATAGAACTTGTGATATAAATACTTATCTCCTGACTAACTGTACATAGAACTTGTGATATAAATACTTATCTCCTGACTAACTGTACATAGAACTTGTGATATTAATACTTATCTCCTGACTGTAACTGTAGACAGAACTTGTGATATTAATACTTATCTCCTGACTAACTGTAGACAGAACTTGTGATATTAATACTTATCTCCTGACTAACTGTACATAGAACTTGTGATATTAATACTTATCTCCTGACTAACTGTACATAGAACTTGTGATATTAATACTTATCTCCTGACTAACTGTACATAGAACTTGTGATATTAATACTTATCTCCTGACTAACTGTACATTGAACTTGTGATATTAATACTTATCTCCTGACTGTAACTATACATAGAACTTGTGATATTAATACTTATCTCCTGACTAACTGTACATAGAACTTGTGATATTAATACTTATCTCCTGACTGTAACTGTAGACAGAACTTGTGATATAAATACTTATCTCCTGACTAACTGTACAAAGAACTTGTGATATTAATACTTATCTCCTGACTAACTGTACATAGAACTTGTGATATAAATACTTATCTCCTGACTAACTGTACATAGAACTTGTGATATAAATACTTATCTCCTGACTAACTGTACATAGAACTTGTGATATTAATACTTATCTCCTGACTGTAACTGTAGACAGAACTTGTGATATTAATACTTATCTCCTGACTAACTGTAGACAGAACTTGTGATATTAATACTTATCTCCTGACTAACTGTACATAGAACTTGTGATATTAATACTTATCTCCTGACTAACTGTACATAGAACTTGTGATATTAATACTTATCTCCTGACTAACTGTACATAGAACTTGTGATATTAATACTTATCTCCTGACTGTAACTGTACATAGAACTTGTGATATAAATACTTATCTCCTGACTGTAACTGTAGACAGAACTTGTGATATTAATACTTATCTCCTGACTGTAACTGTAGACAGAACTTGTGATATTAATACTTATCTCCTGACTGTAACTGTAGACAGAACTTGTGATATAAATACTTATCTCCTGACTAACTGTACATAGAACTTGTGATATTAATACTTATCTCCTGACTAACTGTACATAGAACTTGTGATATTAATACTTATCTCCTGACTTTAACTGTACATAGAACTTGTGATATAAATACTTATCTCCTGACTGTAACTGTAGACAGAACTTGTGATATTAATACTTATCTCCTGACTGTAACTGTAGACAGAACTTGTGATATAAATACTTATCTCCTGACTAACTGTACATAGAACTTGTGATATTAATACTTATCTCCTGACTAACTGTACATAGAACTTGTGATATTAATACTTATCTCCTGACTAACTGTACATAGAACTTGTGATATTAATACTTATCTCCTGACTAACTGTACATAGAACTTGTGATATAAATACTTATCTCCTGATAACTGTACATAGAACTTGTGATATAAATACTTATCTCCTGACTAACTGTACATAGAACTTGTGATATTAATACTTATCTCCTGACTGACTGTAACTGTGATATTAATACATCTCCTAGACAGAACTTGTGATATTAATACTTATCTCCTGACTAACTGTACATAGAACTTGTGATATTAATACTTATCTCCTGACTAACTGTACATAGAACTTGTGATATTAATACTTATCTCCTGACTTTAACTGTACATAGAACTTGTGATATTAATACTTATCTCCTGACTAACTGTACATAGAACTTGTGATATAAATACTTATCTCCTGACTAACTGTACATAGAACTTGTGATATTAATACTTATCTCCTGACTAACTGTACATAGAACTTGTGATATTAATACTTATCTCCTGACTTTAACTGTACATAGAACTTGTGATATTAATACTTATCTCCTGACTAACTGTACATAGAACTTGTGATATTAATACTTATCTCCTAACTGTAACTGTACATAGAACTTGTGATATTAATACTTATCTCCTGACTAACTGTACATAGAACTTGTGATATAAATAATATTTCTAACTCATAGAACTTGTGATATTAATACTTATCTCCTGACTGTAACTGTAGACAGAACTTGTGATATTAATACTTATCTCCTGACTTTAACTGTACATAGAACTTGTGATATTAATACTTATCTCCTGACTTTAACTGTACATAGAACTTGTGATATTAATATTTATCTCCTGACTGTAACTGTACATAGAACTTGTGATATTAATATTTATCTCCTGACTGTAACTGTACATAGAACTTGTGATATTAATACTTATCTCCTGACTAACTGTACATAGAACTTGTGATATTAATACTTCTCTCCTGACTAACTGTACATAGAACTTGTGATATTAATATTTATCTCCTGACTGTAACTGTACATAGAACTTGTGATATTAATATTTATCTCCTGACTGTAACTGTACATAGAACTTGTGATATTAATACTTATCTCCTGACTAACTGTAAATAGAACTTGTGATATTAATATTTATCTCCTGACTGTAACTGTACATAGAACTTGTGATATTAATACTTATCTCCTGACTAACTGTACATAGAACTTGTGATATTAATACTTATCTCCTGACTGTAACTATACATAGAACTTGTGATATTAATACTTATCTCCTGACTAACTGTACATAGAACTTGTGATATTAATATTTATCTCCTGACTGTAACTGTACATAGAACTTGTGATATTAATATTTATCTCCTGACTGTAACTGTACATAGAACTTGTGATATTAATATTTATCTCCTGACTGTAACTGTACATAGAACTTGTGATATTAATACTTATCTCCTGACTAACTGTACATAGAAGAACACAACCATACACTGCTATAGAATTTAAATGTCTTCAAATATATATGTTCCATACAATGTATATATTCATTTTTAAACAATATGTAAAAGAATGATGCATAACTATTGAAATGTTAAAAATATAAGATTTTGGCCGACTCTGCTACTGACTGTGAAACAGGATCCTGTCTATATCATAGTTACAGTATAGTCAGTTCATATAATCAAATTCAAACAATTATATTCAATACATCTTCATTAAGATTTTTTTTAAAATTTTATCTTATTCTGACCATTTAAATTTAAATTCAAACAAATATGTTTAATGAAAGTTATATCATAATAAACAACTGCTTTTAATGAGTAACAAATGACACAAGAAAAAAAGTCTCAAGTTTTTTATAAAGTTTAAACATAATATACATGTATATGATATATCATAGAACAAACTGGGAGGAAACATACAGAAAAAATCTAATGACCAACTTGAATGTTGTTGTATATTCATATACACACAAATAATGAAGATCAAACAGTACTAGACACCAGCTCTTGACATTTCAGAAGTTATGTGTGTTTTGGTAATTATTTCATATCAATCATTTACTTATTTATTTTGCAGGCTTTACATCCATTGTTTTGCCCTTTGACCTTTCAGCGGATATGACATATTGATCCACTCTACCAGGTTTTGTTGATGTATCAAGAAATAAGATTACATCAATATTTTAAAGAAGTTTTACAACAATTACATGTTGGCAATGTGAGAGCTGACCGACTCTCCCATATGGTAGAGATGTATATAGATTACAAAGTGGTATAGAAAATGAAACACAATCCCAATAAATCCTACAGAGAGAGAACATTAGATATCAACCACCACGGAAATGACATCAAACACAGCAGTAAGTACTGATACCAAAGATGAAATTTGAATGAACAGTCATTATTTCCATAACTGATATTCAAATTTGATATTAAAAGATGTGTGAAAGATCCCATGAAGTTTTGTAAACAATCATATGCTGAGATTTACATTTAGTTTATCATTTTGGATGTTCCGGTTAAAAAGAAAGTTGTAAACAAACATTGTGCAAAAATAAAAAAAAAAAAAAAAAAAAAAAAAAAAAAAAAAAAAAAAAAAAAAAAAAAAAAAAAAAAAGAAAAGACTACATTTTACCAAAAAACAAGAAGAGACAGAGTCAGAGAAGATATAGAGTACAATTATATATATCAGTATGAAACACACAACAATCTACAAAGATGTGGAGACATCCAGTTGTAAAATCCCATGCATGAACATATAGTCAGGTATTTCATTTTCCATTTCTTTATCATACATAAAGTCAACATAACCTTTAACCTCACAATCAATATACCTGGTGATGGATACAGAAAATTATGGCTGTGTTAGAACGATTGAAGATCTACCCAAGGATCTTTTCTTAAAATTCCCACTGCAGTTCAGCAAGGCTCTCAAATATTGGTCTTACATTTTTGTGCAAAACAAAAAAATCTTAATTCTTTAAGTTAAATGGCCGTACAATTCTGGAGCAAATGAATTGACCATAACCAAATTAGAACCTACAATGCATTTCTGTTCCACATCTGTTTCTCCTAAAAAGTTCATAAGCAGAAACAAAATTATGATGAAATGACAGACTGGGTAACGTGATTTGCTACAAACAATGATATGGTGGTGGCCTTAATATTCTAGCAGCAGTAAAAAATGTAATTAATGAAATGGAAAATGAAACTGAGTATGAATAAATATGAAATTCACTGTGACACAATACCAGTTTTCTTCTCGGCTGACTCTGTCCTGCTTTCAAGGCTGCCGCCCTGAACTTTGACTCATGCTTAAAGCAAAACATGACACAAGCAATGCATCAGGGCAAACAAGGTAAAATTAGAGATAAACACAAAAATCTGAACATGGGGAATGTATGTATGAGGTCATACAAGGTCACAGACAGTGATAAACACACAAACATGACACAGGCAATGTATGAGGTCAAACAAGGTTATAAACACAAAAACATGACACAGGCAATGTATGAGGTCAAACAAGGTTATAAACACAAAAACATAACACAGGCAACATATGAGGTCAGACAAGGTTATAGACGGTGATAAACACAAAAACATGACACAGGCAATGTATGAGGTCAGACAAGGTCATAGACAGTAATAAACATAAAAATCTGGACATTGAAGCTTTACTAAACACCAGACAACATTTTAACTCATTCTTATCTCACAACACATATATGTATGTTAACATTCAAACATTCTTCATATACCCAAAACAATCACTTTTTTGGGGGCTCAAATTTTTTGGGATATTTGATTTAGGCACTTTCTCCCATGGATAAACAGTACTCCTTCACTTCACTAATTATACTTATCATGACTAAGTGGAATACTGAACAGTTTTTATGAATTTATGGACACTCTCAAAATCAATGAAAATTAAATTTCCATCAAAACTGATTAATTTATTAAACAGAATTTAGACTCAAATTGTACAAAATTATATAAAACATTCAAGTTAAACAAAATCACCAAAACCAGATTTACACTCAAATTGAACATAAGTCAAAACACCTAAAACTTACACCCCCCCCCCAATAATCAAACAAACTATCTATAAATTTATCATACACAACACATATTTAACTTCCTTAAGTGACACATGATAACAACCTTTCTGATCTATTTCTATGCCGTGTATGTCTTCATGCCTGTGTATGCGAATGTTTTAAATTGTTGTGAGGTAAAACAGCATCAACTTGAGGCTTCAATAAAACCTCCATCCTTTTTATCCCCTTTTGGAAGCAATGGGGTTTAAAGATGTGGACTCGTGGACTGATTGTGGCTTTGAAATTGTGAATAAATAGAGTAATAAGTCGTGTTGAGAAGATTAATTAAGGAAGATCATCGCTGCAATGTTATAAGATTATTTCCCTTTTATAACAGTCATGTTTACTTCTTAGATATAACATTTGCATATCAGCGAAACAGCTGTATGATGTAGCATCACTGACGAGTCCCATAAGGACGAAACTGCTGTATGATGTAGCATCACTGACGAGTCCTAGAAGGACGAAACAGCTGTATGATGTAGCATCACTGATGAGTCCTAGAAGGACGAAACAGCTGTGTGATGTAGAATCACTTATGAGTCCTAGAAGGACGAAACAGCTGCATGATGTAGCATCACTGACGAGTCCTAGAAGGACGAAACAACTGTATGATGTAACATCACTGATGAGTCCTAGAAGGACGAAACAGCTGTATGATGTAGCATCACTGATGAGTCCTAGAAGGACGAAACAGCTGTGTGATGTAGCATCACTGATGAGTCCTAGAAGGACGAAACAGCTGTATGATGTAGCATCACTGACGAGTGCTAGAAGGACGAAACAACTGTGTGATGTAGCGTCACTGATGAGTCCAATAAGGACAAAACAGCTGTATGATGCAGTTTGATTAATTGTTTGACTCTACTTTGTCCAAATCTAAATTTTTATCAAAAGGTGCTATTGACTTTTATATAATATTTAAAAAAAACATCACATGATGAAGCCTTATGATATGTACAATCATACCAAAATCATGGGATGCATTTTAAAGCTATAAGGTATAGTTTGACCTTGACAAACCTTTTGACTTTCACACTACTTTAAGTTCCTACAGTTGTTACGGTACAAATTTAACAAGATGGTAAACAAGCAGTAAGTAACACATCTGAGGCTTTAACAGGCATTATTTATCATTTTTCTATGACATTTAACCTTACCTGACCCTTAACCCCAGAAGATGTTTGGTTCTTTTCACTGTTGACCTTCAGATTACCAAGGTCAAGGATCAACTGCCTACAATTCCTGTAAAAGAAAACAAAAAATGATGACAAATCTAGGACTTTGTGACCTATATAAGAAGTCATTAAGTGGCAGACATTGTAAAAATCCCCTTAAGTGACCTAAATTATTGTAGACTCAGTGAACTACTTTTAAACGCAGAACTGCTTTAGCAGAATGACCCATTGACCTAATTTTTGTAAAAGCCTCCATCTCTATTGTTTGTTTACTCCTGCTGGTTCAATGGCCAAGTGACCTACTTTTTGTGGAAGCCTCCCTTTGGTTTAGCGACTACGTGACCTACTTTTTGTATAAACCTCCCTTAGGTTTAGTGACCCAGTGAGCTATTATTTGTAGAAGCCTCCCTTAGGTTTAGCGACCCAGTGACCTACATTTTGTATAAACCTCCCTTAGGTTTAGTGACCCAGTGAGCTATTATTTGTAGAAGCCTTCCTTAGGTTTAGCGACCCAGTGACCTACTTTTTGTAGAAGCCTCCCTTAGGTTTAGCGACCCAGTGACCTACTTTTTGTAGAAGCCTCCCTCTGGTACAATGACGTAAGATGACTTGACATCAATCCTTATGTCTGTATATTTGCGCATGTCTATGGCATGCTGAAGTCCTGTCGCTGACTGCTCTTTGAAGTCTTCAAATTTAGCAACAGCAGCCTGTGATAACCTAAAACATTAGAATAAACATGAATAGCAATGTCTTCAATCATAGAAATCTCTGTTGATCAATCTGTAGTGATGTATCAACTCTATCATCTGTGAGTTATTCTGTTAATAATTCTGTCCCTTTCAAACAAAAATCCTATACCCAATGTTTATTACAGTTTCTGTTCTAATACAACTCTCTTAAAACTTTATCAAATTGTTGTCCAATTCAAAAGACAAAGGGAACAGTATTTTCTGATTACAAAGACAACTTAATGAAAGGTTGAAGAAATCCCTGGAAAAAAGGACAGAATCTGTTCACATTTAGATACTGGTTGGTTGGTTATTGGTTTTCCACCTCCTTGACTAATTGGCCAAATAACTTTGACCTTGAACTTAACCTATACCTGACCTTTAAACTTTGACATTACTAAGACAACTACACATTAGTATCTACTCTAACATTTAAGCTTTTCTTGTTGTTTACACAATTTTCTACATATGAAATGAACTGGGTTTTTTTTGTATTCAGATCATTTTCTGGTATCCATCCAACTCTACAACATATCAATAATCTTTAAAGGGTGAATTATGTATACTGCTAGGTTATTTCCCTTGCTAAGAGCAGCCAGTTTTCCAACAAAATCTTTTTGTCACATTAACTTGAGTACCTTAGAGAAAGGGAACCTCTGTCCCTGAAGCCTTGTGTACAGTATACGAGACATAAACAATTTTCTTGCTGTAAAGGTGTTGGACAGTTCATGCTGTATGTATGCAATAGATACAGTATACAAAGGTACAGTATAGTATATGAGAAATAGAATCTTATACACTTCTATGCAATAGATCCAATCATAAAATACAAAATCATTAAGATTTTCAGAGCATAGCTAGGACAAGTCACAGCCCAGAAGATGTGTCAGAGGTTACTAAGTTGATAGAATAAATATTTCCCTGGTATAAAGAAGAAATCACAGAATAGACTAGATCAGCTACAGGGACAGGACTGAACAACGTGTTACACTGAAAATATCACTCCTATATATTGTCATTATCAAAGTCCCTGGACGCTTTTCAGACAAAATATTTGAAGTTTTAGCAAAACCAATTAACATTTCAAATGGAAACTTTAAAATAATTCTATCTATTATATAATGCTTCAAATCATTTCATTTTTTAGTGGTGTGTATGAGATACTGCATGACAAAAATCTTCAAAATGTCAAATTTCTAAAATATTATAAATTTTTTGTCATTTTTTTTAATCAAATAAATGAACTAATGAATATATTTAAATTTAATTTCTTAAGAATTTTCAAAAAGCAAAAAAAAGGGGAAAGAGTATTGGACAGAAACATGAACTTATCAATGTGATTTTTTTTGACAATTCTGAATTGTTGAAGGTCATGAGACATCTTGTACACAGGCCTTGGACATATGCACCTATAGCACAAAAAGTGATTTCTATATATCCCCCTGTCTTTATAATGAAATTCATGGTTTTTGGAACATTATTAAAAATCAGTGTCAACATTTTCATACAAACTTTATTTATTTTACAACAACTGCGAAAAAAGTTTTTTCAACTTAAATCAAGGAAAATATGAAATACTAAATTCAAAACAGTATACAACATGGGAACCAAATAAAAAGAATTTAAAAAATTTGTTTCCAATAACAGTCCTAATAGCTTCATTCTTATTTAAACCTGAAATTCAACAGAATCTATATAACATAAAGTACTACAATTAGTGTTCACATTTATCTTTAGAAATCAAAATCTTTCATTTCTTTTATTCTAATTGATATAAAAAGAAAAATAGTGAAATCTGGAGAAAAGGTCTCAAAGCTAGCTCACATAACTAAAATTCTGTGTCTTTATTTAAAATATCCATTCAATAACGTCTAGAAAAATACGGAATATTAAATTTAAACAGGTGTACAACATGGGAAACAAATAATTAAAAAATAAACATTTAAAATATATAACAAAAGATCCAATTAAACTATTGAATATTACAAGGAATTGAATCTAAAAACAATAAATTTCCTTAATAGATGTTTGTCATCATCACCTACATAAAGGCATTTATCTTTATACAAGAGGCCCATGGACCTTAACGGTCACCTGAGGTCTTCAGGCCTTTAGACAGTTTTAGAACCTGTCCATCAGTCCCAGCATTGGGGCTACAGAACAGATTTATGCATACTTACAAGTTTTTATTATTTCTAAGTTTGAAGGCTTGATTTTTAATTAAACGAAACTGATAACAATGATGTTGAAGTTTGCCATATTTGACCCCAGTGACCTTGAATAAAGGTCAAGGTAATTCATTTGAACAAACATGATACCGCTTCATCCCACCATGCTACTGGACCAATTTAATGAGTCTAGGCCTTTCGGTTATTGAGGAAAAATTGAAAATGTAGATTGTTTATGATGCACAACAGACGATGGACAACGCCAGATTAAAGATGATCGCAATAGATCATCTGAGGCAAAGTCTAAAATAATTAATTTCATTCTGTGCAAAAAAATTTTCCTGTTTTTCGTCAGATTTAAACGGAAAAAAAATAGAAAAATAATATGAAATCATTTAAACCAAATTCTGAACAAATAAAACATATTTTCAATCAACATAAAGAAATTTAACAACAAACGCTGGATTGGGTAACAAAAAAAATCACAAATATCTCAAATATTTCGGGACAAAAAGACTATTCTAGTAAAGTCAATTCTAAATTAAAAACACTTCACATTTGATGTTTACAACTGCAATAAAATATTGACAAGATCAATACAAGTTGTATCAAACCATATGTGTAACAGATAATCAAACCAAATCTGACCTGCTTATTCAATACAGTGAAACCTGTCTATAAAGGTCATGCATGGCAGCAGAGAATAATGGCCTTTATACACAAGTGATCTCTATATAAAGGTTAAATCACTAAATATTTTTTTACATTAGGATCCATAACCGACAGCCTTTCCAGACAAACATTTCTTACATACAAGTGGATCTAATGTTTGAATGTTCTATGATTTTTTCTTCCTTTCATGTTGCATTTTTTAATCTGTCATATTTTCAACTCCAATAATTATATTATTGAATTCACTCAATGATTTTTAGTACAGTAGTAACAAAACTCATGTGAATTTGTGAAATCACCACACTTACAACAAGAAGGAAAATAGAAAAAAGCACACAATTTAGGAATTTAACTTCTCTCTTTTCTATAATAATAAACCATATCAGAATTAATCCAAGACAACAATAATAAAAAAAAATGGATTCTATGACCGATGTTTATTACGTATTAAAGACAAAGTAGTTAAGTGAGTAATTGTTGTTATACATGGTGAATACTGCTGATCAAGATACCAAGTACCTGTTTACTATAGGTTTACTGTATTGACAAAATAAAGACATTTCCCTTCATTTTTATCCCGACGTTATACCTGAAATAAATCTGAACATCTATTACTGTACACTGTCATCACCACTATACTTACTGTAGGTTTATCCTGGGAACAAAACACCAGTATAGACATATTAAACCAAGCATTTCTCTCTTTAATGAAAATAAAAATTCTTGTTTTTTCCAGTTTTTTTTATTAAAACATTAGGTTTCTTCCATTTGATATTATTCAAATACATTTTTTTTCTTTCAAAAATATTTTCTGTCATTCCCACCAAAAAACATAGTAACATCAAAGTACTTATAATCCATGTAATTTCTGTCAATCTTTTCATTTTCATGAATTCTTTATTTTAAAAACCATCAAATGTTCCCGTGAGTTCATGTTTGAGAGGACATTTTAACTTTTATTTCTGTCATAACCAGCTACAAGAATTTTGTAAACTATTCTTAAAAGACTGCGTTACAGTTACAGGACAGACTGAAGAGAGGTGCAATAAGCACACCCTACCTGGGAAAACAACATTTTGAAACAATGTACCAAAATATTGCTGTATAATCTTGTGAATCATATAACTGGTAAAATGAGCATTGATCTCTTCAGTCAGGTCACAAATTTGTGTTAATCTAATTGACTTCAAAGTGATTAATTCTTAATGTAAATCAATGAAAAGGAATAGATAAATAATCCTAAAAATTTATTGATTTTTCTTTACAAAGTCTAGTCTAATGCTTAACTCAACAATTGATCAAATCTAGAGTACACTGAATTTCTAATCTGAACAGAATTTGAATTTTTGAAATTGTAACTCTTTAGGACTGGAGATACAAATCACTAAGGAAGCATATCTCCTTGGTATAGACAAATTTTATACATATGATAAATGAGAAGACAGATTATTACTAAATTTCACTAATTTAATTTCATTTTCATCAATGTTTTTGAGTTCAGTTCTATTTTACAATATTTTTTCCTTGTTGTGAGTTCTATAAATCAAGAGAAGAAGTATCTTGTACTTACTGTTGAAGACGAATTTCCTCAGGAGGTTTGAAAAATTCAGCCAACTGGTTCACAGTCACCTACATTGAAAAAAAAAATCTTTCATTCCAGAAAATCAATATTATTCATATAAAAGAGTTATTATTCAACAAAAATCATTGATGAAATATTTATATATATTTTCATTAAACATACAGAAATCTTTTATGAAATGTGTGAACGTCCTTGTTTTGCATACTTTTTTCCCTTTTTTTCTGTACACTACTTTATGACAACACATTCACTTTTTAACAACAGAAGTTATATGACCACACCCTACCTGAGAAAAAAAAACATCATTTTTTCTAATACTCATGGAGGAAGTTATGACAACATATTCACTTCTTCACCAACAGAAACGATATGACCGGGAAACTTACAAGAATAAATTACTAATTCAAGACTTCACTTACAGCATCATAAACCATTTGTAACGGTCGAGCATTGACCCGAACTCTTGTGTCACAAGCGCCATCTAGTGGATTAGTTTCAACCTGGACATCCAGGAGGGAGTACACTTGGTCAGCCTCCTCCGTCTGTGATACAACCATCCGTGGAGTCTGACCGTTCTGCTGGACACCATTAACAGTGAACCGGTCAATCTTAGCCTCCAGTCTAGAAGACATTGGAAGTTAATGTATTAACACACTGGAATATCAGAACATCCTACTAATCTCCTGTCTCTTGTTGATAATCAACGATTGGAAAATTAGTATTTTGATAAACATGTATTTCATCCTCAATAAATAACAATGATTATTGTTTCTAGTGTTATTTAAAAGCATCCACATAAAGCCAGATTTTGTACAGTAATGTACTGCACATCTGTACAAAGCACAAAGACTTAATTGACTGGTCATTATTTATCCAAACAATGATGTGTCTCCTACACCTGAAATAACAGGACCAGCACTGTTATAGTTAGCAAGTTGTTACTGTTTCTTTGTGAAAAACTTCCTGAATAATAAGTATTGATATGCTTGCTAGAGTTATCTCCCTGTACTGGAACGTGTAAGCATATTCTCATTTATTTTTCCTTTATTTTCTCTGACCTTTAACAATTTTACGGAGTTATTCAATCTGTCCTAGCATCAGCTACTTACTGTATAGCTGAAGCTGCAGGTCTTTGTCCGAATGATGAAAAAACGTCTTTCAATTGTAGCCGTAAAATTTGTGGATCTCTTGAATAAAACAATAATAAGTACAAATTTCACAAGAAAATGTGTGTGAAAGTGTATCAGATTAATGCTTTGTGATAATTCAATCACTCTATGTATACAACATCGTTTCTCGACTTTTATTTCCACTGAATTTCTGTATTTCAGTCCTTAATATGATAATATATCAGTACTCTCAGATATTTAAACATACAACATGTAACTCTGTTTTTCAAATTAACACTTAACACTTTAATGTAAAATACAGGTCTACTTATCATCATTAAAGACTCCAAACTATTTATAGTATCGGTCAGCAATATCAGTGAATGATTGCTGGGGGTCAAGTCACATTAAATTCACTAACAGACCATTGGTCAGTCATGTCACATGATTTTTGACCAACAGATATCTGACCAATCATACGACCTGTGAATGAATTTTCTGTTTCAGTAAATTTTCTTCTCTGATTTTTCTTCCTTTTCCTTTTCCCTATTTTTTGGTAATTTTGACTTAAAATACTTCACTTACCTAGGATTAACATGAGAATAAATAATATTTGCAATTGACATCTTTATTTTGCACGATAAGAATTTTGTTTTGGTAATTAAAATATTTAAGGTATCGATGATCGATAATGAAACATGATAATCAATCATCACATCATATGAAGTTTAATGATTAAATTATAGATCAGATCTCATCCTCCTCCATCACTACCGATAACTATCAAATTATAGATCAGATCTCATCCTCCTCCATCACTACCGATAACTATCAAATTATAGATCAGATCTCATCCTCCTCCATCACTACCGATAACTATCAAATTATAGATCAGATCTCATCCTCCTCCATCACTACCGATAACTATCAAATTATAGATCAGATCTCATCCTCCTCCATCACTACCAATAACTATCAAATTATAGATCGGATCTCATCCTCCTCCATCACTACCGATAACTATCAAATTATAGATCAGATCTTATCATCCTCCATCACTACCGATAACTATCAAATTATAGATCAGATCTCATCCTCCTCCGTCACTACCAATAACTATCAAATTATAGATCAGATCTCATCCTCCTCCATCACTACCGATAACTATCAAATTATAGATCAGATCTCATCCGCCTCCATCACTACCCATAACTATCAAATTATAGATCAGATCTCATCCTCCTCCATCACTACCGATAACTTACAGATCATTGTCCCTCACTACCGAAAACTTTAATCATCAGATGTTTACCTTCTACTGTCATCCTTCAGGGTAAATGACAGGTTTGTTAATTTGGTCACAAACTTCACTGCTACAAACTGAAAAGTCAAGAGAGATATTGAAATCATGAACATTTTAACATTAATTTCGAAACATTTTTTTCAGGTTGGTATTGTCAATAGAATAGTAGTTCTTATAACACAACCAGTAGAAGATTAGAGTGTGACGTTTTGAGGACTACAAACATAGTTATAAGATGAAGGTGACTGTGCAGTCATCGAAACATCCCATTTTAATCTTCTACTGGTTGTGTTATAAGAGGAAGGTGACTGTGTAGTCATCGAAACATCCAATTTTAATCTTCTACTGGTTGTGTTATAAGAATTACTATTCCATTTTCAGACTTAGTTTTTACAGGAACCTGATTAGTAAAAATTCTGGTGTATATATCAGAGTGAAAATAATGTAAAATCAGAAATATTTGTGGGACTTAAATTTTCATGGTTTATCAAATAATAGTACATTATGAATACTTAATGATTTCAAGGATAAATAGAGTTTAATCAATCTACCTAGATATAGTGTACCCACAAAAACAATGAAAATAAATTCTCCATGAAAATGATTCTACAGTGTATTGTTTATTACTTGTATGTCAAACTCCAGTCTGATAGAGAAAACTATACATGTCAGCACTTTCTGGCTGTTAATTACGTCTTGTGAGTGTAATATAGACAACATACAAGCGTGAAAATAAAACTGATTCGGATCAGTGCCAAACAGGTTTAACACAAACTGTTGATTCAGAGTCAGTGCCAAACAGGTTTAACACAAACTGTTGATTCAGACAAAACAGGTTTAACGCAAACTGTTATTCAGAGTCAAACAGGTTTAACGCAAACTGTTGATTCAGAGTCGGTGCCAAACAGGTTTAACGCAAACTGTTGATCCAGAGTCGGTGCCAAACAGGTTTAACGCAAACTGTTGATCCAGAGTCGGTGCCAAACAGGTTTAACACAAACTGTTGATTCAGAGTCAGTGCCAAACAGGTTTAACACAAACTGTTGATTCAGAGTCAGTGCCAAACAGGTTTAACACAAACTGTTGATTCAGAGGTCTGAGAGTGACAATTTTTAACAAATGTTGTAGGATCAACAGAATACATGTTATAATACTGACCAATCATGTATTTTGTTTTTATGTAACTTGAAGTCATACCTCTTTTGGTAACGTTGGATCAGACTCATTCTCCTGGTAACCAATAGCACTGTATAGTTTGGCCTTTTCTTCAGGAGTGTAAAGTTCCTGGAATTTCTCCTCTGTAGAGAAGGTTATAAAAAAATTCCATACACTGAACAATATACAAAAAACAAGTACTATTATCACCACTGTATTTATGACAATAAGCCCATGCCCAGTAATTAAGCCCATCCATATTAAGATCATATAATTATCAAACTTTTTCATCTTTTGAATATTACATCTGAATATAGCGGCACCTAACCTGAAGTCAAAGTGTGTAATATTTTAACACAAAATATAACAACTATTAATTATACCATATTGATTGAATAGCTATAATCCCACAAACATCACTCCAGGGTACCCTACATTCCAATCACTATAACACTTCATCATAACCTAAGTTCACCATAGCATATCATATGTAAAAATTGTGTCAGAGCTACAGATAATCCCTTAGAGATATAGAACCTTGGCTTTAATCATCTTCAAGGTAGAAGACTTTGTGAAGGAGAGAGTAGTTTAGAAGCTGAGAGTACAGGAACCTTAATATACTCATAGGAATTTCCCTTTATTTTTTACTTATGGGGGTTTCCCTTTATCTTTCACTCACGGGAAATGTCGCCGATTTCTACAAGTGTGACCACTATTGTGGATTTCCTTTTATATCTACCATTCGGAATTGTCCCTGAATTTGACTTATGGGAGTTTCCCTTTATTTTTGACTTATGGGAGTTTCCCTTTATTTTTGACTTATGGGAGTTTCCCTTTATTTTTGACTTATGGGAGTTTCCCTTTATTTTTGACTTATGGGAGTTTCCCTTTATTTTTGACTTGTGGGGGTTTCCCTTTATTTTTGACTTGTGGGGGTTTCCCTTTATTTTTGACTTGTGGGAGTTTCCCTTTATTTTTGACTTGTGGGAGTTTCCCTTTATTTTTGACTTGTGGGAGTTTCCCTTTATTTTTGACTTATGGGAGTTTCCCTTTATTTTTGACTTATGGGAGTTTCCCTTTATTTTTGACTTATGGGAGTTTCCCTTTATTTTTGACTTACGGGAGTTTCCCTTTATTTTTGACTTACGGGAGTTTCCCTTTATTTTTGACTTATGGGAGTTTCCCTTTATTTTTGACTTATGGGAGTTTCCCTTTATTTTTTACTTATGGGAGTTTCCCTTTATTTTTGACTAGTGGGAATTTCCCTTTCTTTCAACTAGTGGGAACAGTCATAGATTTCCACTAGTATGAATCTTCCATTAGTGTGAATTTCCCTTTATTTCAACCAGTTGGCACTGTCCTTGAATTTGACTAGTGGGAATGTTAACTTTATTTTGACTTGTGGGAGTTTCCCTTTATTTTTGACTTATGGGGGTTTCCCTTTATTATTGACTAGTGGGAATTTCCCTTTCTTTCAACCAGTTGGAACTGTCCTTGAATTTGACTAGTGGGAATGTTAACTTTATTTTGACTTGTGGGAGTTTCCCTTTATTTTTGACTAGTGGGAATCACCCTTTATTATGACTCATGAGAATTTCCCTTTCTATGACAAGTGAGAATCTCACTTTATTGTGACTTATGGGAATTACCTCTATTTTGACATATGGGAATTCCATTTATTTTGACCATTGGAAATTTCCCATTATTATGATGACCTAGTGTCTCTTTATTAAGAGGTAGAGAGTCCGCTCTGAATGCCAGATCTCACTAAATCAAGTCCCAACAGGATCAGATCATGTTTGTCATTACATCTTACTATTACATATAATAGAGACCTTACTAGCTCATATCAACATTGGTACTTCCTTATAGTATGTAACCGAATATAACCATCCATAATGTGGTACTGATCAAGATTGAAAATATTTCTCATCACAAATTCAGTTATACTTCCTAATTTGAACAATTTCATCATTTTTGTAAGTTATCAAATTTCCATTCCAGAACGTATTTCTGGTTATTATCTGTAGTTATCCGAGTTATCAACAGCACTTACGAATGTCGCCTGCGTCTTTACTGGACACACTTTCTTTTTTCTTCTTTCCTCCAAATAATCCGCCAAACCAGCCTTTCTCTTCCTTCTCTTTCTCTCTCTTAGCACCAAGCTTCGCCGCCTAATTAAGACAGAAACAATCCTTTTGTATCTGAGATTTGTAACAGTTTAAGGTTTATGTCACATTCCACATTAGCCATGATTGGAGTAATGTTAAGATTACATGTCATGGTATCCTTATAGATTACAACGGTAATTTGTGTTAGAGTTAAAGATGTATGCTACCTTACACATTGTATTTTTGATTTGTGTCAGAGTTAAGGATATATGCTGCCTTACACATTATATTTTTGATTTGTGTCAGAGTTAAGATTATATGCTACCTTACACATTATACCTGTGATTTGTGTCAGTGTTAAGGTTTATATGCTACCTTACACATTATATCTGTGTTTTGTGTCAGAGTTAAGGTTATATGCTACCTTACACATTATATCTGTGTTTTGTGTCAGTGTTAAGGTTATATGCTACCTTACACATTATATCTGTGTTTTGTGTCAGAGTTAAGGTTATATGCTACCTTACACATTATATCTGTGTTTTGTGTCAGTGTTAAGGTTATATGCTACCTTACACATTATATCTGTGTTTTGTGTCAGTGTTAAGGTTATATGCTACCTTACACATTAGATCTGTGTTTTGTGTCAGAGTTAAGGTTATATGCTACCTTACACATTAGATCTGTGTTTTGTGTCAGAGTTAAGGTTATATGCTACCTTACACATTAGATCTGTGTTTTGTGTCAGAGTTAAGGTTATATGCTACCTTACACATTAGATCTGTGTTTTGTGTCAGAGTTAAGGTTATATGCTACCTTACACATTACACCTGTGATCTGTGTCAGAGTTAAGGTTATATGCTACCTTACACATTATACTTGTAATTTGTGTCAGAGATAAGGATATATATTACCTAACACAGTGCACTTGTGATTCACATCAGAGTTAAGGTTTTTAACAGATATAATTCATACCTCCACTTCAGCTTGCTGTCTCATCAATGTGAGACTGAAAACATCCAATACTCGTTCACATTCCTACAAATGGTAACAAATATCATTACAGCACACAACACAATGTCAGGTATCAAGTATACAATGATCTAAGATAGCTCAGACATGACTGAACACTGTGGGTTCAGATTCTGTTCACCCGAAAAAAACCCTCAGAAAATTCATTCCCTCTATAGAAATCTTGGCATTACAATTTAATTGTTTCTAATTCTATATTTATAATGAAAGATTCTGATTACCGGTGTTTGTTGTACAATACTTAGAGCCACTTGACTTTTATACAAAAACCTGTGACGTTAACCCGTATTATCATTTTACTTTTGATCAGAGATTAAACAAGATGGTGTTACTATATTTTTACCTCAATCTTCTTCTGTACATCGCTGGCTACTTTCTTACTGTCTAGTTTCTTTATATAGGCTTCCCTGTAATCACGCATGTTTTTACGATGTCGACTGATGTGATTCCACGACCACATGCGGTGACGGCGTCGCACTGTCTCTTCCAACACACTAGTCATTGCAAAATGCCACCTTTAGAAAAATTATAAAGTTTTGAAGTTTTGGATAAATTTGAAATTTACCTGATGGAAAAGCATGATGAAGAGATGAGTTGTATTTCATCTACAATATACCAAAATGACAAGCACAAAACTTTTGACTCAGTGTCAGGGATGGACTTGTTAATAAACAATAAAAAATAGTAGTTTGAGGATAATTCTACCAAAAACCAATGTAAATGGGTGGGCTTATTACCAGACAGTTAGTCACTTCTTACAACATGTAGTAGAAGCTGGGAATAGTTTGTCTCTAATATTCCATACAAAGAACATCTTCCATGCATTGGACTGTCAGTGTACCTACCACTGTTTGGAGTGTATGTGTACAAACCACTGTTTGGAGTGTGTGTGTGCCTACCACTGTTTGGAGTGTATGTGTACCTACCACTGTTTGGAGTGCCCATGTACTTACCACTGTTTGGAGTGTGTGTGTGCCTACCACTGTTTGGAGTGTATATGTACCTACCACTGTTTGGAGTGTATGTGTACCTACCACTGTTTGGAGTGTGTGTGTGCCTACCACTGTTTGGAGTGTATATGTACCTACCACTGTTTGGAGTGGATGTGTACCTACCACTGTTTGGAGTGTGTGTGTGTGCCTACCACTGTTTGGAGTGTATGTGTACCTACCACTGTTTGGAGTGTATGTGTACCTACCACTGTTTGGAGTGTATGTGCCTACCACTGTTTGGAGTGTATGTTTACCTACCACTGTTTGGAATGCCTGTGAACCTACCACTGTTTGGAGTGAATGTGTGCTTACCACTGTTTGGAGTGTATGTGTACCTACCACTGTTTGGAGTGTATATGTACCTACCACTGTTTGGAGTGGATGTGTACCTACCACTGTTTGGAGTGTGTGTGTGTGTGCCTACCACTGTTTGGAGTGTATGTGTACCTACCACTGTTTGGAGTGTATGTGTACCTACCACTGTTTGGAGTGTATGTGCCTACCACTGTTTGGAGTGTATGTTTACCTACCACTGTTTCGAGTGCCTGTGAACCTACCACTGTTTGGAGTGAATGTGTGCTTACCACTGTTTGGAGTGTATGTGTACCTACCACTGTTTGGAGTGTATGTGTACCTACCACTGTTTGGAGTGTGTGTGTGCCTACCACTGTTTGGAGTGTATATGTACCTACCACTGTTTGGAGTGGATGTGTACCTACCACTGTTTGGAGTGTGTGTGTGTGTGCCTACCACTGTTTGGAGTGTATGTGTACCTACCACTGTTTGGAGTGTATGTGTACCTACCACTGTTTGGAGTGTATGTGCCTACCACTGTTTGGAGTGTATGTGTACCTACCACTGTTTGGAGTGCCTGTGAACCTACCACTGTTTGGAGTGAATGTGTGCTTACCACTGTTTGGAGTGTATGTGTACCTACCACTGTTTGGAGTGTATGTGCCTACCACTGTTTGGAGTGTATGTGTACCTACCACTGTTTGGAGTGCCTGTGAACCTACCACTGTTTGGAGTGAATGTGTGCTTACCACTGTTTGGAGTGTATGTGTACCTACCACTGTTTGGAGTGTATGTGTACCTACCACTGTTTGGAGTGTCTGTGTACCTACCACTGTCTGTACCTACCACTGTTTGGAGTGTATGTGTACCTACCACTGTTTGGAGTGTCTGTGTACCTACCACTGTCTGTACCTACCACTGTTTGGAGTGTATGTGTACCTACCACTGTTTGGAGTGCCTGTGAACCTACCACTGTTTGGAGTGTATGTGTACCTACCACTGTCTGTACCTACCACTGTTTGGAGTGCTGATGTACTTGAACCTCCGGCCTGTACTTCCTGTATACTCCTCTTAGTGTCATCCTCTCTAGAGCCTCCAACATTTCCAGTATATCAGTATACTGTAAACACAAACATCAGTATACTGTAAACACAAACATCAGTATACTGTAAACACAAACATCAGTATACTGTAAACACAAACATCAGTATACTGTAAACACAGACATCAGTATACTGTAAACACAAACATCAGTATACTGTAAACACAAACATCAGTATACTGTAAACACAAACATCAGTATACTGTAAACACAAACATCAGTATACTGTAAACACAAACATCAGTATACTGTAAACACAGACATCAGTATACTGTAAACACAGACATCAGTATACTGTAAACACAAACATCAGTATACTGTAAACACAGACATCAGTATACTGTAAACACAAACATCAGTATACGGTACACATAAGTACATCAATTCCACACCAATTTCATTTAATGCTCTTCTGATTGATCATTTGGTATATGAAGATCTCAGACTTTTTTCTGCTACATAACCTGATGCTTATATGCTTACCAACGACAACAACAATAGGACAGAAAGAAAGTCAAAATTTTGACAACAGATTTGTTCCATTTTTTAAAAACATAAAATTGGTTTCATCTACCTAAAAGTGAAACCCATTTATCTTAAAAGGACCACAAACTATTTCCCTACACCAGAATTATTGTAGAATCTGATTGAGTCTATTGTCGGTAATATCTACTTTCAATTTACTAACAAAATACTGTATCAAAACCTGTGTAATAAAAGCAGCATTTTATGTGTGTAGTTTTAGGTATCAGACAGGTAAGAACCAGGTGTAATACATCATCACATCTACTGGTTCACTATCCAGGGTGGAAACACAATATCCCTAAATGTCTAAATCACTGTAACCTTGACAAACCTACAGTGGATATGACTGTACAAAAGGTTTCACTATAGTATTCCAGGTAATATCACTAATAGGAAGGAGTCCAACACAGAAGTTTTTTTTATTTTTTTTTTCCGGAATTTAATGACATATCTATTGATTGTAGGTATCAGACTAGTAAGTACTATGTGTATGTTATTGATCGTATCAAAGGAATCTAGATCTTCTTTGAAACCAAAAATTTCATCGGACAGAAGACTGGTGAATTAAGGTTAAGCCAAAATGTAACTACAGTCCATACTCGTTATCTCGAAATTCAAGGGACAGTGGAAAAAATGTTGACTTATCAGCATTTCGGCTCAAACAAATTGAAGAAATAAAATTGACGATATCAGTTTCCTGATGTTGATTACGATTGAACAAAAGTAGGGCTACAATAGCACGCAGACAGCTTAGTTTAATCTGATATTGGAATGGCAGTAAATAATCATATGAATTTATCCTACTTTCTCAGGGAAAAAATTGGGACTTGAAAAAAATTTCGATTCAAGCGGAATTTTGACTCAAGCAATTTCGTGACAAGTTTCAACTGTACAACCATGCAGCAGTTTCCTATTTATCAAAGTTTAGATCAGATCAACAAGATCTTCCTCTTTCAGCTTAGTGTGATAATTATTATATATATTATCAATAACCTAAAACAGGCTACAATGGTCTACGAGGACAGCAGTGTGCAGAGCTGCAAAAAACTGTGTGTTCACTGATGTGACCAAACTGTAGACTGACTAACAATGGGTCTCACACTAACATCAAGCAGTGGCCGACCTGCCCTAAGGCATCCCAGTATTTACAAGACAAGTCACTCTCAGAGAACTTCAGTATACTGTAGCGGAATACTACAAGGAAGACCCATTTCACTACATATTCCATGAAATTACTCACCTGCATTTTGGAGAGCATGACTGCGATGTCATCAAATACCAGTGTGAGGTAGATCTTAGGAATCGTAAACTTTGTTTGTTCCGGCTTCGTGTTCAGACGTAGATGTGACACCAAAGATATAGGCCTTATCACTGTAAAATAAGATTTTCATTAATTTCAAGAGTGGTCAAGCTTGACCTGTCACATTAGACCTTGACCAATAACCACCATATCCTATACAAAGGCAGACTTTGAAGTTCTGATACTATGTAGCATATATAATCTTCCTGGGATCTTGAGATATCTCACACATATAGACAGACTTATTATAATACTATACATAGGGAATCATTTGCCAGGTAAGTTTCTTTCCCTCCTCTAAAAGTACTTGATAAATTTGCAATAGAAGCATGAAAACATATATTTCAGATTTGAAATCAAATTTTAAATACCTTTCTATTTCCATCCAACTGACAAAAGGGTGAAATAGGCAAAAAAAACAAAACTACAGGAAACCATTTCCTGGATATCATATATTTTGAAAGTATATATTTTCAATTTTCCTAGTTTTCCCAAAAATCACTATTTTGTGAACCTTTCATTTTGTGGATAAATATAGCTCAATAAATCTACTTGTTTGTATCAAAAAAAATGTGGTCTTATGAATTCATGGATTAAGAGTATCCTGAAATCAAATAAAATAAAATCCCCTCAAAAATGATTTCACTGTACCACTCCCTTACTGAGACCAGCCCAAGACATCTTGGGTGTTTGACTGAAGTCTTGAGTAGATGACTTATAGACATAGATAAATTCTAACATACTTACAGTACTGACTCTGTGTTTTCTTGTCTTTACTGGCGATATCTGACTTCAGCTTCTCCTACAAGTAAATACAAGAGTTTCAGTGATACTGATGAATGCTTCCCATAAAACGACTTGATTGGACACAAAATTTAAACAAAGGGTAATAATTCTGTAATGAAGCAGTGGCAGACCCTGAATTTGGTATACAGCACATTCTCTTATCATGACCAATGTATACATCAATCATGCTCCTAGATTTAAAGTAAGCAAGGCTATGCTCATGACACAAAATTTTCACAAAGGGCAATAACTCTTTAACTGAGGGGTCATGGGCCCCAACTTTGCCACACAACAGAATCCAAACTGTACAAAGGTCAATGTACACATAAGTTACGTAAATACAACAAAATCTGAAGTGGACTTTCAAAAGTCTTAATATATACCAGACTTTCAATAATACCAATAAACTATGAAAGTACACTCCAAATTTCTTGTGGGCTTCACTCGTAAATATACAAAAGATTTCAAATATTCAAAAATTGTTCTGTACTGTATATACAAATCAATTATACAGACATAACCAAATATCTACTAGACTTTTCAAAAAATTTAAACATATGATTTTCATATCTACTAACTTATAAATCTTGATAAATGGCTGACAAACGTTTGGTACATGCTTTGACCTTTGACCTACCAGTATGACGGCTTTATCTGTACCGTCCAGGCATTCTGAGTTACTGTTCCAGTATACAGCCAGTGAATCCAGTCTGACGAGCTGTGAAATAAAAACAGAAACATTTCACACTTTTCAATAGACCTAATGTATCTCAAATTAATACAAGAATCGTCTTCTTTGTGTTATTGTTTTGATTATTTTCATTACTCAATCAACTGATTAATGATTTTTCATTAGTGGACCTCAGACATAAAACTGTCAGACTGACCTTATAGATTTGAGTAACTGCTTCTCTCAGGATACATGGTGTCCAGTTCTCATCTGTCGTCTGAAATTAACATAATTTATTAATTTTATGTAACACTTGATCATTCCATGTGTAACTTTCCATACTGATTACTGCTAATGTACCAGCCCACTCCATCATCACCTGTTCATGTTTCACAACTCATCCTTATATCAACCCACCTGGTTGTTATATCAACCCACCTGGTTGTTAATCTGGTTGTTATCTACAACCCCCCCCCCCAACAACCCTCCCACAACCCCACCCAACCCACATACATTAAAATATAAAAAATGATTTCAATTAGAACTGGCTCCATTTTCAGAACTGAAAAACCCCCATAAAAAGTCCAGCTGTATATACTTTGCTTTATATATTGCCAACCCATCACAAAATCCAGATTTAACTGAACAAATAATAACACTAGAATGAGACAGGTGCGTGGTTCATTTTATCATTAAGTCTCATATTAGCCTTAGAATAAATGTAAATATCTCCAAGTTCATTAGTTAAATATCGTAAGTCATAATTTCTATATTTTCCAACATATTGCCTACAACAAATACAACAGAAAACCTATCCTGACCAGAAAAAAATAATTGTATTTTTTCTTACCCGGAATAGAAGTTCCTGAAGTGTGACTCCTAGCGAAAACGGACGTTTTGGGTTGGTGTAGGAGTCCTCATAACGGACGTGGATATTTTTCACCTCTACTTGGAGATTTTTTATAATCTGTGTCGCCATTTTCTCAGCAAAAGAGTCCTTTTTGGGGTCCTTGGGTTTGTCTGTTAATTGACAAATTGATACTTAACCTCAATTGAAAATTCTTCTTGGTATTAGATATTGCTAAAAACATGTACACAAATCATTTACTAACAGTTTGTATGTGAAATCTAGTTATATATAGATTGATATAGTTGTTCTCTGCTAATGAATGTCAACATTTGTAATTTATAGAAAAAAAGCCCTATTACAAGTTTACATCTGTAATTTCTAAAATCTACTAAATTAACATAATTGATGAAACTTGGTACAGAAAATCTTGGAATACTTGATAAGTTTAAAAGTTCGCTATAATTCCCCTACCACCTGCCAGTAAAACTTACTCTTCTCAGCCTCCAGTTGTTTAGCCTCTTCAATTTGCTGTAATCGTCTCTGTTTCGCCTCCTGTTTAGCTTTCTCTTCCTTCTCGGCATTATACCTAATTGCTAAAACACAGAAATATATATTGTCATGCGACTCTTAAATGAGACGCCGTTAACCATTTTTCGGGTGCCATTTACATTTAACTAATTTGTGTCAATTGTGAAAGTCATGAAATATAATTAATTACTATGAATCGCTTCCTGTCGTCAAATAATTTTTTATGATAAATATCAATCCAATTAAATTGTAGTTAAAGTTTCCTTTTAAAAGAAAAAAAGCTGAAATCAATTTTTGTGTTTCTTTGTTGTTCAGCTTAATTATGTATCCAGGTATCCAGAGGATCCAGGCCAGCAAAGATCTCAAGCTTTTAATGACATCATGACTTTTTAATGTAAATTTATCTATTCAGTCATACTCTTTGATGTTATTTTGAGGTAAACACGACACCTACCAATGTTCGGAACAGCCAGGGCATAAATGCCATCAATGGACGCGATCACAGGCTCGGTATACAGGTTCTTCCAAGGAATCTTCAATGTCAGTTTTCCTTAAAATTAAAAATAGTCTCCAATGTTTAAATGTGATCTTTCATCATATATAACTTAATAAGCACACCATCAGCTCTCTCCAGGGAAAGAAAGATGGATGCACTCACTATTACTACAGTAATAATGCATCACTTTCAACAGTATGACTACGGTAATAATGTGTCACCTTCTACAGTATGACTACGGTAATAATGTGTCACCTTCTACAGTATGACTACGGTAATAATGTGTCACCTTCTACAGTATGACTATGGTAATAATGTGTCACCTTCTACAGTATGACTATGGTAATAATGTGTCACCTTCTACAGTATGACTACGGTAATAATGTATCACCTTCTACAGTATGACTACGGTAATAATGTGTCACCTTCTACAGTATGACTATGGTAATAATGTGTCACCTTCTACAGTATGACTATAGTAATAATGTGTCACCTTCTACAGTATGACTACGGTAATAATGTGTCACCTTCTACAGTATGACTAAGGCGAAGTAGATCTGTATCTAATAAGCCCACCTGTTACAGAAAAAAGTTAGCCCAGATGTTAACAACGCAACAAATCTATTCTGTCAAATAAGCTCATTCTACCATGAAATTTCATCACACGTTGGTAGGTTTGAACAATGTCTATTTAAAGAATTTTTTTTTACGATTTTGATAAAGCTGTCATGGTATTGATAATTGCTGCTGATGTGAACAAGCTGACATATAAAGGTGCTTTGTATCTTATTGTAAAGTTGTTGACAGATCAATATTTCACCTCCAGGATCAAAAACATGTCAATATACACTCATATAAATATCAAACCACCAATATATCTATATACACTCACATAAATATCAACCCACCAATATATCTATATACACTCATATCTGCCTTTCAGGACTCTTTTATACACTCATTTCTATAAAGTTCATAACAATTACCTGTCTATGAAGGCAAGCACTATATACCAAATACCTGTCAATGAAGGCCAGGTCTATATAACAAATACCTGTCTATGAAGGCCAGTTCTATACAACAAATACCTGTCAATGAAGGCCAGGTCTATATAACAAATACCTGTCTATGAAGACCACTTCTGTATACCAAATACCTGTCTATGAAGACCACATCTATATAAGAAATACCTGTCTATGAAGGTCAGTTCTATATAACAAATACCTGTCTATGAAAGCCAGGTCTATATAACAAATACCTTTCTATGAAGGCCAGGTCTATATCACAAATACCTTTCTATGAAGGCCAGTTCTATATATATAACAAATACCTGTTTATGAAAACCAGTTCTATATATATATAAGAAATGCCTGTCTATGAAGGCCAGTTCTATCTAACAAATACCTGTCTATGAAGGCATGTTATATATAACAAATACCTGTCTATGAAGGCCAGTTCTATATAACAAATACCTGTCTATGAAGGCCAGTTCTATACAACAAATACCTGTCAATGAAGGCCAGGTCTATATAATATTTACCTGTCTATGAAGGCCAGTTCTATATAACTAATACCTGTCCATGAAGGCCAGTTCTACATAATATTTACCTGTCTATAAAGGCCACTTCTATATAACAAACAACTGTCTATAAAGGCCAGTTCTATATAACAAATACCTGTCTATGAAGGTCAGTTCTGTATACCAAATACCTGTCTATGAAGGCCAGTTCTATATAACAAATACCTGTCTATGAAGGTCAGTTCTGTATACCAAATACCTGTCTATGAAGGCCAGTTCTATATAACAAATACCTGTCTATGAAGGCCAGGTCTATATAACAGGTCTATATAACAAATACCTGTCTATGAAGACCACATCTATATAAGAAATACCTGTCTATGAAGGTCAGTTCTATATAACAAATACCTGTCTATGAAAGCCAGGTCTATATAACAAATACCTTTCTATGAAGGCCAGGTCTATATCACAAATACCTTTCTATGAAGGCCAGTTCTATATATATAACAAATATAAAACAATATATATATAAGAAATGCCTGTCTATGAAGGCCAGTTCTATCTAACAAATACCTGTTATGAAGGCATGTTATATATAACAAATACCTGTCTATGAAGGCCAGTTCTATATAACAAATACCTGTCTATGAAGGCCAGTTCTATACAACAAATACCTGTCAATGAAGGCCAGGTCTATATAATATTTACCTGTCTATGAAGGCCAGTTCTATATAACAAATACCTGTCTATGAAGGTCAGTTCTGTATACCAAATACCTGTCTATGAAGGCCAGTTCTGTATACCAAATACCTGTCTATGAAGGCCAGTTCTATATAACAAATACCTGTCAATGAAGGCCAGGTCTATATAAGAAATACCTGTCTATGAAGGCCAGGTCTATATAACAAATACCTGTCTATGAAGGTCAGTTCTGTATACCAAATACCTGTCTATGAAGGCCAGTTCTATATATAACAAATACCTGTCTATGAAGGCCAGGTCTATATAACAAATACCTGTCTATGAAGGCAAGTTCTATATATAACAAATACCTGTCTATGAAGATCAGTTCTGTATATAACAAATACCTGTCTATGAAGGCCAGGTCTATATAACAAATACCTGTCTATGAAGGTCAGTTCTGTATATAACAAATACCTGTCATGAAGGCCAGGTCTATATAACAAATACCTGTCTATGAAGGCAAGTTCTATATATAACAAATACCTGTCTATGAAGGCCAAATTATTGTAAGTATTATGGTTAATCAGAAGAAATCACCTGAACAGGCCATCAAACCTCATTTGGTAGATTGTTAACCTAAATAGCTGCAGGTAAAGATCAAAAGAGCATGATTCAACACTGCCTTGCTGTAGAGGATTGCGTTCCTCAGGAAATAAGAGAAATGGACCTGTCTAGCCATGTGTAGGGTTGGATGAGAGGGGTAGAATATCTGAGATATGGCAAGTGATCTCTGACCAAGGCTGTATACAGGGAATATACAATTATCAGTACAATGGTGTGTTGAGGGTGTGTGTTGGGGGGGTTGGGATTGATAAGAGGGTGTGTGTGTGTGTATAAGCAACGTTCTACAGTTTGGTGGGAGAATTGGGAAAGAGGAAATAAAATTTACACTTGTATTAACAGAAGAGAGAGAGTCAAGTTTGTATTAATGGGGCAGGGGTCCAAATTTTACATGTGTTTATGTGTGTAGTATATAAGATGTCTAGCACAGGTAGTCAAGTACATACAGAAGTACAGATGTTACATTGTAAGAGTGTGTGTACTTATTACACTCAACATGGAGTGTGGTTCCATATTGTATTTTGGTTTCAGTTCCTCAAAATAAGCAGGCCATCCTGTGCTGTTGTGGTTGGTGTCCTTGGGAGAGATGACTAATTTGATGGTATGCGATTGGCGTTTCCCATATGTTGTTCAGCTGTTATGATGTACTACAACGAAACCTCACCAAAATGACACTGGCTATTAACAATTTTGGCACCATAGGCGACTAAAGCCGACAATTTTTTTCGATGTTTTCAGATATTTTCTGGAAAATATTTGGCACTGAGCTATACATTGTAAGAGATAAATTGGCGCCAGAAGGGTTAACAGAGTGTAAAAAGACTGTACTTACAGGTGAATTTTGAGTGTTAGTCAGTGAAAATACTTACTATAAATAGATCTTGGTCTCTTTGGTCATTACAATGTACACTGTATACTGGTAATTTGGTAATATTTGTGTGGGATTTAATTTCGTGGCCAATAAAGTTAGCACATAATCAAATACCCAACAAACATTTCTATAGAGAATGAAAATATCCGAAAATATATGCAGTATACACCGAACCTGAGTTTTCATGTTGTTTTGTATATAGGTATATCAACTGTAGAAATATGAAAAATGTCATATTACACAGAAAACTATATTATTGTCATATTTAGAAAATAAGATGGGAGGTTTTATATCAAACAAGGGCCGTCAGAGACAGGTTTTGCTCCCCGAATGGGACAAAATTTAAAAATGAAAAATAACAAAGGGCAATAACTCCTAAATTATGCAAAAGAAAGGGATTAGTCCTGGTGCACTGCACTCTTTTCCTTGTTAATATCTATCTACAAATGTAGTTTTCTGTTGATATCTCTGAAAGTCTTTTTTGTTATGCTCCGCCCAAAATTATATGGATGGACAAATGGATGAACAGACAAACTGCAAAGCAGCGACTATAAGCTTTCCCTTTGAGGAACATGATCAAGGTAAATTTTTTTACAAATAAAATTTAAACAACATGAGGGTTGTTTACTACACAGATTATGGTAAACAACAAAATCTTGATAGGCTTAATCTGAACTAAAGGGTCATCACACATCTTTATCAACCTCCAACACAAGTAGCCATCCTTCCTACACATATCAGACCAGGATATCACATTATCGCAGAACTTATATCTGTAAATCTATTAAGCTTGATAACAAACAAACCCGACTGGACCATAAAATGGTTGTTGCTACTTAAAAACACTTGTGTAAAGAAAGATTATAAGTTGATACAGTTGTAATATGAAACTTCTGTAGAGATTTTAGATATTCTGATCCCCTTATGTCATTAATCAACCAACCGAGGAAGAGCTGAACTACTTACAGGTTATAGGGACGTAATCCTGATATCTAATCTCTACAATAATGGGTACATCTAGATAACTTGTGGAAATTTTCTTAGAAAAAAATTGATGGGAACAATACAATTTGGTCTTCGTTTTCTATTTATACAAGTACTTAAAGGCTAAGTTCAATACCTCCACCTGCCCAAGTTGAAATGAGTGCTAATTAAATTATGAATGAATGGCAGGCACCTAGCAAACAGCAGGGCAGAGATGACAGCAGGGCGGGGATGAACAGTTGGGCAAGGGTGAACAGCAAGACTTGGGTGATTGCAAACCAGGGGTGACAGCAGGGTGGGAATGAACAGTTGGGCAAGTGTAAACAGCAAGACTAGGGTGATTGCAAACCAGGGGTGAGAGCAGGGTGGGGATGAACAGTTGGGTGAGGGTAAACAGCAAGACTATGGTGATTGCAAACCAGGGGTGAGAGCAGGGCGGGGATGAACAGTTGGGCGAGGGTAAATAGCAAGACTAGGGTGATTGCAAACCAGGGGTGACAGCAGGGTGGGGATGAACAGTTGGGCGAGGGTAAACAGCAAGACTAGGGTGATTGCAAACCAGGGGTGAGAGCAGGGTGGGGATGAACAGCTGGGCGAGGGTAAACAGCAAGACTAGGGTGACAGCGAACCAGGGTGACAGCGTACCAAGGTGACAGCGAACCAGGGGTGACAATGAACTGGGGGCCTCAGAGACAAATTATCAGAAACTGATTTTTGTTGCAGCAGAAAAATGATAAAACTTCTGCAGATATAATTTGATTTCTTTTTATGATTTTCTAAACTATTCACAAGTTTCTGGCAGTCATCCCCTTAAAACTATTTTCCTTCTGAAAATCTTTTAAAATTCTATAAAACCTTTTTATTAAGGAAAGAATACATTGCTGGGTCTCTGACATTTGAAGACATCACCACCAGGTACAGATGACATGTTATCTATGTGTACGCCCTCATCACGCTGTGGTGAGTGTTAAACCCCTACAGAGAAGTATAAATACATCTCATACTTCAGCTTAAGATATCATCTTGTTCTTTATTTATTGTCAATCAAACATGACAGAAGTCTACATGTACAATGTAAAATTTACATATGTGATATGTACCACTACAACTACCATGAGACTTACCTATATGTCCAGCTTTTATCTTGACTGGGAGGTCAAGGTCATCCTGTGAAAATCAAAACAGACATCAGGTCTTTTTTTTAAAGTATTGATACAAAAACTTGAGACTTTTCTATACTACATCCCCACCCTTTTATACTCCATCTATATTCCATCCCCACCCCTTTTATACTCCATCCCCACCCTTTTATACTCCATCCCCACCCCTTTTATACTCCATCCCCACCCTTTTATACTCCATCTATATTCCATCCCCACCCCTTCCATACTACATCCCCACCCCTTCCATACTACATCCCCACCCCTTTTATACTCCCTCCCCTGAGTATGTAATCAGAAACTTGGTCCACATCACATACAACTAGTGTTTATAGCATATCAGCATTGTACTTAGATACCCTGATATTGATTGTAAGCAGATATATGTTACTTGATCTTGTTTACAAATATCAGGAACTAAAGCTCTCCCTCGGTAAACTGCAGTACACCAACTCTTGGAATTACAAGACTTATACAATACATACACACAGAAACACTGCAGCATAACTGGAACATAATGAGACAGTTATTGTATTGATTACTACAGTATCTGGCAGCAACTGCCTTCGTATGTCAAAATAAGACAGACTACACAGACATCTAGATACATTAGTACACAGAATATAACAACTCCTGTGCAAGTGATGGAAACAGAAAGTATTTGACTGGAGAAAATGAGAAATAGAATCAATCCTATGTTGATGAACAATGAGATATTAAAATAGTGACTGATCATTTTTTGTGCCATTCAATTCAGAATACTTGGAGAAATAGAATCTATCATTCCTATGTAGATGAACAATGAGATATTAAAATGGTGACTGATCATTTTTATGCCATTCAATTCAGAATACTTGGAGAAATAGAATCTATCATTCCTATGTAGATGAACAATGAGATATTAAAATGGTGACTGATCATTTTTGTGTCATTCAATTCAGAATACAGGGAGAAATAGAATCTATCATTCCTATGTTGATAAACAATGAGATATTAAAATGGTGAGTGAGCTGTGTAGAATTCATTTTATTTAGACCTAGGTTGACTTACCAGTGCACTTTCCTTTAAGTCAAGGTTCTGTAGTACAGCATCACCTAAACATATAAACAGGTATATATAGAATATGCTATAATAAAGTACAGGCTTATAAGTATTGTGACCTTTATAAGGGCCACATTTAAGAAACAAATACCTGTCTTGAAAGACCACTTCTTCAGTATATAATATCATATCTTTCTTTAAAGGTAAACTCCATATAAGAACACACAGTACCTGTCTATAAAGACCACCTCTATTAAATAAATGCCTGTCTATAAAGAGCATCTTTCTAATACCAGTGATATAATGCATAGTAATTGCACTTCTATATAAAGAATATCAGCTTGTATAATGTTCACTTTTTTTTCATTTAATGAACGAACCATTTAGACATGTCTGACGTAAAGATTGTTTGACATATGTGACCTTCAAAAAGGTTCAAGGTCATTCATTTACATATATTTCATGTTCCAAATCATGACATGTTATGGTGAAACACATTAGACATAAGCCTGTGTTTAATTTAGAAAATGAGAAATATCATAAAGATGACTGATCATTTTTTGTGCCATTCAATTCAGAATACTTGGAGAAATAGAATCTATCATTCCTATGTAGATGAACAATGAGATATTAAAATGGTGACTGATCATCTTTGTGTCATTCAATTCAGAATACAGGGAGAAATAGAATCTATCATTCCTATGTAGATGAACAATGAGATATTAAAATGGTGACTGATCATTTTTGTGTCATTCAATTCAGAATACAGGGAGAAATAGAATCTATCATTCCTATGTTGATAAACAATGAGATATTAAAATGGTGAGTGAGCTGTGTAGAATTCATTTTATTTGCCATTGACTTACCAGTGCACTTTCCTTTAAGTCAAGGTTCTGTAGTACAGCATCACCTAAACATATAAACAGGTATATATAGAATATGCTATAATAAAGTAAAGGCTTATAAGTATTGTGACCTTTATAAGGGCCACATTTAAGAAACAAATACCTGTCTTGAAAGACCACTTCTTCAGTATATAATATCATATCTTTCTTTAAAGGTAAACTCCATATAAGAACACACAGTACCTGTCTATAAAGACCACCTCTATTAAATAAATGCCTGTCTATAAAGAGCATCTTTCTAATACCAGTGATGTAATGCATAGTAATTGCACTTCTATATAAAGAATATATATAATGTTCACTTTTTTTTCATTTAATGAACGAACCATTTAGACATGTCTGACGTAAAGATTGTTTGACATATGTGACCTTCAAAAAGGTTCAAGGTCATTCATTTACATATATTTCATGTTCCAAATCATGACATGTTATGGTGAAACACATTAGACATAAGCCTGTGTTTAATTTAGTTTATCATAAAGATGAGATCACCAACTTCTGTAACCTAATATCACCACATTATGAAGCAAATACAGTGATTATATATTGACCTTGGGGGTCAAGGTCAAGGAGAAAAAGTGATAGCCCTGCATTCTTATAATCTACCTGTAATATTAACCATACATATGTCATGGCAAAGGACCTCTAAGATATTCTGAACAAGAGACGTGAAACATTAACAGAATTACATTATGTATTTGCCATTGTAACCTAGAAAATAGGCAACTAACTCAGCATGAAAGTCATTCACAACTGAGCAGATACAGTGTATGGCTTTGAGAATCTGTAATATTTTTTATTCAAGAGAACACTTTTTACAAACAACCGACAGAATCAGGAATAACAACCCACATAGTAAAGGTAATTTGTACTTTCAGTGGATGAGTTATATTATTCAACAACAACAAAACAGAGAAATCATCCAAACAAAGATAAACACTAAACAACAATATATATACACATCAGAAAAAGTAGGAAATTTTCTACATTAACATTTGTCAATAACTGAACCACTCAGGTCTGTATTTTATGTCTGACAGATTTGTAAAACTGCCAACGTGTATATTGTACATAATGTCAAGTATACATAAACATTGTACTATAGACAGTGTATATTATACATAAACATTGTACTATAGATAGTGTGTATTATACATAAACATTGTACTATATTATACATAAACATTGTACTATAGATAGTGTATATTATACATGAACATTGTACTATAGATAGTGTATAATATACATAAACATTGTACTATATTATACATAAACATTGTACTATAGAGAGTGTGTATTGTATGTAAACATTGTACTTTAGACAGTGTATATTATACATAAACATTGTACTTTAGACAGTGTATATTATACATAAACATTGTACTTTAGACAGTGTATATTATACATAAACATTGTACTTTAGACAGTGTATATTATACATAAACATTGTACTTTAGACAGTGTATATTATACATAAACATTGTACAATATGACATTAGACATTATATACAGTATGAAATATAACTTACTGTATGATTTATAAAGATTTGTCATAATGAAATTATGAAAAGATATGAAATAATTTTTGCAGGGAAAATGTTTGGAAATGAGAGCAAAGGAACATTTCCAGCAATTTTCAGTCTATTATAATATGGCAACCTACGAAAAATTCAAAGAAAATAGAAAACCCCATGGGTCAACTTTAGTTTTGAATAGGCCAAAGATGTTACTAGTCCTGGATTATATCCCTGTCTGCAAATTATAGTCATAGTAGTGTATCAAAATTACTTTAATGATGATATGGGAAAAATATGTATAAAACTGTCATAATTATATTTCAATTCATCCAAGATTGACAAAAACAGTCCTATTATTATTTTTTTGTCAATCAAAAATACCATAAACATGCCCAGATGGAAAATTCACTTGTGTTGTTAATCTTACTTATATTCTGTCTTCAAAAATTCATTTCCTTAGTATCCATGTGTATCAAGCTCCATTAAATATGTACAATACAATGATTCGTTCTATATCAGTTTTATTTGCTCATTTTTTAAATATCAGTTTTCAAGACCTACTCATGATCACAACTACACACTGTTATCTACAACATATATCATTATCAAAGGAGACCATGAAGAAATTCATTGTTGTATGATAAAGGAGAATTATCTTTCCAATATGACTCATAATATTTTTTATTTATTCTGTCCAATGCAATGTAATATAAGCTCACACAAATGAATACTGTGTTTTGAAGACAAGTGATTGGTTTAAAATTGTTTTACCAGTTTAACAGAAAAGAATATTGTATTTATCACAATAGGACAGGTTTTAAAACAAGTGTGATTTGAAACATCCCAACATTGCAACAAATCTGTAAACCAGCTGACTGTCTAATTTTGACAGAAAATATTCCTAAATGAGAATTTAAGTAGATGTTCCTTGCTTAACAAACAGAGGGATCTTAACACCCTACCATTGTTTGATATTTATTTGTTCTTTGAAAGTTGTATCTCTTCCCTTCTATTCTCTTCTCCCCTCTGTTTATGCTCACAACAAAATCTAAAGAAATGGCAATTATAATCTTTAACAGCAAAATCACAGATGGTTGCCTGTCAACCATTTTCTTTTTTCTGATCAGCCCCCAATCAAACAGGTACAACTAGGAACCAAGGGCAACATACACAAGAAACTTGAGAAAGATCCATCCAGGACTTCTCAAGAAATAGTGATAACAAACTTTCTCTGTTGAAATCCAAGATGGCCTACTCTATGCCATTTTTTCCAGTCTGTCCTAAAATAAAACATGTAATTATGAGAATGAAAACAGTATCTATTCTGGCCAACTGTATATTACTATCTACAAAGTGAAAGGTCAAACTTTCACATTTGCCCGAAAAATTCAGGGACTAAGTTTATCCCTTAAACAATGTGTTAATATAGGAAAATCCTTGAAAACTTGGGAAACAAGTCTCCACTTTCACTGTTCTTGGGGTTGTGGTATATACTCACATTTAGTGATAATAAATAACATTTATTTAGAATATGGTTTCAGGAATCAAAAGGCTTTATACCAGTCACCAACCTATTTTTGCAAAGGCAGAATGTTAGTTCACAGATAAATGACCATTTTAACCCCAGAAATTTTCAAAACAAAGCATTTCTTTAACATTCTGCAAGCAGAGATATTGTGATAAGAACATTATATAAAGATGCTGGTCAATGATTTTCCTTAAACAAAAACTGGGAAATGGTGTAAAAATTTATACTACAAGCAGTTGAACTGGTGAAAACCTCTTCCTGTTGGAGTAGTAAATTGAAAATACCATATGAGACAAAAATATGCTAGTTTAAGGCCCCATAATTTTGCATGTACAGCACTTTATGCACAGTAGTAAACAGACTAAATTATCCCAATGTTAATATTGCATAGTTTATCCATATTTTTTGTAAGTTGGCTGTTCAATATGCATGTGAACAATATGTTTCATCATAAATACCACCTGAATGTCAACCAATAGAAGCAGTACTCACTTTCCTCTCATTACGAGTATATATTATATATATAAGGCAAATCAAAGTCCTGGCATTTATCGATTGTCTATAAAGTTGATGGTGAATGTCAAAATTTGGATAAAAAGGCTTTTTCATTTCAACAGGTACAAACCATTATAATACCAAAGCAGCATGCATCTTGGATTATAACCTCAGACTCTCAAAAATAATCGTTAACAAAAAAAATAACCCGCACCCTCCTCCATCAACCCCTCCTGTCACAAGAATACCGTCCAAGCCTGTTATTTAAAAATATATATACATATATGATATTGCGATAAACACTGCAATTTGTACCCAATCTGTGATATTTGTACCATATCTGTACCTTAATAAATGGTCATGTTAGTATAACAGTACATATGTATAACTTTAGGTTAAAGACATTTATCAGCATCAGCACTCAAACACCCACTAATGCTGAAGTAACAGACGAGACATTGTCTTGAATGTATGGACTACAACAGAGACACTACGAAAGGAGTCTAGTCATCATGTTAAGTAAGTTGTTACATATCATCGTCGGACATATTCGTCCTGGCCACTTGTAAATACGACGTGTGTATGAATCAACAGATCATATGTCTTACCTCCCCATATCCCAAGCTTCAGCTGTGATCGATCCAAATTTTCAACATAATCTCCGAGATATTTGTTAATCAGATCAACAACTAACGATTCGAACACCATTTTGCAGGAGTGCTTGTCAAAAATCACACAGAAAAATCGTTGTAATACACCTTCACGTCCACTACATAGCTAAGAGAGCAATACGTCCGCCATTTGGCTGGTCAAGTGAAGTCAAATATGCAAATGAGGATCCTCCACCGCTTCCTGTGGTTTCCCGTTACTATAAATAGACTTATTCCATCTCGTGATGAAAGTCACGAGACTTGTGATTTGCATTGATCTTTTTTATAGATAAATGTGCATTCGGCGGGAATATCGATTGAATGACACTTTAATTATCTAACAGGGTGATTGAACAGATATCAAACCAGGATCTGAATATTTCTGGACAATCTCAATAATTAAGCACATGTATTCGACACGCCGAGGACAGAAACGAATCATTTTTTAAATTGAATATTTTGTTAATCAAATGATAATGTTTTAGTACAATGGCCGACACTGGCATAACTTCAGACAGATGACACACGGTGTACAATCATCTACTAATTATGCTAACGACAAGACAACAGAGCCCGATAAGCCTGTGACAGTACTCGTTCCTGAGTCCCACCATCAATATGTGTACGTATTTATACGTGTACACGGTAGATGCAAACCTTGTTTATCTCTCTCCCTGGATCCACAATTCATACGAAAATGGCGTTGCTTTAATTTGCACAAGGCTATACTAGTAGGGATTCTGGGGGAGGGGGTTTGAGTTTCTATTAGACCATCTTCAAACTCTACTGTGCTTACACATTTATCATCAGATAGTTATGTTGTTTCACACGGAAGCGTATTCCGGCCACGTTGTGTATTTTAACTCAAAATTTCGAGATGACATCTGAAAATTTCGAGATAAAATAAAACACAACGTGGCCGTAATACGCTTCCGTACCTCTGTAAATCTATCTTCTAAATCCCAAATATGACTTCCGTCCGTCTTGATAACAGATTCCATATGATCCTCGATATGTTTAAATGGTTTTTGTTGCAGGTAGATGGAAATGGCAGACGTTGCAGTCGATATTGTGTCACCAGTCAATCGTCCATCGGCCGAGGTCAAACAATATCTTTGGTATCCCATGTTCGATGTTTAAAATAACTGACTTATCTATGTTCTTCTGTATTTTATTGCATTTCCTGTGAATGATGAGGATACGGACTTCCTCTGTTTATATTGGATTCATAAACTTCACAAGAATCCATATAGATAACGTTTTATTGTTGGCTTATTTAGCTGTTCAACCAAGCCTTTGTCAAAATAAAGTACCATGAAATCTGGGTTACGGTCGTATTATGATACTGTTTACTCGTGAAGTGGAATAAATAATATATGGTTTTTGAAGAACTCCAAAGACTTTTTGACTAATACCCTCTTCTAAAAAGCATTTGATTTTTCCACCTTTGGAAGTTTGTATCATCCCGCTTATCATACAGCTTTGTGGAAAGCTGTCCATGTTGATTTCGTTGTCGGATCGAGAATGTGGCTGACATAGAAGAGTTTTGTGTGTCTTTGATTTCCAATTCTGGTCGGTGTATACGGTGGATGTGGACGATAACTTTCTTTTGATTTAAAAACAAGATGCGAATGATATATTGAAAGTGAAATCTAAGGACTTTGCTGTGTCTTTGCAACCAGGTTTCATAAGCTTTCGCTGAACTCAGTCTCGTATGAAAAAAAGTAGGACAACAGTGGGGCACAATTATACCAATAATCTGTTGGAGGGTCTGGCCACTAAACCAGACAAAGATTTTAGAAACCAGAAAATAGATTTGGACGTATTTATCACGAAATTCGCTTCAGTATAGCTCACAGCCCTATATTTGAACCGGCGTTCACCAATGGAATAGAAAGTTCTCATAACAAGACAACAAAGAATGGGATAAGGTGGTGAACGAAGTAGAAAAAAAAAATTCTTATAGACAGATTTTTTTCAGAAAAAGGCTGTTGAAGATTGGTCAAAAGCTCTTTGGGATTCTTTGAAATTCAAATAACGAAAGGTCAGTATTCATGCATTCCAACAGAAGGAGATTTCTAAAGGATATCACATTTCCCTTTTGAGCAATATCTCTCGCTCGCCTTGGGGGGCGAGATCCACAGTACTAACTGGTGATTCCCCTCAGCCAAGGGTAGTTCAGACCACATTGAGCAAAAATCCAGACTTTGCTACAGAAAAAAAAGGATTTTCTTGAATTCGCTTTATTTCTCATATTGGGACCACCCTTTCTGCCCAAGGGGCCGATACCCACCGTATATGCAAAACTGGTTCTCCTTCCCCGAGGATGCTCCTGACAAGTCCACCAAGACTAGTATCGAATTTTAGAAAAAAAAAGTCGGAAGAAGTACATCCAAGGCGCACGCTCATCAGCAAAGCTTACTCACAAAATTAAAATGGAGAACAAATTATGATCTTTGACCCAACTACGAGGATTTTTTAAACCAATAATACGTGTAGTATGTGTAACATGCTAATCTGTGTAGTATGTGTAACATGCTAATCTGTGTAGTTTGTCTTACATGCTAATCTGTGTAGTATGTGTAACATGCTAATCTGTGTAGTTTGTCTTACATGCTAATCGTGTAGTATGTGTAACATGCTAATTTGTGTAGTTTATGTAACACTCTAATCTGTGTAGTTTGTCTTACATGCTAATCTGTGTAGTATGTGTAACATTCTAATCTGTGTAGTATGTGTAACATGCTAATCTGTGTGGTATGTGTAACATGCTAATCTGTGTAGTTTGTGTAACATGCTAATCTGTGTAGTATGTGTAACATGCTAATCTGTGTAGTATGTGTAACATGCTAATCTGTGTAGTATGTGTAACATGCTAATCTGTGTAGTTTGTGTAACACTCTAATCTGTGTAGTTTGTCTTACATGCTAATCTGTGTAGTATGTGTAACATGCTAATCTGTGTAGTATGTCTGACATGCTAATATATGTAGTATATGTAACATGCTAATCTGTGTAGTATGTCTTACATGCTAATATATGTAGTATGTGTAACACTCTAATCTGTGTAGTATGTGTAACATGCTAATTTGTGTAGTTTATGTAACACTCTAATCTGTGTAGTTTGTCTTACATGCTAATCTGTGTAGTATGTGTAACATGCTAATCTGTGTAGTATGTGTAACATGCTAATCTGTGTGGTATGTGTAACATGCTAATCTGTGTAGTTTGTGTAACACTCTAATCTGTGTAGTTTGTCTTACATGCTAATCTGTGTAGTATGTGTAACATGCTAATATGTGTAGTTTGTCTTACATGCTAATCTGTATAGTATGTGTAACATGCTGTGTAATCTGTGTAGTATGTGTAACATGTTAATCTGTGTAGTTTGTGTAACACTCTAATCTGTGTAGTTTGTGTAACAATCTGTGTAGTTTGTCTAATCTGTGTGTAACATGCTAATCTGTGTAGGTTGTGTAACACTTATTTGTGTAACACTCTAATCTGTGTAGTTTGTCTTACATGCTAATCTGTGTAGTATGTGTAACATGCTAATCTGTGTGGTATGTGTAACATGCTAATCTGTGTAGCTAATCTTGTGTAACACTGTGTAGTATGTGTAACTAATCTGTGTAGTTTGTGTGTAACACTCTAATCTGTGTAGTTTGTCTTACATGCTATATCTGTGTAGTATCTGTAACATGCTAATCTGTGTGGTATGTGTAACATGCTAATCTGTGTAGTGTAACACTCTAATCTGTTGTGTGTAACATGCTCTAATCTGTGTAGTTTGTGTAACACTCTAATCTGTGTAGTTTGTCTTACATGCTAATCTGTGTAGTATCTGTAACATGCTAATCTGTGTAGTTTGTCTTACATGCTAATCTGTGTAGTATCTGTAACATGCTAATCTGTGTAGTATGTGTAACATGCTAATCTGTGTAGTTTGTGTGTAGTTTGTCTTACATGCTTATCTGTGTAGTATGTGTAACATGCTAATCTGTGTAGTATGTGTAACTGTGTGTAGTATGTGTAACACTCTAATCTGTGTAGTTTGTGTAACACTCTAATCTGTGTAGTTTGTCTTACATGCTAATCTGTGTAGTATGTGTATGCTAATCTGTGTAGTTTGCCTTACATGCTGTGTAGTACATGCTAATCTGTGTATGTGTAACATGCTAATCTGTGTAGTTTATGTAACACTCTAATCTGTGTAGTTTGTCTTACATGCTTATCTGTGTAGTATGTGTAACATGCTAATCTGTGTGGTATGTGTAACATGCTAATCTGTGTAGTTTGTGTAACACTCTAATCTGTGTAGTTTGTCCTACATGCTAAT